CTTCTTCTTCCATGACTTCTTCCATGACTTCTTCTTCCATAACTTCTTCTTCCATGACTTCTTCTTCCACGGCTTCTTCTTCCACGACTTCTTCATCTTCAGATTGCCCCTGCTCCTCAGGTTGTTGGCGCAGAGCTTCCTCTTCCCTTATTTTTTCCTGTTCTCTCTGAATGAAAAATTCATAGAAATCCATTAGAAAATCTTCACATATCTGCCGGAGCTCATCAGAGGCACTGGGGTGCATCGAGACTTCGAAACCCAATTGCGTCGCAAGGTCGTCCCAAACTTCTCTGCTTTCGATATCGTCAAAACGGGCAAGCAGCGGGAGAGAAGCGGTCCACACATCGAATAGGCGGATTTTACGCTTGGAAACAATAGGCTCAAAGGTAACGGGATCGGGCAAACAGTCCCTAGCAAATTCACTTATGCTTTGCAAAAATGCCAATTCTCCGTGGCCTAGTGATTGTCGGATCCTCCGGGTTGCTGCGTCCTTATTTGTTGATTCTTGAGGTGGAACCGTAGCTTGCCGCAAGGTTTTTGGGATGTTCACACCACTTGCGAGAATATGAGCTTGTTCAGGGGTTTGCCTTGGAATAGCTGTCACTGGCGTGATTGGCTCCGTAGATTCTGTGAGAGAGGCACGTCCTTTCGTCTCGCCATCTTTCCGCGCAGAACTATACGCGTGAGTTTGTTCAGAAGCCTGGGTTGAAATAGTTGTCACTGGCGTAACTGGTTCCGTGGATTTTGTGGGAAATGAGCGCCGTTTCCCGCGGGTTTTCCCTGCAGATATATGGGTGTCGAGATCAACAAGCTTGTCGCGATACTTCTGTTTTAGAGCCGTGTGTGCCATTTCATCCCTGTAAGTATTGATTCCTAGCTTTAAGGCAACCTGCAACCATCTATCTGATTCCTCGACTTTTTGAAACCCTCCAAACTCCGGCTTGTTGACTACACTCCAGAGATCATATAATTCGAAATTGCGTCCATATAGGCTGAAAGAAGGTTCAATCTCGCATCCGATGGCGCCTGACAATTCTCTCAAGTTCGCCAAGAATTTTGATTTATCGGCAGAGGCGCTAATTTTAGACCGATCTTTTGAAGTCGCAGATTCTGGGGACTTGCTTACAATGGCCCCCTCCTCGCCTAGTCCCCGGCGATGCGTTTGTTTCCCACTCTCTGTATGGGACCTTGAAGATGCAGGTGCGCGAACTGGGGTTGTGTAGGTTTTAGAAGTAGAGTCTGGTCCCTGATTGGGCTTGGGCTTAACTGATATAGCATCTTTGCCCTTACCTTCTCGTAATTTGCGTGGATGGAAATCTTCGCAGTAATATCTGGACCAGTCACCTGCTGTGTGCCTTGTGTACTGCGCCATCATTAGCCAGTCATGTATTTTGTGGCATAGAGCAGCAGGAATGGCGGGCAAGATCACTTACTTTTTTGGCAAACGCTTCCCAAGCGACGACCCAATCCCCCATGGGAATTTTGATAATGTCAGGATGCTCCCTTTCTAGGATTTCAATGTCTTCCTCTGTGAAAGGAACATCCTTTGATGGGGCCTCTATGAGTGGGGCTTCGTCTTCGAGGGAGTAAGAAGCGGCAAGCAAGGTGGGACTGGGCGGCACCAGAGATCTTCCTGCACCTGAAGCACTAGGTGTAGTTCCGACGTTTTTGGACTGAGTTGCAGGTGGAATCACCCGGCGCGGCCTGTCTCCCTTGATTTTCACCGGCCAGTCTGTACTGCTCATGTCTATCTCTGGTCGAGGTTGGTGAGAGAGTTGCTTTATCCAATGGTCACGCCATGATTGTGCAGTATGCCGAGGATTCTATGAAGCATTTAGCTAGGCTGCTACTGATTCCGACGCGAAAACTTACCTTCTCTGCAAACTGCTCATAGATCTCATTTCCTCTGGCAGCAAAGCCGAGTTTTTCAGCTTTGGCAACCCAAATACTAATGGCCATGCTATCTTCGTGTGTGAAAGGCGTTCGGGTCAATTTCTGTGGTCCTCCTGCAAGCCTAGTTTTGCTAGGGGAGTTTATTCGATGAGCCTCTAAATCCTCTAGCTCCCCCTTTTCCACACTCTGCTTCAGGTATTTCCACGAGACAGAACCTGCAGGTGCAAGCTTAGGCTTTGCGTCATCCGCAACCAGCACGTCTGCATTCTTTTCCAGCGGAACCACGAAGCCCCCATTGCGCTTTGTAAAGTTAGTGGCGGTTTCTATTTCCGGGAAATGGCAGATTTACCTTTACATTGTCAATTAATTCAGCCCGCAGCGGAACGCGCTGCGAAATGAAGAACTTCTGTCCCTGGAATAAGTCACCACCTCCTGCGACGCCCTCGTAGACGGCTCCAGCCATATGGAACGGCCTTTGGAGTTGTGAACCCAAGAGAAGCGTCCAACTAAATCGTTATGGGGGGTTTATTAACCAGGCCTGACCTAGCCTTCAACTGGTGGATAACGTTGGGCTGTTTTAGAGCGTTTGGGGAGAAGTACAAGGGAGAAACCAGGTGATGTCCAGCTGAAACCAGAATAAAGAACGGCTTGCCAACCTAATACATGATTATCCAGCAAGGGAGACTGTGCATGATTTGAGCACAGAATAGTAGGCGGATTGGAAATCACACGTGTTGAGGTGTCTGAATAGGTTGTCTGGCTGTCTGGCTGTCTGACATATGTTGTCGTAGTTGTGAACGACTACTTACTTTATCTCCATACTTTTTGATTCCTGGCGTTGTTTCGCGCGACGAATAACACGTAATCACGTGACACCGAACACTCTCGTTTACCAGATCCCTTTGGCTTCGATCCGGGGTCCAAGGACACCACAGGAATGCTTGTTCAGTTGGTCAGTCTCGTTGCAACGTTTATCGGTTTGGATACCAAGAAACTATATTGAATGGTTTTACTTTTTTGAGATTCTATTTGTCGACATTATGATTCCAGCTTGAGTAACCACTCGGACACTGGTCAGGACTCTTGGACAATCCCGCAGTCCCGCAGTCCCGCCGGGCACCCTTCAAGATGGGTTTGGTGAAGAGTGTGATTTGTCTGGTGCTTTTCATATCATTTATGACATTTGTTTTGTTCTTTGGAAGACTACCAGCCTTAAGGTATGCATGAATTGGAGAGACCTCCAATATGTCCAAAAGCTCATCAGGAACCAGGAGAACGCCCATCGGTGCCTTGCATCGACTTTTCATGATACATATTCCCAGATTTCTGTTCTCTCTGGATCAAAAAATCAGCAATGGGCGTGTGTATGCCTCAGGTGCGGAGACGCTGCGGTTTGTTATGAACGAGCGGCACCCGACAGTTCTTGTAAGTTGGGAATTTGAGTGGTTGGCGCTACATGCGCAACGAAGCTTTTTGTTGTTCAATCCCCTGTTCCTTTAACTGCCGCATTTGGGATATTCTATCTTCTTTAAAAGTCCTTATTGTTTAGTCGACAAGCGCAAGGGCTATGCTGTCACTTACTATGAGCTTTCGTCGCTCAAGTAACCTTGTTGCACCACAATGGAGGACATGTTACTCTTTCCTATCGTTATAAATCGTGTCAGATTAAGGCATATAACCTAAACATGAAGACCGCGTAGCTAACGATCGGATTATCAACCCATATGCGCGTTGTATCTTCGTACCAACGATTCTATATTTTCAAGTTCTCGAAACCATGCTAACTTTGATTAGATCTTGTTCATTCTCCTGCTCTCCGTCTCAGAATACCTCTACCTACCCTTTGTCTTTCCCGCCCAAACTACCGCCACCCAAGCAGTAATTATTCCAATCACCCTCATGCCCTACATATTCCTTTACCTTGCTGCGTACTCGGACCCTGGCTTCATCACCAATGCCACCCACGCAACCGACATGCGCCTCTACCCCTACGACCATGTTAACTTCCACCCATCCGCCATATGCAGCACCTGCGACTTCATCAAACCGCCTCGCTCAAAGCACTGCGCCCTCTGCAAGCACTGTGTGTCACGGTCAGACCATCACTGTATATTCATCAACAACTGCGTTGGCTACGGCAACACACATTGGTTCATCCTCCTCCTCCTCTCCACCACCCTCCTGACCGCCGCCGGCGGCTACCTGGGCGTGATATACATCAGCGATATCATCAAGGCGCGGTATAGCTCTTTTACTATCCGCGGAACGGGGTACACGTGGCGCGATTATGCGAATTTCTGGCTCTGGGGAATACACGTTAAACCTGGTGCTGGCGGTGTCACGCTCCTGTGTGTATTGAGTACCGCGTTAATTGCTGCATTGGCCGCATACACGCTATATCAGGTTTGGGCGGGCGTTACAACGAACGAGAGCGGGAAGTGGGATAACACGAGTTGCGATATTGAGGAGGAGTCCCTGTATATGCGAACTCTTGACGAACATAGACCGCGAGATCCCGGTGTTGAACCGCGTGTAAAGTGGCCAGTGCAACCAAAGCTCATCAGCATGAGCTGTGAAACCAAGCCGCCGAGTAATGCGAAGAGTCTACAGGGACAGGGATACGGGGAGTGGGTGCGTGTGGAGAGTTTGCATGACTTGGAGAATGTCTATGATATCGGATTCTGGCGCAATATTGTGGACCTGTTTCTTCCGCGCTCAGCTTGTGAAACTCGATACGCTGAAGATTAGGACGGCATTTCCAATGCCAAGAAGTTGGGAACTTGGAGCTGCAGTATATAGGAGCAGTCGGCCAGTGATAGGTGGGGGCCACGAAGATAATGTATGGCGGGGAAAATTACAATGCGGCGAATTTTCGTACTTTTTAGATAGAAAGGATACCACTGTTGGCGATGTTTGTGAATGCAATGCCATGTTTTGAAAGAGTTTTATTTAGAATCCTGCATTGAAAAAATGCCATATCAAAGTACGAAAACACTAAATATTGATATGTATGATATACGCCCTTTCTAGCCATACTGATACATAGTCACAGCCAGCTATGATCCCTTTTCCTGTATATCAGGTTCCCACATTGCCAGTTTGTAACCCTCGAAAGCCCATCCATCAGTATCTATTTAAAGCAACCGCGCCCCGAAAAGACCTGAGATTTAACCCGCTGGTACCAAAACAAACCTAGAGATATAAGCAACTAATTTCGAACATCATAGAGTCTTGATCTCCATCCACTCGCTGGTGCCCACTCCGAGGTTGAGCCCGTTCCTCGCCCACCACTTCCTTACTTCGTCCTCTCCCTCTCCACCAGCCAGGCGCACACTATCTTCAAGCGCCTCCTCAATATCGCAAGTCTTGTACTCTACCTTTAACCTCTTTCCCTCCCATCCCCAATCCTCCCCACTCGTCTGTCGGCGCCACCACTCCAGCACCCGCACAAACCCATTCTTCGTCGGCCCAACAAGCACCTGATTATCATAGCTCATCGCAAACTTGCTCCCCTTAAGGCTCTTCCACGTTTCAAGCACGTCAACGTGGCCATAAGCCGACGCAAGGCGTGCCACGGAGTCAGAGTGCGAGTACGGAATCCCGGACGTATCCCACCAGTGCACAACGCGGGTTTGCCCGTTTTGAGCTGCGTATAGTACTGACTTGCCAACCTTCAGCCTCAGCGGCGCAAGTCCGACATCCATCGACTGCGAGTCGAAACTTGGCGACGCTGGTTCGTACAAGTATGAGGAGTTTGTGCGCCGCGAAGAAGGGTTCTTCGACTCGGGCTCAAGGATATATGCGCCTTGATGCATGCTTGCCTCCTTCCACCATTCTAGGACGAGGATGTGTCCCTTGCTGCTCGCCTGCTCCAACGCCGCTTCGCTGTATTTCAGCGGCAGGCCGGACTTTTTCCACCAGTCCAGCACGTGTACGAAGCCTGACTTGGAGGCTCCGTCTATAGCTTCATCTGTATAGTCTTTCTTGAGAAAGGAGGCAGAGGTTCGCCACCACTCCAGAATCTCATTTCTTCCATAAACCGCCGACGCTTTGGTTGGAAGTAGTTTTCCGCCAAAGGATGTCCAAAAGACTTCGCGGAATTTGGTCTCGAGATATGAGAGGACGTCTGTGAGGCAGAATTTGATGATAAGCTTGACGCATAGTGACGACAGGTATTCCATGCTCTTTGGGGCCTGGTCGAGCTTGTCAATAACGCGCGGCACAGACTTGGTAAGGATTGTGGATTCGAGAGAGCGAATATACTCGTGAAGTTCATCCTTCGGGGATTCACGGAGCTCCCATTCTCTTGGTATAGGCAGGTTGGTATATATGCCGATTGATTGTGCTACTTCCCAGTCGCCGACATAGTCGAATATTATGGTCCATAACTCCGATGGGAGCCGAGTTTCCGTCTTTTGGTTTCGCCGTGCCTGCTCTATATCGCCAGACGTGGTTATATCAACATCATGGCCAATCGTCAGAAGTTCGGCTTGGTTATTGATAGTTTCGACGAGGTCGGGGAAGCCATCATATTGAATGAGACACTTCTTTGCTCCCTTCTCGTCGTATTGCCACAGAATCGGCGGCATCACTCGGACCCAGTTCCATTTCCTCCTCAGCTTCGATAGCTGCTTCTTTGTCATGGGATTCTCCCACATTGATGTCGTCATGCCCGGCACCAGTATTATCTTTTTCGACACATCCCAACCCCTTAACACATCGAGTATAAGAGTCCCCGTTATCCCATTCAGCATCTTTGCCATTGTATCCGCACTGGCCGGCGCCAGGACCAACAAATCCGCCCAATCGGCCCAAACTTGGGCAGTGCCTTCGCCATTGTTGATGCCGCGGCTAATACTGCTCGGGGAGTTTTCGAGAGTAGGGGCGAACCGCACGGCCTTCGCTGTAGGATCATCACATATCGCCCTGCATTCGACTTTCGCGTGCCCGAAGAAACGCACGACCAAGGCCTCGGCTTTCGAGACGTCGCGCTCGCAGTTGGCGGCTACCAGGACGTGGAGTTTCTGGCAGTCTGTGGCTTTGAATTCGAACGATTTCGATGGGCGCGGTAGAAACGGCTCTTGTGCGACATTGGGTATACCGAGATTATCATACTGATAATCGAGCGGGTGCGTCTCCATGGCTATCGGAGCGAATGTGTGGCGACTTATGAGTTGTGAGGAGCAAGCCCTGGAAGATAGGTGAAGGACTCGGACGGGACCTCATCACTAAATATTCGCAAGATGCGAAAAGGAGGTGAAGAAAGGTGAGACAATATGTGATAGGGACCAACGCGAAGCAAACACGTAGGTTTGGTGGTGAATAAACCTTGTAGGCGGGGTATTGATTGGAACTCCTGGAGGACCCCGAACTCACCGCCCAAAGCTCCCTTGACGCCTTATCGGAGGATTTTATTCCGCATCCCGATGCTGAGCTAAATATATGGGACGATCATTCCCGCTAAATCCAAAAGCCGTAAAGTTAAAATATCTTAAATGGACGACATATTATTCCGTACAAAATACGTTTTATTTAGCATTGAGAGATTACCAAAAAGCGTTGGAAGTGGTCTTTAAATGTATGTTTTGTATATTTTCTTTTACATCCTTATACAATAAATTCTCCGAGAGAATGGTATCTTTGCAACAATAATAACATGTGAATGGCCATGACCAGAACGCAGACCATCCAGCTTACCTACTGAAATATGACAACAAATATTCACCGCATCAAACAAGCACTTGCATTGCGCCACGACTGCCCTATCCGTAATTTACAAAGATCCTGTCGCATAAATTGACTTCTTCAATTTGCATTTCAAGCATCCTGGCTTGGTCCAGCTCCGTCCGCATCTTTATGGTTCTTCCGCTTGCGCCTTCTTTTTGTCTTTTTCTTCACGTCATCGACTTCTGCTTGCCCGTCGCTTGCCACTTCTTCAGCTGGATGGGGTTCGACCAGCTGCACGTTGACGTTGGTTTCCTTTTTGTTCGTAGCTCCGTCGTCGCCATCTTGCGAATATAATGCGTCGTCTCCATCGCTGGAGCTGGTGGTTTGCAGCACAACTTTCCTAACGCCATTCGAGTCAACTATATTCTCCGTTATACTACCGCTCCGCGCAGTTCCTCGTTTTCTCGGTGCTGGGCTTGCGTGCCCGGAACGTAAGCTAGAGATGGTGCCACCACTATCGGATTCATGAAGTTGAGGGCGTCGGGGTGGGGATTGTGGGCCCTTCGTGGACTGTGACTTATCAGGCCCTTCAATATCGGCCTGATGCGATTTGTGAGCCCGGAGTGGACTTGAAGTCCGACGACCTGGGCCATGGTCAACGCCCCCATACCCCTGTTGCAGCGCGAGCACGCCGTCTGAAGCAGGTCTGCCAGCACTTTGTAATAGGCCCTCTCCTTCACCTCCATATGGGGCAGAGTACATCTCTGAGTCATCTTCAAATACAACAAGATCTTCATGAACTGAAGTGCGATGGTCTTTGGTATCCTTGACAACGCCGGGCTTGATCTTCACGGTATTGTACCGTGTTGTCTTTGGGCGGCTGGCAAGGTTTGATGGTCCGAGGTGTTTGAGGTGTTCGCGCATGTCTGTGGCATTTCCACGTACTGTAACTGAGCCGCCATCGGCAGCAGCAGAACTGCGTCTAATCATGAAGGTAGCCTTAGGACTAGTGCCGAAGGTAACGGGGCTGTGACCTGGAGCCTTGCTATCCAGGGACAGTTGGCGCGGCCCCGAGCTGCTACCCTTGGAATTTTCGTCTAAACCAACAACCGGGGAGGCCTGGAGACTCTGTAGTTTTGGAATATCGCTGTCAGCTACGACTTGGCCTTTGGTTGCGCGTCTGTAAGTAGGTGCTGGTGCAAGACGTCTGATGGCTTTGTGGACATCAATGTAAACGTCGGATTCATCAATAATTTCTCTGTGGTGAGATATTAGCACAGTATTTGGAAGGGGGATCATAGTGGCACATACTCTCCAATTAGCTCCTCAATGACATCCTCAAGTGTGACAACACCAATGGCGCCATGGTCTTCACCTGGATATTCGGATACCAATACCATATGTGACTTGCCTTCTTGGAAGAAGTTCACAATATCGAGACAGCTGGTTTCTGGGCTTGTCTCTGGCAATGTTGCTAGAGCAAACTCGCCGACTTTCTTGCAATCCTCCGGGTCGTAAGTAATCAGCATCTTAACAAGGAGCATGCCGATGAAGTTGTTTTCGTTTCCAGGTTCGTAGATGGGAATGCGCGAGTATCCTGCCGAGAGGATAGCGTCCATGGTTTCTTCGTCGAGGACAGTATCGACAGACATTGTAAACACATCCCCCATGGGCGTCATGATGTCTCCCACGGCCTTGTCCTTGAGGTCTAACACAGCACTTATTATAGTCACTTCGTCCTGGTTCAACCTGTCACCTGGGGTTGACCCGAGAGTCTTATGTAGCGTGACTAAGGTCTTCAATCCGGACTTCTTGTAGACAGTGCCATGATCTTCGCCGAGAAGGTAGTCGAGGAGTTTTGCGGTAGGCCATGCAATCGGTGCAAGGAGGTACATGAGAACTAGCACAAAAGGTGCCATAACTGAGCCAATCTGCAACCCGTATCTGACGCAGATTGACTGCGGGATAACTTCGCCAAATATAACTAGTGACGTTAGTATATTACCAAGGACCGGAATCAAATATTCTTACCGATTAAAGCTGTGCTGCCAAGCACGGCGGGCCATCCGCCACCGAGCGAGCGATCGAGTATGATGGGCAGAGTTTCATTGACAATGACATTGGCCAACAAGAGTGTCACCAAAACCCAGTGCTTCCCTCTTTTCAGAAGTTTGAACACTCTCTGTGCATGTTTTTGCTCCTTGCCCTCTCCCGAAGTGGAAATAACTTGTAGATATATTCCGTCTTGTCCCATCAAACTGCAATCGGAGTATATTAGCCTGGATCTTTGCCAACAGTGTCATCTCAATGCCAACTTACGCAATTGTTAGACCAGCGAATGCCCCTCCAGATATCACCAATATAAAAGCTACCGTCAAATACAGCCATAAATCGGGATCTTCTGGGCTTTTAGGCAAGTCTTCGTGGCCTTTGATCCAACTCGTCAATGGCGCTGCAACTGCACCTGACATCTGGGAAGCCGCGAGGAATAGGACCTTGGCCAGGCCAACCACTGCTGGACGAGTCCCTCCTGGAGAGACATTGTATCTTGGATTGTGCGACCGAATCGTCATCGTCGAAGCCAGGAGCTTGAAGAGCGTGGGTTCGATAGCAGGCGTTGCTCTCTTTCCTCTCACCAATCCAACTCGGCCGAATTGATTGCCCTTCCTTCACACGTATGTCGGACCAGGTCGATGTTGGTTGTTGCTTCAGGATTGTTGTTGTTCAAGGTACGTATTTACAGTGGAGAAAATTGAGGGCCTGTGGCCGAGACTGACGAAATATTGATTAAGCGCGGCCAGCATGCAATTGACCGCGGAAGCACCAAAAGCCAAGTTTTAGTATTAAGGTTCAAAGGGCCTAGCACAATACAGTAGTGTATACTCTAGTTATAGTAGTAAAAGTAGCGTAGTGCGGCGTCGTGTACTGTATGGACAGGAGTGCAGTGGAGGTGCGGGGTTGTTGTTGTTGTTTGGTCCAGAACGGTGGAGACTTGGGGCGGCTACCAGCGTCATCAGATGTCGGCTAATCGACCTCGTTGATCTTGACGACTATCAAACCTTCAGGACCGACCAGAAACACGACATGCGTCTTAAACTCTAAGAGCCACAACTATATATGTTGATGGAATTTCAAAATGGTCAATAGCTGATCGTGCAATCTACACATACTGATCAAGCAAAAGCCCTGCCACCTCCTCTTGTTCTTCATTTCCACCCTGAACTCCACTACCAGCGTGAAGTGAAGGCACAGCATGTCGCGGCAGTGGCTATCTCGATAATCCGAATTACGGTCAATTCTATCCCATAATACTCCTCGAAGCCGCCCTGTCTTGTTTGTCACGGCTGGCCGCCGAGTTCTACTGAGTAACGGAGAATAGGCTCTTGGAGGCACAGTTCTATTCGATATCCAACGAACGGAATACGCCCTCAACAAAGTCGACTGCTTTACGGATAACCTTGCCCAATCTACGCACGACACCAGTGGATTCCTAGCTGGTAGAAGACATGGCTGGTAACGGAGCAAGCGACCGCCTTGGCAATATTCCCGTGCTAAACACCCAGACACCAGAGCAGAACACATCGCATCCGACCTCAACATCACCCTCCAAAACGAGTCGTTTGGCGGAGTCTCTCCTACCGCCCTTTAAGGAGATCCCCAAAGATACTTCTCTGAATGCCGAGAGCCCAACAACCCCACGGCGAATGCCTTTCCCTCGACCGGCGTCCTTGCAGATGCCCCAGAAAGACCTCGCCAATTTAGAATCTGCCTACAGTCGGATACCTCTTTCTCCAAAGCTTGACCCGACAGATTCGTATGGATCCCCAGTTATACCGCGACGTTCACGAGGTCTAGACTTCTCCCGGGCTGCAACAAATCTACATCATTCTACACTGGCGGAGCAATCGTCCCCTGATTCGTCACCTACAATCACAGGAAGAGCAATGAACATACCCGGCAGGCGAAGGAGCGGGCAATTCTCTTCCGAAACATCTGGCGCCTCTCAGTGGTCTTTTAGACCACCGGGAGATCGAACAACTATCTCGAGCTCTCTCGGAAGTGTTAATATGCTATGTTCAGAGTCGTCTGACAGCACCTCTGACGAGGAGCTTATGGATACAGATGACATTGATGATTCGATCCTCACCACGCCCCAGGTTGCCAGCCGGATGCCGATGGGCCTGAATATTTGGTCACAGCCACACCCTAGCCCAGGGAACAACTGGATGAACCAGTCTCCAGCCGCCAGTAGCTTGATCAACTTCCAGAGGGCAAGAATGCGGACTGGCAAGAGCAAAAAGGGATCAAGCAGCTCAAGCTCAAGAGCTAGCCCCATGTCAAGGTCGCCACCTGTCGGGGGCTCTGATGCCATGAACAACAGCCAATTTGCAAAAGACCTTCCGTCAGGCACGCAGTCAAGGAGGGAAAGTATCAGCTGGGCGGCAAACCAACTACACATTGATGGTAGTGAAAGTGATGATGGTACCCTGAAGAGCACATTGGAGAATCCAGAGAATCTTCCAACCACTCCAGCAAGAGATGGACAGAGGGGAGTCATAAGGAGAGCCGTGACGAGACGAGGCAACATGCTCCCCAAGACAAAGGGATTTGCAAGAATACGAGCAGCGTTGGCAGAAGAAGGCGCACCTGTTGAAACTGAAGTTCGCCGCGAGGCTACTGTAATCCGGCAAGTACGTGAAAACGACATGGACCTTGAGCCATCACGGCCCCGAGCATTATCAACCGCCACTCTGTCATCCCCATCCGTCCGCCCTTCGCAAGGTGATGGCTTGGAGGATGCGTTGGCGGATGACATGATCAACCTTGCAAATAGCAATGCTGGAGGCAGCTTCAAGCAGCAGGTTGTGCGTAATTCGAAGGGTCCGGAGTTCTGGGAAGGCTTCGAAGACCGCAAGTACCGCACTCCGCCACCTCAATTTCCAACCCGCGAATCAGCGTCGACTGTGAGCGATGATATGTCAATGGATTCTCAGACATTTGGCCTGGGCAACTTCTCTATGCTGTCACAAGCCCGCGATGCTGCTGATGCGCAGTCTCAAGGGCCGTCTGCATCGCCGACACGTGCGACGACTCCAATACCAGCGGCGATTGATATACGACGCGTTAATAACAAGCGTCGCAGGGATGACGATTTTGACCCCATGTCCTTCAAACGACGAGCTGTGTCGCCGGGGATGTCTGTACACAACAGCCCTGTGATACAGAGCCCGATGCAAAGGGATGGTAATCCGTGGGGCGCAAGGCCACCGAGCAACAGCGGCTCTGACAAAGGCGCGATTGAATCACAGTCTAGCGGACGCCATAGTGGAACGAAGCGTGTGGGCCTCCAAGGGATGACCGATACGAATGATAGTTTGATGAACATGAGCATTGAGTAGGATTAGATTCGGTGATGGATGAGTTTGGGCGAACAGATTGCACTATGGAGTTACAAGGCATGGCGTCTGCAGCATTTTTTTTGCGCTGGGGAGCATCTGGCTTTGGGGAGTTATGGAAAGATTGCTATTTGAGTTTCCTTATATGGGTCCCGAAGTAGCTCACAAAGTTTGTAGAGCATTGATAGCTTATATTTTGAGCGCAACTTTGCTAATTGACATTCGATTGTCTATTACAAATCCAAATCTATTTCAGTCTGCTATTATCGAGGTACCGCCGTAAGGATCGTCCGATTGACAAAACATAGCATGATGTCTCTCAGTGCCCAAACCCACTTTCAAGCTACTCTGCCGTTTCTGAGGCATGAGTTGGAATTCAGGCTTACCATAAATAAAATGCAGTGTTGAAAGATACCAGTGTTGAAAGATACCAGTGTTGAAAGATACCGGTGTTGAAAGATACATCAAACAAGTATAAATTATATCTACAGATCTATAGTTTGAATCTAGGATAAATTGAGTTCTAACTCAGGCAAACGTTCTGAGCCATCCATTAAAGATCACGTGACGTTTGCTCCGCGTCTTGATACTGAAGCTTATCGGGGATTCATTATCGCATCCAACGCGACGCGACAACTACTCCAATCCAGCCATCCTTCATACCTGTTCGTCGCAAGCAAGCCCACACACTTGATCATACTATCTGATATTGGCGCATATCCTTTGAGTATAACAAAGGACAAAGAATCGAGTTAGAGGCTCCATTGAGCGTTTTCCCGCCTGTGCGACACCTCAACACAAAAAGTAATTATGCCTCCAGGTTAGTAAAGGATTTGTCTGTTTTTAGTTTTGAAAGCTTTGGAAACATTACGGATTCTAATTTTACTACGCTACTGTTATATTGAGCTGATGCAGATGCTAACTGCTTGCAGCGCTGTCGGAGAGTGAGAGCGGGAGCCCTGAGATTGAGGCCCAGGTTACACTCGAAGCGAACAACGGCCGACCACCTAGATCGAGTAACGGCCATACAAAGAAAATGTCGCAGAACGTTAGTGACGAGGAAGATGAGATCTTGGCTGTAACAGCTGAAGATAAGGAAGAGGAGGAGGAAGACGAGGATGAGGAGGCTGAGGAGGACGTGTATGTTATCAGTTGCATATTTTGGGGTAATGCGCCTAACTGCATCGCAGATTCGTCGTGGAATCCATTAAGAATCACATGTTTGATGAAGACGTCAGTATAGTCATTGGGTAGACACCGCCAGGACATTGACTAACAAAGCACAGGGCGAGATCCGCTTCCAAGTTAAATGGGAAGGCTACAACCGCCCGAGCGACATGACTTGGGAACCCGAAGAGAATCTTGTGTACGTTCGCGCCGTCCTCTCCCGTACGAGCGAGTATCACTGACCTTTGCAGAACTGCGACTGAAATAGTAGAGGACTACTACAACCAAATAGGCGGCCGCGAGTTCGTCAACGATGAAGCCGCGAGGGAACTTGAGAAGGTCAAAACTGCCCCGCCCCGTAAGCGTGGGCGCGCACCCTCTGGCAGCGCAGCGGCGCCGAAGGGAAAGAGGGGTAAGGTAGAGAAGGTGGAGAAGCACCCGAAGGACACTACACCACCGGCGTCATTGGACTTTAAGGTGCCGACTGGGAACTGGGAGCACGAGGCCACTGCGATCGAGCAGGTTGAGGAGCAGGATGATGGATCACTGCAGGTGCATATTGTTTGGAAGGGAGGGCAAAGAACGGCCCACCCAGTTGAAAGGGCTTACAAGCACTGTCCACAGAAGGTAGATCCACTACGACGTTGAGCTGTTAAAGATGGATTGCTGACTAGAGTGTAGATGCTGAGATTCTACGAGCAGCACATGTTCGGTACCCCAGCCAAAAAAAGAAAGAGAAAGTGACTAACCACCAAGCAGAGTCTTCGGGAAAGGAGGCGGCAAAAAGTTAATGAACAAGACGGTTATCGACAAGTAATTCACGGAAGAAATCACCACATCGCCAACAATCCTTACCATGAGGTGTACCTAGCTATTTAGGATGTTATTTTCTTGCGACTAAGCTATGCTTCTCACACTCTTCATATCCTCCCACGGCAGACATCAAAAGCACTATAGCGGGAGGAGGGCTTTTTTTTGGAGGCGTTCATGAGCAATTTGACATCTGAGGCGTTCATGAGCAATTTGACATCACATTGCAAAACATACCACTTGCGGCCCTCGGCCATTCTTTTCACGTTTCTTTTGGCTTTATTACCGGGCACTTGGCACGGACGGAACGGACTGGGACGGACGGCAGGTGGGGGAAACAGATGTAAATACAGTTACATATATCAGATCCCAAGCTACACCAAACTACAAGCAAAAACACAAAACAGATATAGTAGCCCTGACATATTTTTCACTCTTCAACTCTCCCTGAACACACAAAAATAGCAGTGTCGGCTAAAAAAGTTTAATGTCACCTTTCTTAGCCATAGGTTGCTTCCCGCGGGGTCATAGTTATCCTACGAAACTATAGGGAAGTATATGTACTTAAACACGCACTCAATTCTTCTAGATATGCAAATGAAGTTAACATAGTGTTGAAAGCTAACCTCGCAAGTAAGGGGCTGGCCGTTGCGTCGCGTCCTCAGGTCAGTGGTGAGAGCTTCTCTGATTACTGATCTTCGTCATACTGTCGGAGGCTTCTTCGTATTTTGCCACGGAATGACTGCTTCTCTCTAACCAGCCGATCGAACCCCCTTCAGTGATCAAGGAGCTTTAAAGATCCTAGAGTGATACGATTTTGCGGTATCCTGTTCCGGTTTCCGTCCGTTACGACCACAGCTATGAACAGCGCTCCGCGAACACGCGCCTCCCTAGCATGTCAAAGCTGCCGACGCACCGTCGTTCTCGGGCCTGGTGCTACTTTATGTGCAGTGTGGCATTGGAGGGAATCAAGACTTGCTCAGACGAGCTTCGTTACTGCATGATCTAAACAGCAATGTGATTAAAAAGAATGAAGATGAAGAGTATAGAGGGCTAAAAGAGCGACTACGTGAGGGCCTGTTGCCTGGGTGAAGACTTGAGCAAAGATCACATACTATGGACGAGATGGCGATGACGAGATAGCTCATGAGGGACATGGTGGGTCTTTAAATACGTGTAATTAAATGGAGAAAAGCTTTCCAAGAACGATTTTAAAAGTGCACACAACGTGCTATCAAGATTGAAAATTTTATCTACTGAAGTCATTTTTTGTGCTCCCCAAAAACCCCTTCCTGCACCCCCTTAAACCGGCACCACCCACCAGTTCCTAATACAGCCTGAGCTTTTACCCGCTCTCTTACAATCCACCCCACCACTCCGTCCGCTCACCACTACCTCTCCTCTCCTCACATCCCCACACCCATCTATCCGCGTCTATTAATCGACTGCGTAGCCCCCTCCTGGACCGCCTTCAGGATCAACTCCTTCGCAATCTCCACCCCCTCCTCACTCCCACAAATCTCAATCGCCTCCCTCCCCTCCCCGCTCTTCGGCACATCAATAGTGCACCCAGACTGCTTCCTAATAGCATTAACCTTCTGTCCGCCCTGGCCAATCACATAGCGGTACAGCCTTGGGTCTGGAAGTCCCAGGTACCCAGTCGTAGTAGTCGCCTGCGCCTGCTCAATCGCCGCAGCAACAGCAGCCTTGGCCTTCGCGACCGCCTCAGCGTCACCGCGGAGAACCCACGGGATCTCACCCTCGATCTCGACAGGTGTGCAAGCGACGGTGTGGAAAGTGTGCGAATCCTCGCCCTCCTCCTGAGCATCAGTGATCAGCGGCAGCGGCGCGTCGTTCGCGGCGGCCTTCTTGGTAGATGGCTTAGCGGGGAGCTTCTGTCCAGCATGGTCGACGGTGACGCCGTGCTCGCGCTTGAGGACATGGAAGAGTTGGCCTCCGTTCGCGACGGCGTGGTGGTATTGCCTTGGAACCATGATAGTCTCGCCCTCATCCTGCTTTGTCAGCTCAGCGATGTGTTCAGCAGCGAGAGCGACGTCAGCGGGGAGACCAGATATCTTGATTCCGGTCTTGCCGGAGTCGCGGGCAGGAACGTCGAGGGCGACGCGGAATTGCGATTCGAGTGCCTTCTTGGCGTCGCCGCCACGACCGATGAGAGTGCGGTGCTGGGCGGTGGGGACGTCGATGACGGTGGTGGTTTGGGCTTCACGGGTGGCGACGACCTCGAGCATGGCGGCGATGATCTTGTCGACAACAGCCTTGTTACCCTCAACCTTAATCTTGTTACCGTCCTCCTCGGCGCGGGGGAACTGCACTGTGCGTGCGAGTTCGCGGCGGTCATCGGAGCCACCGGCCTTGACGATGATGTCGCGGAGATTGGAGCCTGGGATAATCGTTAGTTATGTATGGTTTTATATGAACAAAGGAGCAAACATACCTCCTGCACCGATCAGGGTACGGTGGTGCTTCTTCTCGATCTCAACAGTCTTAGAGACCGTGTCATCAAAGACAGCCTTCTTCTCTTCGATCAGTTTCTTGGCAGCGGCGACCTGGCTCTTCGTGCCCTTAACCTGGATCTCGACGAGACCAGTTGCGCTCTTTGCGTCACGGGATCCGGGAACATCGATCTTCGCGCCGGTGAGCTCGCGGAGCTCATCCAGTGCCTTTCCACCTTGGCCGATGAGCGATGGAACCTGGCTCTGCTGGACGTTGACGGTGGCAGAGAACGAGTTATCCTTCAGGTACTGGAGGAGCGAGAGAATCTCGTCGCGTGCCTCATCCGCACCCTTGGATGGACCCCTGATGGTAACCTCATCCTCTGGCTGCTGGCGACGACCGGCCCTTGGCGCGGTAGCCTCGCTGGCAGCAGCCTCGGACTGGTCGTCCCTGGCGGGGCGGGCGGATTTCGGAAAGTGGATCTGAACCTTGTACCTAGTCTGGAGCTTGTTGATCTGGTTACCCTGGGCTCCAATGAGCTCCCTGTGGTACTTCGGCTCAACCTTCAGGATGTGGGTAGACTCATCAGCCCACTGCTTGCCGAGCTTCTCGATGTGCGACTTGGCGGCCTCGGCCTTAGCCTTGGGACCCTTGAGGACGACCTTTCCGTCATCAACTTGGATCTCGACGTCGAACTTGTCGCGCAGCTCGCGGATGTTGCTGCCGCCCTTGCCGATGAGTTGGTTGGCGTACTTCTGGGGGAAGTCGAAGCCCATGGTGAAACCGCGCTCCTTCTCGTCAGAGATCTCTTGGACGACGAAGTCATTGATCTTGGCCACGAGGGCGTCGACCGACGAAGCTGGTCCGCGGAGGTTGACAATGCTGCCGGTGGCGTTGACGCGAACGGGGATTTGGTCCGATGGGCGCGCCGCTTGCTCTTTCTTGATGAACTTCTTTAGTCTGTCGTGGAACTTCAATGGCACGTCGACGGACTCGGTCTTGATTTCCTCTTGTCCACTGACGATGTTCAAGATGTAATCCCTGGCCTCCTGGAGGCTCTTCTGGAAGGCCTGGATCTCAGCAGGGGAAGGCTGGGTACGAGGAATCTGGTACTCCTCGTCCGCACTGGACGGACCCTCAAAAACGAGTAGGACCGGGGAAGAAGAGTCTCTATCATCCGGGATAACAGTGTAAACACCGAACGCCTCCTGAACCTTGGGTACGACGTCGGAACGCAGGTGCTGGTGGAAAAATGGGTCTACAGGTACGTTCGCCATACGGGATGGGGGGTGGCCGTTAACGATGCTGGTGATCTCAGATTGTGCGCGGATAGTGTTCTTTCCGTCACGAGAGTACAGCTCCCAAGGAGCGACACCATCCTGAAGAAGTTGGGTGACAATGTGAGCATCGTACTGCCTCTCGAGGCGCTCGATCTCCTTGCGGCGCTGCAAGTACTTAGTGACGTTCCTTGCGTGTGCGGTGGCGCCTCCTGGGGCATTGCGGTGCTGCCTGGAGATATCAACGTTGGTGGAGTGCATGCTAGAGGCTAAATCCATAGCCTTGTCAACACCCGATTGCAGGCGGTCGGAGGGGCCAATAATGGTGATCGTCTCATCCTCGGAGTCCTCAGGCAGGATAATCGCGCATCCGGTGTCAGCCAAGAATTGCTGAACAGGGATACCGCGGTCACCAACGATGAATTGATGGCGTCCCTTGTTGATAGCGAGCTGCTCGACGGCCAATTGACTACGAAGCTCCTGAGCCTGCTGCTCAATAAAAGCCCTGGCCTGTTGAACAGCTAACCTGTCTCCTGCAAGCGTGATGTGGTTGTTTGGTGCCGGGGGAAGGAAGTTTAATGGCTCCCCTGCGTTAGTAGGCTGTGGTGGCGGCTGGGTCCTCCACGTGTGATGCGCTGGGACATGTGCGCGAAGGTTCCTGCCTTCCTCAAGGCTGCTGATTCCAGCATTGTTTGGCCCAGCAATAAAGGGGTAAAACTCAGCAGGGATTCCACGCATCCTGTGCGTAACAGTAGCTGTGCGCTCGCCGGCGATCTTCTCAACTTCGCGCCTGGCCATCTCGGCAGCGAGAGCGTTACCCTCAATGAGGATATCGACGGTCGCATCATCATCGTCCTCATCGACTGGCGCAGCGGATGGGTCGACCTTTGGCATCTGGATGCGGGCTCCTGTCTTCTCTTGCAGAGCCTTAATCACCGATCCTCCCTTGCCAATGATGTGTGCCCTCGCAGAGCGAGGGATTGCGACCTGAATAGACTGCTTGGCGCCAATTTGCTCAACAACGTCCTTGAGGGCTTGTCTGCATGCATCCTGGGGCCCAACGGCGCTGAACCAAAGCAGGCCAGCGTTTCCTGTGGTGACGGTCACAGTCGCCTTGGACTTCCTGTTGATGTCCTTGAGGACGTCGGCCAAAGGCCTCTTCATCTGGTTCCTGGGGAGGAGCTGGTTCGGCGCGAGAGAGATTCGCTCCGAATGCCTTCCTGGGATGGAGAAGTTGCCAGGTCCGCTGGATGGCGTAGACGCAGAGGTGGGTGTGGCGGCGCCTGATGTTGGGGCCGATCCGCCCTCGTGTGGAGTCGATCCATTGGTGCCATTGGTGCTGGTAGAGCTGACAATAGCTGGCTTCTTTCCGCTCCAGATAGATGCCACCGAAGGCGCATTCTGGGATTTGCCACCTCCTAACTCTGGGAATAGCTCGTGCGAGCGTGTGTCCAAGCCAGCCTTCTCCTTCGCAGGTTGCTCAGTGGCCTTTTGCTTTCCGGCGGCCTTTGCTGATGCGGTCGGGGCCCATGTGGGAACTGCTTCTTCGGTGTCGTTGATAGCTTCTAAGACGCTGGTGGATTTCGGGGCCTCGCCGTGTCCAATGACATCGTCCTCGTCTGCGATCTCCTCTATGGTGGGGTTGTGTGCCTCGTGCTTCTGCATGAGCTTCTGGGCGGCTGAGAGCTCATTGGAGGTGCCATTGGCCACGGGCAAGTTCGAATCGATGGGTGCAGCCATTGCGTGTTGATGTATATAGCCTTGAAAGGTGAGATTGATTAAGATGACGACTTGGGAAGTTGGCCGCGTGCAACTGAGTGCCAGACAGTGTCTGGGCTGACAGCATTGTTAGCCAGAGATAAATAATAAAGACTCATTGGAAAGGCAGCCTGCAGTGGTGGTAATTGTACGTACAGAATATAGGGGTTTTGGAGGCGGATTGGGGGCTGGTCAAAATATTTGGCCAGATGCCTTATGACAGAAGAGGACACGCAGGCGTATGAGGATGGGGAGCAGACTCGGGGCGTTTCTAGGACGATTGCATGCAGGGCGGCGGGAATTGAGACGCAATAAGTATACTGAGAGAATATTATCGGGCTTCTGCACAAGCAGGAGATGTAGAAAAGGAGAGAGGCTGAAAGAATATATGAGGTGATGGAAGCGTATTCATTCCCTTTCGGCACTGGGACTAATATAATCATGGGGGAGTGAATTAAAGCACCACCACTTTCTGGTCCAAACGGCGCTAATGGGACAAGCGAGCCTCTGGAACAACCCCGGGCGTTCTGTAGGGGTTTAAAATGTTCCCAACGCCAGAAATGGGAGGCAACGTAGCAGTTCGAGGAAGATCTGGATATAAAGAGAGATCTGGCTTCAATATTTGGCTAATACCTGGTCGAATTTTGAGAATTTTGTACCTGATTTACCTTTGCTTTGTGTGTTGATTGATTGATTGTCTCTGTCCGGTCCCAATTGCTGAAGGTTCCCGTTGTCGGCGGGCGAGCTTTGTCCAACGTCGCCGCCACCACTCGGGATCATTGGCGATCCCGGAGCATGTCCGGGCGGGCCATGGTGCTGATGCCACGAGGCGCATATTTCGTCAAACGTCGCCGATGACTTGAAGAGCATTATCTTCGGGGCCCATCGCCATCGGCGCGTTCCACGGCAGCTTCACAGCCAACCCATTGTGACCATACGGACATGCGCCATCAACAGCAAAAGAACCAATTGATGAGTGAGAAAGAGATGAGATGGACGGACGGGACCGGTATTTGATATCCGCTTCTACATTGGAGGACGGGCCACGTATGGCGGGAGTATGTGTGGAATGGGTGGAATGGGGACCTCACTCCACAATGGAAGCGCGGAATTTTGATGGTCTGTCGTGCTCACTCGGTGCGCATGAGCTGCGCAACCAGGGATAGTTCCGGTCCGACCCTCTCCCACGATCGCTCACCTCAGAACGGAGAGCTGGTGGTGGCGGAATGGGAGGACGGAAGAGTACAGTACATCCTGTCTCCGAGATGTGCAGATTAGGCAGTTCATCACTCGGGAGTGGTGTTGGGTTGGTTGCCCGATGTTCCGAGCTGGAGATGCCGTTTTACTGCATGATGGAGGGGCATGCTGGAGGGAACTACCAACAGCCTAGGTAGGTTGGGTAGGTACAGCTCGGCGGCAGGGTGAGGATGAGGACGTTCCTGTTCGTTCGTCCATGTTTATGTACCTCACGGAACATTGGCTGCATGTCTGGTCTCTTTAGTCTCGTTTGGGCAGCCCGGCAACATGGATAGAGTGGTCTTCTTACTCGACACAGGCGCGTATTAACAGTTACGAAGTTTTCATCAGGATCATTTGCACGAGGGAGGATTGGGCGTCGATCGTGTGTTTATATGTGTGTAAAAATACATCACGGCGTTGCTAGGTTGGGAGTCGGTCGTGTGTGTGTGGTGTGGATTTGTTTGAGAGTGCAGGCGCCTGTTCCTTTGCTATCTCTTTTTTGACACAGGCTAATAAAGTGTACAGTACTTACGCAATACTATATCTCCCAGAGAGGAAAAGTCGCAATTTATATAGCTCTCATAGGGCGGGTTTTCTAGGTCCTCTCATCTCCATCTCTATCTGAGTATGGAATGTGCTGGTAGCTGGTAGTAGTGTTGGTGAACTGGCATTCTCATTTCTCGCCTTCTCCTCTGAAAATCCCTTCTCGATCCCCTTCTCGATCCCCTTCTCGATCCCTTTTCGATCCCTTTTCGAGACCCTTCGATTCCCCTTCTTCATGCCCTGATCTGATCCCCTCAACGACCATCCCAACCCATCGTTTCTCCGACCCCAAACGTCCCTCTTGAAAACAGAAACCGAACAGAAACCACTTGCACCGCCCCATTGCATACTCGTATACTATGTATATACTCTGTAGGGCCTAGGGGCTTTAATGCGGACAAACAGAACAACGATTCACAGCCACAGCGACTGATCAGTCACCCCTTCAGGCCTCTTGCTGGTTGTTCTATGTGTTCTTTGCTCCATACTTCATGTTTCCATGTACTGTATGTGCATATATACATACAAGTACTCTTACCCCATCTACCTACTCTGCAACACACTTCACAGACAGATTGTGCATGAGGGGCGGAGTAGTCCACTACTAACGCCCATTACTCGTCCTCATTGGTCGAATTGCCCTAGAACAAACAGCTACCCACCATATTTCCCCCCTCCGACCCAGTTAATGTTAGTACTCTAGACTGCCTCTAGACTGCACTACTCCGTACACTACTATTCACTACTATTCACTACTCTCCACTACTCTGTACACTTACTCCGTGCTCCAAACAACACTTCGGAGTGGCAGAGTGGTAGAATAAGGTACTCTCTCTAGGAAAGGTACTTAACCTTACTACACAATTAGTATACAATTAGTATACACTTTGTTCCTGTTTTTATGTACCTTTTCTAATGTTAGTACTCCTGGTCCTAACAACTAACAGTAACAAACACCACTAACAACAGTTACTGTGAGAACTGTGGCAATCCACACCCACTTTACCACTTTACTACCACTTTACCACTGCTGTACCACCGAAACTGCGCAACCTCCCAAACCCAGAAAGGAACCTATCCCATCCTATCCTGTCCTATCCTATCCAACTTTACGACTATTTACGACCAATCTACCAATTTCTATACCACTATACCACTATACCACTATACCAACTATACACTCTACGCGACACTACGCCGCCTTCAGCAAAACTGTGACCATCATCCCTCTTCGTCCTACCTCTCAACTTGCTCTTCCTCGATATCTCCCCGCTTCCTCCTCTGCCGCCCTGTCCTCCCGCCCAGTCGGAAAAAGTGTGAGAGTGTGATAGAGACAGAGAGTGTGAGAGAGTGTGTGAGAGAGACAAAAATAAATCTCGCCTCTTCTCCCCCGTGAGACCTGTCATGGAGGAGATTAAGAGCACAACCCGCAGATTGACGAAGAAACCGCCTCCACACCTCCACCAGTCCGTCTCTCGCGCCTCCGATTCCACCTCCAACTCTCGACTCGACAACCTCTCAATCCGCAGTCAACGCAGTTCCACCAGCCTCCAACGCGCACCCTCTGCGCCCTTCCCGCGCACCCATAACAACAACAACTCTGGCCACGTGCGAACGATAACCTCGCCCAGTTTCGCCGCGTACAGCTCTTCCAACTCGTCTCTCGATCGCCCCGGCGGCGGTCCATCTCCAATCCTGGCGGGCAACGAGCTGCACGCCCCCTCGGGGGCGCAGAATGTTGGGAAGCGACACTCCAACCCGCAACCGCGCGGTCTGCTCGAGACATCTTCCGAAGAATTCGTCGGCGCGCCGTTTGATGGCACGGGCATACTCAATCAGATGGATGCGTCGACGGCGTCCGGATACCAGAACTCGCTGCGGCGGCCGCCACCCCCACCTCTCTCGCATACGACCCCGTTGCCACAAACCACGAGCCCGGCGTTAAGGCACTCGGCGAGCTTTTCGAACGACCGCAATGAGAAAAATGTATCTAGGACGAACGAGAATCAGATAATTAGTCCGAAGAGGTACTCGGACGAGACGAATCAGCCGAAGAATTTCGCTTTGCGCAAGAAGACAGGGTTTTCAGGGTTCATGAACAGCTTAGTTGGGTCCCCGCGGCGCGTTAATATCTCGGCACCAGAGAATCCAGTACACGTTACGCACGTAGGGTACGATAATGACACAGGGAAGTTTATTGTGAGTATATTCGCAACGAGAATGGTCGCGCGATGAGGCTAATCAATGGTACAGGGCCTCCCGAAGGAGTGGCAGCGATTACTTAACGACAGCGGTATCACGAAGAAGGAGCAGGAACAAAATCCACAAGCGGCCTACGATATCGTGAACTTCTACAAGGACAATGCAGGAAAGGCAGAAGATGACACCGTATGGGAGAAGTTCGACCATGCGCGAGCACAAGACCCGCGGACGCCTGGGACGATGTCCCCGCCGATCACCTCTCCGAACTATGCGGCGGCTATGAGCCCGATGATGAGCCCACCTGCGAGTCCTCGATTCCCACCTACGGAAACAAGCTTTGAGAATCCGCGGTCGCCGCCGCCGGTACCCCGCTCGACCCCCATGATGTCTACTGGGCCCTTTGTTCCAAAAGATACCGGGTTAGTGCCGAGCAGGCCAGCCCCAAAACCACCAGCCAGTGGTCCAGGCCGGGCTGCTCCTACGCCTCCAATAATCGTCAAGGATACTGGCGTTCCGCGACAAAGCACCGATCTTCCCGCGTTAACCTACGTCCCTCCGGCTGAATCCCAGAATGGGATGGCTATGCTACCCGAAGAACACCGTTCGCGCTCGAGGTCGAATTCGAAAGCAGCTGGACCCTCGCCGTACGCCCAACCGCCACAGCAGCAAGCGCAGCCACAGCCATTGTCCCCACAGCAGATCTATCAACAGCAAATAGTGAAGCAGCAGGAGCAGGCAATGACCCAGGCGCAACAGGCCATGAGCGTGCAGCGCAGCCAGAGCAAGCGTCAACAGACCCAGCAGCCAACTCCACCCCACTCCCAGCACCAACCCGCCCGCGCCGTAGCGGATCCCAATGGCATTCCAGCCCCTAACACGCAAGCCCGGAATGTGCCAGGACCGCGCCCGCGCCAACGCGCGCGACAGAGCACGAGCCTGGATATCGTTGACCGACTGAAGAGGATCTGTACGGACGCTGATCCGCGGGAGATTTACAGGAACCTGAATAAGATTGGGCAGGGAGCGTCTGGTGGCGTTTACATGGCGTATGAGCGCGTGACCAACCGCTGTGTTGCGATCAAGCAGATGAACCTCGAGCAGCAGCCAAAGAAGGATCTGATTATTAATGAGATCTTGGTGATGAAGGATAGCTCGCATCCTAATATTGTCAACTTTATCGATAGTTACCTTGTTGGTGGCGATTTGTGGGTCACGATGGAGTATATGGAGGGAGGTAGCTTGACGGATGTCGTGACGTTCAATATCATGACTGAGGGTCAAATTGCGTCCGTCTGCCGCGAGACGCTCAAGGGGCTGCAGCATTTGCACTCCAAGGGCGTTATCCACCGCGACATCAAGTCGGATAACATCCTTCTCTCCATGGACGGCAACATCAAACTTAGTAAGTTCCAATAACCCCACTAACCCCACTAAAACCCTTGCTAACACCCCACCAGCCGACTTCGGCTTCTGCGCCCAAATCAACGAATCCCACAACAAGCGCACCACCATGGTCGGCACCCCCTACTGGATGGCTCCCGAGGTTGTCACGCGCAAGGAGTACGGCCGCAAAGTCGACATCTGGTCCCTCGGCATCATGGCCATCGAGATGATCGAGGGCGAGCCGCCGTACCTCACCGAGTCGCCGCTGCGCGCCCTCTGGCTCATCGCTACGAATGGCACGCCGGCGATCAAGGACGAGGCGGCGCTGTCGCCGGTGTTTAGGGATTTCTTGTACTTTGCGCTTAAGGTTGATCCTGAGAAGAGGGCGTCGGCTCATGATTTGTTGAGGGTATGTTGTCCCCTTTTTTATCCCCACTTATCTCCCCCTTTTGTGTCGGTAGAATGGTGAACCCAAGCTAACGATGCCGAATAGCACGACTTCATGAAACTCTGCTCCGACCTCAACCAGCTCTCCCCCCTCGTCGTCTCAGCGCGCAAAGCGCGCCAGCAAGAGCGCGCTATGAAGGGGAACTAAGATACCCCGCAGCGTTTCGTATCGCAAGCGCCTGTATCGTTGTTGCAGCAACCCCCCTTATTTTTCGGGTTATTTTTATTTATCTTTTTGTGATGATTCTTATTTTTACTTTTTTAGTTTTTTTTTTGGAATGATGCGATTGTAGTCTTGTGACAGAGAGACAGACTCAGCATGGCGTTTTGGGCGTTTTTGTGCCATGGGATGGGGCACAAACTTCTCAACTCGGATGTAGTGGAGAGGGGTATGAGAGATGTTGAATGGAGATATGGACGGGGTTGGTGGAGACATGAGGAAGGGGGATGCGGAATACCAAGAACTTTTTGTGAAAAAGTCGATGAGCGTTTTTAAAGAGGAGGATATTTGAAATATTTTCTTTTGTCTTTTTGAGAGAGGATGTGATGATGCAGAGATGAGGACGATGAGTGAGGGAGGAAGGAGGTGTATATATCATGCCGTTTATATGGCCTGTGATCTAGGACTGGACCGGACAGGACAGGGATGAGGCGGGCTCTCATGGCGGGGCCCTTTGGGGTTGATTTAAGGGTACGATTTTTTGATGGGAGGATGGATTATGTATGGAGAATTTTTATTGCCCGCCCAAGAGATGGCTGATGGCTGGATGAAAGGGGGTGGGTGGGTAAAAGCTTGAATAGAACGCTAGTGATCATGGATCTAATCTCTGCCCTTTCGCTCTCTCTCTACTTTGCTTGATCTATACTTATTGTTGTAGATGTCTTGATATTGCAACTACTGATTTTTTACCCCTCGGGTGGCTGTTATCCGGAGTCCTTCTCTTATACTTTTCGACAAGACAAGCGGAGGTTTGCTCAAGGTGTTGGAAGCTTTGGAACAAGAGTTGTGGGTAACATCAGGCGACATTTTTTTGTCTGCGAATCGGCATATTCTTACTTCTTCCCATTTCGCTGCGCAAGTGGATTCGGGGTTGATAATCTTTGATTTCCATGGAAGAGCGGTTGCCATGATTCATGGCAGGTGTGCGAAATAAAGCAGCATGGAGTTGGATGCAGCATAGCATGTGTAATTGGTCTGGCCTTGGGTATCTGCCCAAGCTGTTACTGGCAAAACTCTACCACGACTACCACTCGCATTTGTTGCTGAGATAGTAACCATCATGAGAACCTTGCCATCGTTTCGTATGGTCGAGGAGTTGAAAACATGGGCGAGGGTACAGGCTAGATTCGATGAGCTGTTTCTAGCTCTGTTCTGTTGCCACTCTATTCCTGTCGTGGCCCACGACTCTCTCACCGTCACAACTCTCTTGTAATCACAACTCTCTTGTAATCACAACTCTCTTGTAATCACAACTCTCTTGTAATCACAACTCGCCTCCTGTCACGCGCAGCATAATGCAAGCACGTCTATTTCCTGTACCTCCACGATGAAGTGGTAGACGCCAGCGTTGTCGATGAATGTTCGTATATCATATATGTGAATTATTTGCTGTACTAACATACCGCGCCAGGAGCAGGACCGCAACAAGGCCGATCTAGACCTGAAGTAGTTGACAAACTTTACTACATTCTGTGAGTTTTGTCTCATTTGTGTTGCTACGCCCATCATGTCAGCCTGTTATATGTTAACCTCTCTTCATAGATGCATGAACATAACATAGACTTACATATCTCCTTGGATTGTTCTGTTGTATATACGCCATGACTTGCCTCGAAATTCCCACTGATGCATATCCGACATATTTTTTAGTTACCTCAGCTGCCCGTGGGCTCTCTAGGTGGCATACGACTGCTATTAATGCCTAGGTTGGTAGACCAACAGGAGGTTCGGGCAGACGTGCAATATCGCCGACAGCGTCATGTCGGAGATGATGAGTCCGAATAGGCGCAAGCAGCCCAGGTCCGAGTCCGTCCCTAAGGCCCCTTAAACAATAGTGATCTTGAATAATTCATCGTGTGGAGAGGTTGTTATTACAGCTTCTCGGCAGGGATTGCATTATCCATGGTTTATCAGCACTACTCTAGTCATAACTAAGTTCAGTCTAAAAAAGCATTATTTAAATAGATGGACAGGATGCCACAGTGCCAGTAGAGATATACAACCTAGAAAAACGAGTGAGACATGCCAATGCATTGAGTGCGTGCCACGTCTAGATGTATAAAAGCTGCCTGCCCTCCTACTAATCGTAGATTCCTACGAGTCGGATGGGAAAAGACTATGGCAGCAAGAGAGCCGCGACAGCGAGAGAACTGTATGGCAGCAAAATAACCGCGCGACAGCAAAAGAGCCGTACGACAGCAAGAGAGCCTTACGACGGCAAGAAAACCTCAGCGAATGTGGGAACGATACCACGAACGAAGTTTCATAGCTGCTCTCCATTGAGCCGCCTGTTCATCTTTCGACTTTTTGGCTTCCTACCCGCACATCTGGTCATTCGAACACAGGTCCTCGTAGGTTTATTAGCTTTCTCCAGATATAATATCATTCCAGTACCCGGTCAGTGCGGACGCCCACTACTTGCACAATCACTGTTATCGTAACAATGAGCTCCATTGTCTATTCTCAGGCTCTAACTTGACGGTGTCTATGGTTCTTCTTCGAAGGGTTGGCTCCATGAATACCTCTACATTTGAAGGGTTCTCATCACAAGCTCATTGCGGGTGAGTACACGCTTGCCAGCCATCTCAGAAAATGTAATCTTCTTTGGAGTATGTCTTCTACCTCTTCGAGCATATTACTTCTCCTTGCTCGTCAAAAACAACAGAATTTCTCAACTAACAGGCAATCGTACTGTGTTGTCGTACAGGGGCCAGCTTCCTCCCCAGCAACGAAAGCGGCACTTGTGAATCCATCTCATATCTTTGTTACTACCACGGGCCGAATCGACAAGCGCCCAAAACCCACAACCTCTGGAGCGTCGCATTCAGCCCATCGGCCCTTCTTTTCGCAACTCACGCCACAACACATGTCTTGGGGGACCAACCGAGGTCTCATCTGTTGGATCTTGAGATGCACACTGCAGTGCAACATCAAAGAGCTGTCAACCTCGATGGTAACACAGGGTGGTTGCGTTTGCGTCTGTCTGTACTACCTTAGGCGTGCGACTCGGGCTGGATGTAAAGTTCATTCAGGTTCTATAAGCGACTGGGATGTACGAGCTGGTCCGAGCAGCTACATCAGATGACACATTGCAACCCCATGAGAAAACAATTTGGACAGACCCGGCGGTATGGTTCTGAAGGATGAGGTCAACAGCCATTGGTGTGTTATCTCCCATATTCTCGGATTAGAGATATGATAGTTGGCGCTGTACATTTCTCGTTCGTGCTTGGTTATTCATGCAAGGGCACTGTGTCAGCATTTCAGACAACATCTCTCGGGATTATCCATGTCAGATTTGATACCAAGGCGGCTCTTCTGGACTACCATGCCACTACATTGTCTCAAGCCGAGATAGCCGCTACCGTAGTGGATTTGATATATCGCGCGGGCATCTGGGAAAGATCGGAGCTAGGAAGCGCTATCGCCTATTTGTCTCATCTTGATAGCGGCAAACTATTTCTCTCTTTGAGAAATTTTCTGAGATGCGCCCTTACATTCGATGGCAGGGATACAGCTACCTTCACTCCCATCTCCGGACGAAATACTGGGACGGAATGAAAACTGTCCATTTGATGGCCGGGGATAATACTTTTAGGGCGGCCTTGCATTCTCCCATCCCTTGCTTTAATGTCATTCCTTTCACAAGAATTGCAACCATCGTGTCAGTGCATCATGGTGCGACGCGTCGGACTTGAGTCTGGAATGGGGAATCCGATATGCCCCTCCATTTACTCCTTTGTTCCCCGCAATCTGATGGACGGCTCTTGAACCTCTATTTCATCTCCCCCTTGCTTAACTTTCTTCCACAGTACTACGTCGCTTACAAGCTTTCCAGCTTTCACGCTTGTATTTAAGCGCCCTTGCCTTGCTTCCTGCACTCCAGCTCAGACCCCACGCTGGCAATCCAGGGTTCACAGTCGAACGCATCCCGTGCTTGATAACCCTGGGAACCAAACCGTCTATCTAGCTTGACTGACTGCCGGCACTGTTATGGGCACCGAGGGCTCAATGCTCTGAAACCAGAATCTATCATGCTCCGGCGGTTAAACTTGGAGTACAATTGGCATGGACAGGGGTGGGGCATGAGAATGTCAATTTTACATTTGCCTGTCGACGAGCTTCATTTCCGATGGCCCTATGACCGATACCAGCTTTGGGCAATTGGTATTAGGACCTATGGGCTAGCTATGGGTACGGCCTGGTAATTACTAGCTATGGGTACGGCCTGGTAATTAGACAAGGAAACGGCTACCATGACTCCCTTGGAAATAAACCGGCTTGCAAGGCACGTGGAGTCTAGAGCCCGGCTTTTAAAACTGTATGGTTGGGAATGTGAGGCAAGGACCACCGCACTACATTCATTTACCAGATGTCTCGGGTTTATAATCTAAACTTTCAAGTCAAGAGCTTCAGCAAGGAGCTTGGAGGCCAAAATCCATGCCTCAAATGTCACGAAAACAAAAATTCCTTGCGTTCTGGAAAAGGCCTCCGTGTCACCTTTAATATTATATAAATAGTCAAGAATGGGACTGTTTTCTATCTCGTCAAACTCATTCCTGCTCCAATTCTCACAACTGGTATGCAATTTCACTGAAATATCTTGTAAGTTGTAGTACACATTCAAAGATTGATTCAAGTTCCGTGTACTGAACCTACCACAGCCAATAAAATTCAACTCGGCCCACAAACCCACCATGAAGTTCCAACTCTCCACCCTTGCCATGCTCGGCTCCTTTGTGGCGTTCACCCATGGGGTATGTCTCAAGGTCAGCGGCAACGCTCATATTATCCCCGAAACCGGAGATATGCAAATATTTGCCGTTCTCTTCAACGATGGCGAGCTTGTTTGCAGTATCAATCGTGCCACCTACGATGAGCAAATGTGGTTGGACTGCCACGATGGGCACTATTCGGCGATCCCCGATGACCTTAGCGTTGTCCTGTATGCACACAACAAGGTGGATTACAAAATTCCACTCAAACCGGAGAGTGCTGGAGCAGATGCCTGGGCCTGGAACGCCCAATTAGGTTGTTAATTATAGCGCATCCTACTGTGATGACAGCGCAAGCCAAGATTCAGCGCACACCTATACTCTTCTCAGATATCCAGTGGACAGTGCTTGGAGACATGGGGGGTTGAGGTTCCTGATGCTCTTCGGCTCCGGTCAGATAATCATTCTTTTCAAATTGGGTATGAATAAACGATTGGAAACGTATCTTTTGAGTGCTGGGAACACACCGCCTCATTCCTCAATTTAGTCGATCATTTCTGGGGAATTTAAATTATGCAGCTTCCACATAATATTTGCTTGTGGCGCCCATGTGACACTCTATCATTCATTCTTATCTGCGAGTCCCTACTATGTCCCAAGAGGCATGCAAGGGCCGTTCTGATATCATCGGATATTCGTGCAATCCAAGAGTCTGGAAGAGGTTCCATGTGACCTGAGGATTCATATTAGCAATTTTAGCTAACAGGGTTTATCTTGGTGGTCTCATTTTTGAGTAACTGGCTTTTCGATTGCAGTCCTGGGTGACTGAAATATTTTACTTGGACTACAGTTACTATGAACGCTGTTGTTCTGCATGGTACCTCTTTAGGCTTTTCGGCGCCTAAGAGTCTGAAGGAGGCTGCCTTTGACTCGAGGATCTGTACCAGCCATTGCATCAGACAGGGTTTATCTCGTTAGGCTCATTTTTGAGTAATTGACATATTGGTTGCAACTCTAAGTTATTGAAACCTCATACTTGAACTACAGTTACTGAAGACACTATTGTTATGTGTAGCTTCTCTTGAGACTTTTGGTCAGCACGAATATCAGCCTTTTTCTCCCTTAACAAAGTATCATATTTAGAAACTCGTAAACAAAAATATGTGGTATGAAATCTAATTCATCTCAATTATAGAGTGAGACAATTGTTTTAGTTCTGTATTCTTATTATTGGCAACTGCACAATGCTCATTGGCGTAATTTTCGGACCCCATCTTCACTCCCTTAGAATGGCTCTTTGCCCCGCCCCTAGAATGCACCACAATGAAAGCCACTCTTTTCCTCCTTGCATGACTGCTCCACTCGTAAACCTAGACCTAGAATTATGTGTCAAGAAAGCAGCTGAAGTGGCTTGAATCCCATGCTGTTCGTGTGATATGGTTTTGCGTGCACATGTCTCATTGATATTACCCCGTCCTCATTTTGATCGACTTAGTTTGAGAGATCTCAAAGCTATATATATGACCTGTACCCTCCCTTGAAAGTTGATTTTAGTATCTTATATCATAGAATCAAGAAAAGCATCATACCGCTACATGTATTATCGCAACCAGACCAAAACAATCCCAGACCACTTCAGTCACCATGCAGTTCTTCCATCAACTTTTGGCGTTTATCTCGCTCCTCGCCGTTTCTAATGCTTGCCTTATACTCGACGGATTTATGACATATGACAAGAAAGGCTTTACGGGAACTCTGAACGACAATGGCACAGAAGTTTGCAAGTGGAGTGTTAATCTTAACAGTGCTTCCAACTTTGCCAACTGCCTTCCAGGATTTGCGGCATATATTACACACGATGCAACAATCGTTGGATACAGTAACCATGGGAAAGAGTTCGCATTTACAACCAGGATCAGTACTATTCCAGCATATCCAGGACTTCCTATTAATTTCAGCGTAACAGCTAAAAATTATGGTTGCTAGGTATGGAATTTCAAGAACTCGCCCCCTTAAAATGATATCAAATAATAATAAATTACAGATTAGCTGCATCATACCGCGAATTTGTTTTCTTACATTCTATTTTCACTTCTTCCTTTTCTCTGGACGTTCCACGATCACTCGTTGGGCTTCCATCAAGTTTCTTAACTACAAGTTCGCCGCACACACACTTCACACTCAACTCTTTTCATATTCATCAAACACCACTACATTCAGCACTCCTTGCGCCTTCTTACTCCTAACGCCTTCTACTTGTTACAATTCATCACTCCTTACGCCAGCTACTTCTTGACTTCGTTACCCCTTACGCCTTCTACCCCTTGCTCCCGACCCCTTATTACTCCGCACCTGTCACCGATCACACCTTCTACTCCTCACCGCTTACCCCATCTACCATTTACTCCTTCTACCCCTCGCTTCTAGATCGATAATACTCCTACATTTGTCAACATTCAAACCTCCTTCCGTGCGCATACTGCACGTTTCCACATTCTTCAAACACGTCAGTCATCACACACCACCATTTCAGAGCTACAATGAACTTCCTTCAGCCAATCTTCGCTCTTCTTTTCAGCATTACCTTTTCTCACGCATGCCTGACCCTTGACGGCGTGTATACTGTTTCTGGTGCTCATTCTAATACAATCTCTGCAACCCTCAACGATAACGGGAAAGTTACCTGCAAATTCAGTGGCACCATTGACCAAGACCATTACTTCGCGAACTGCATTCCAACATTTGCATCATACATCCACAGAGATTTGACCAAGCTTGCTTACAGCAATGACGGTCGGGAATATGTGATCGACGTTAAAGCGACGAGAGACTTCAACAACTTTGAGATCTACGATAGGCTCTCTGCTCGAGCGTTCTGTGAATAGGTATAAATACGTCCACAGTTTTACGACTTATTTGTGGCAACTAATATTGACAGTTTCGCGCTCTCCGCCTAGTTTTTCTCAAATCTATCATCTTGATTGCTGCACAGCAACGTTGATCTTCCCCACCTTTTCATTGCCTTGCTTAGTTTCAGACACAAAACAAAAAAACACATTTCGATATCACAATGAAGTTCGCTTTGTTGCTTTTGGTTCTCCTCGCATCCTTGGCCAATGCCTGCCTCGTCTTTCACGCAATCTACGATCGGGACAATCATATGATCAAAGGAACTATTGTTGATAACGGCAAACAGACCTGCACTTTTAGTGGAAGGGTTGACGAAGAACATCACTTTGCGAACTGCATCCCAACTTTTGCGTCATATATTCAAAAGGATTTAAATATCGTTGCATATAGCAACGGCGGCCACGAATATACCTTTCGGGTCGATAGAGAGATTTATAATCCACGTCCTACGTATTATCACTACGTTCTTTCAGCACGGGTTTTCGGGTGTTAGCAGCAATAATATACCAACTAGTTTCTCAAACTAATCCCGCATACTTTCACCTCAGAGGCAACTCGATCTCGTTTGGAACCTTGACACCTTTGTTCCCAGTTTTTTGACAGCCGCCAACAATCTTCTAGCGATATCAGATCCTTTCACAAATTCGGCTCTTTCATCATTCGACCCTTTTCAACTTTTTACTGTTCCTGCGACTTCCACAATGCAGTTCCTCCAAGCAATTCTCGCTTTCGTCGTTGTCTTCAGTGTCACCTTTTCAAGTGGTTGCCTCGTCTTCGATGCCACATGCAACATCGGCACTTCAAAAATCGTCGGAACTATGACAGACAATGGCCAAAAAACTTGCACGTTTAGCGGCATAGTTGCCAAAGACAAGAAATCTCTGTTTGCATCTTGCATCGAAGGCTTTGCATCCTACAGTCGCTCCGATCTAGAAATCGCCGCTTACAGCAATCGCGGAAACGAGCACTTATTCCCTGTCGCAAAGGAGGTCCACTCGACAAATCCCAGGAATCAATACTATACTCTCTCGGCCCGAATGTATTGTTAGGTAAGACCTTTAAAATTCACTCCCCCTAGATTTGTGTTGCGTTTGGGTGTTTCTCTCGTTTTGCATACTTCGTCATATATGTTTTCATGTTTGTAATCTCACGGATTTACTATATAACCACATATGCACTCAACATCTCTTTGCCCTCATCCCTTTTATTTAAATCTGCTAATTAAATTGAAATTCAGGATGAAGCTTTTCCAAACACTTGCAGTTATCTCCCTCTTCACCGTCGGCTACGCATGCGTCAAGCTGGATGGCAAATACAACTGGGGTACTCACGACATTAGCGCAACAATTACAGACAACGGCAAAAATACTTGCACTTACAGTGGCAAACTTCGCGACGCACATCAATTTCTCTCTTGTATCCCTAGATTTTCTGCCTTCATTGATGGATCCTTAACCTGGGCTTCTTATAGCAACAATGGCAACAAGGGGACCATTCGAATCATAAAAGAGACAACTGGGAAAGGGGCAGATGGGAATGGACTGGGCAAAGATGAATTTTTTCTTGCCGGACAAGCGTTTGGGTGTTAGGTGCGACTTTTTTACTTGTCCCCCCTATTGGCAATTGCGGCTAATTTTGCGTCACGTCAGCTTCTCCTACTTTGTCAAACGCGAACGCAGTTACCTCGCTGACCTCTTACTTCCTTCATTTGTTTTCTCTCCTTTATTGCAATCAAAAACGTCAAAACTCCTCGCCAAGATCTCCCCAAATATCAAATCACAATGAAGGTCATTCAGTCGCTTTCCGTTATCATATCCGTCGTCGTCGCCTGCACCAATGCTTGCATTGTTCTGGACGGAATTTACTCATCTGATACTGGGGCAGTCAAAGGAACTCTTGTTGAGAATGACGTACAGACCTGCACTTTGGCCGGAACCCTGGATAGAGACGCTTACCTCTTCACCTGCATCAATGGCTACTCTGCATCTTTTATTCGGAAGGACTTGACTGCCGTCACCTACAGAGACAACAATGGACGCACATACCAATTCCAAGTTCAAAAGTACCAGCCCGACAAATCTGACCCTCAATATCGACTTTCTGCCAGAATGTTTTGCTAAGTGAGCCATTCATCAGCTAATTTCTAACACCAGTGACTGATCCTCAATATAGTTTCAAGCCACCTTGGCCCCTACCATCTGGCAACTTCAAAATGGTCGAATTGGTCTTGCGTTGGACTTTCTGCTTCTCTGTAATGGCATAGCGATATGGGTCAAATGGATTTCACAATGGGGCGAGAGTTTTCACTTCTGCCGAGAGGGTTTTGCTGGTGCCATGAGGGCTTCCGAGATTTTCCATTTCCTTTTCCTTTTCCTTTTATTTCTGATTTGAGATTCTTCACAGCCACTACCAGATGATTTTATTCTATTAATACCCTTAGTTTAGTGGGCAAATGTGATTGATTTATCACAATATCTTCGGTCTTCTCTTCTATTCTGACACCATACTTCATGTGAAAATCATTTTCCGGCAGCGCACCACAATGCAATCCCCGGCCCCTATAAAATGAAGTAGACTTCTCACTCGCGCCAACTATCAGACTAATGTGTGCTGTAGTCCTCATGGAATCGTCACTCAGAAGCAAGTGCGCAAAGGATCTTCATAGCTTATGCGTTTCAAAACTCGAATAAGTTGAACGACCCAAAAGCCACAGGATTCTGGCGCGTGCGGCGGCATATCAGGCACCACTAAATATTATTTATTACGGTTAGCTCCCTGTCTTTTTGTTTAGCTATCTATGTCGTTGGTTGGTTTTGATAAAGGCTCATAACCTGATAATAGCAGTTTACAGCGATTATGAGGTCTCGCCCAAGGCCACAGTTGCTATGGACAGCAGCAGCCCTGCACAGATACTGTGCTCGCAGCGTAGGGCGTCATGGTTTGTTGCACGACTCAAACGGGACAGGCCTTTTTAAACTCTCGGGCCGCACGAGTACCACTACTCGCATATTTGCGGGTCAGATCTCCAAATCGATAGAGTGAGGTTTAATTAAAGTGACACTATGGTACTCGTACAGTTTCCTCCTTTTTCTACAACTAGAAGGCACTTAATATTCCTCCAATATCATACTGTGTATAAAATTCGAATTTCGGTTTTCAGCAAGTCTGCACTACATTTTTTAAGATGAGATGGAAATTATAATTTTACTTGCATTTCTCAACAGCATTGCGGGTTAGCAAAAAATGGGCGCAATTTGGACGGTGATTGAAAAGTACATATTGCTACGGATGCACCTATTCTCACTTCCGAGACAGGATGACCAAAGATGGGAAGATGTTGATGCACGTAGCCGAAATTAGGTAGGGCTCCGTTCAATATTACCCCAATCCAAAGGACTCATGGAGGTTATAGGCAAGTGAATGTACAGTTGGGCACTGAAAGCTGCCCTGGATTACAACAGGATGTCATACAACAGACAACGGCGCTATCCGGCCTTGTTATTCGTCTCGGTACACTCATTAGATGAGGAAACGAACACTTTTCAAATGGGAGAGGACAACCCCCTTACTTCAAGCACCCACCTTACATTCAAACCCAGGTTTTTTTCAGAAGGAGTAACTGGTAAATTTATTTTGCATATCAAGAAGGCTGTTTTATTGAATTTTGTACACTGGTAAAAACCAACAGTACCATGGTTACATCTGTCTTCTTGCATGTATATAGAGCTGCTTACGAGAAAAAAACTGCATGATTGCCGCGGTTGTTTCTTCGAGCAGCAGATAGACAGTCCCTTACTGCATACTTCTGGGCGCATTCTACAGAACAGAAGCCATATGAACACATTAGTCTTATCTATGACTTCTATGACAAATTTATGTGCAGTTGGCTCTCGTTAATTAGGGGTGTTCTGAAGGATGTTTATCCATTTTCCTTCTTATAAATACCCATCCGAAAGCAGAGAATGTCTTACTTTGCCATATTACTCAATTCATCTCGAGGGGTTACTTCCAGTTGTCTAGCACATCTGCGACACATTTTGTAAGTCCTCGGACAATTTTTCGTGAACTAAACAAACTGCCATTACTAAAACTTTCTTTAGCCATTTCACTTGATCGTTATTAGATAAAAATGAATTTCCGACTTATTGCTCTCGTTGTTTTAGGATTGTTCCTGAATAGCTCCATTGGATGCCTTGTATTTCTAGGCGATCTCAGTCCCAATACAGGTATCATCCACCTAGTAGGGGAGGTTCTTGAAAACCGCGTGCGAGTCTGCGCGATCAATAGCGAACTCAAAACCAGCCCGATTTGGCTCCAGTGCATAACCAACCAATACTCGGCTGCTGTCTCGAACGACTTTACGAGATTTGCGTATTCGCACGGCTCTGCTGAATACAGGCTCGACGTCACCAAGACGGCCAGAGAAAGGCTTTTGGGCGATGCGATTCGATGGACTCTCAAGGGGCAGGGTTATGGGTGTTAAGTGAGAATATTTATGTGCTATCCAGTTAGACCTGAGTACGAAAAGGGCGCTGGATATACGAGAAACAACACTAATACATCATAGGAGAAAATTGGGGTGGATGGATGGAAATGTTTGGATGAAATATCATTATATGAAAGTAACGTGGATGCTGTTATTCTTTTAGTTTTGAATACGGCGCTCCTTGAATGGCGTTTTCCATCTTATAGCTTTCCGTCTGCATCAGTAGTGAAGTCACTCATTTGTTCAGATAGCGAAACAAACATATACTCATATCTAAGCTTCATAGCATCGCTTCCCACTTTTCTCCTATCTTTACAGCACTATCAACCAAATTACCAAGCATGTTTGGTGGGAGTCATGTCTTCCCGTGAAATCGCTTTTAGAAATGAAGTGAAATATTAGAAGCTTTGTCATAATTTCGTTGATTTGTAAAGGATTTTATAGCCAGCATTACTATAATCCAAGACCTCCTAGAGGTTATACCCTTGTAGGTTGGTTGTCTCGGTCTCGGAGGATATTCAACATTCCTGATCAAGAATTTGCTTACTATAGCCAGAGATCTGCAAAAAAGGAACCACAGCTTCCATGTGACTTGGAAAACTACGATTCCTCTAGTATAGCCATTTGAGAAAGTTTTAATTGCCGCGAGGCATTAGAATGGCTATATAAGTCGCAGATTTCCGTGAGAATTAATGCAAAATAAAATTATCTGGACTTGAACTCCTAACTGCGCCATCTCCCATAAATTTATTTCATAGCACCGCACACGCTCACTCAACATCGCTGCCAATATGAAGTTGTAAGGCGGTCCTCACGTGATGGCACGTGAGGTGCCACGCCGAAGGCAGCCCTACGGTGGAGCTGTCATTCGGGTATAGCCCGGTTATTAGGGTTCACAGGATAGGAAGATATATTAGGGGCTGGAGCCTCAGTGGAGGACTCCAGTCAATAGTCGCTGTATCTACGTAGACCTATTGTGCTTACTGAATACGATACCCTTCCTGCCTCCTGACCTGGTTCCCTGGACTCCCGTGAGACCCTAGGCTTACGCTTTACAGAAGTCCATAGCTGCTACGTTATTCCTCCTTGCATTTTATATTCGCCTCTCCGGTGCTTGCATCTACTTCTACTCCAATGTAAGCAACGCAAGAGACTTTACAGGATCCGGATCCCTCATGGATGATGGAGTTCGGGTTTGCACTTGGACCGGCAAGCTTGGTAAAACGGAGCAATACTGGCTTGATTCCACTGAAGGACACGCCGCCTTTGTTACCAAAGAATTCCATACCCTAGCATATTCTAAAGGTGGTCAAAATTTCCGCATTCCATTGACATTTGAGCGTGTCAATGTAGAAGTGGAGCTTATCTACGGCAATGGGGAATCTTGTCAATGCGATGCCAAACATTACTGCAAGTGATAAATTCGCCTGAAATCTATTTTGAGTCGGAACTTACGACTGCAAGTAAGCCCTTCCAATATCCATATGTCCTGAAGGCGCCCCATTAATTAATTAATTTTTAGCTATCTATACCTTCAACACCTTTTTCACTTCGAACTTTTGACACCTGTCTAGAAGTAACGCTTGGAAATTTATTATGCACTCCAGGGCGTCAGAATATCTTGTGACCTGATGGTCATTTTCGACTTAGTTGTGGCATTAAATACGAATCAAATGCTAAATTTTGCTTCTTTATGATTTAGTAGGATAATTATACAATATTCCCATGCGAATCAAACCAAACCTTTATAAAACATCCGAGAGTCCACCTATTTGTTACATCCAGAGACCCAATTATCCGCAGCAATTGTGTTGAACATTGAACCAAATCCCTACGATTTTCTATATTGCCATATATTTGATAACATCACATTCTTTGCCACTTTTAGGTCACATGAGGCTAAATTCGCGTTGATCGTATGCGTGTGGATATCATAGCCCTCCTGTACACCTCCCTCGACGTTGGAATAAGATGCGCCAAATCACATGATGCGAACTAGGGCGGGATCAATAATTTTCCATGATAACCAATCGGACACCAACGAACCTCGCTCGACGAGGCGTTGATATTTTGAAATTCTACATTTATTCCACATTTTACGCTGCACTATCGCATACGGTTCTTGCGCTCCATTGCTTATATACGAACCTAAACGGCCAGCGCATTATTTGCGTCCCACAATAGAAACCTCCGGCCGACTGGCCCGGACGAGGAAGAGCCTTTCAGCCTCGTCACCCCGCCTCATACATACACAGCAGTTCATGGGAAACGAATACCAAATGGCGTCCTTCAATATGGTCACCCGGATCGACGGGACCGAGGGCTTTAACTCGCAGTCTATTGAAGAACGGAATTTCCAAGCTGCACTGATCATGACAGAGTGCCATTTTACGAGGAAACCACCAATTGGGCGAAAGACGGTGAATATGACACTGGCAACAATAAAGAGGACTATGGAGAAGACTCTTAATGTTTCTGAGATTAGGTATGATTCTACATCGTGTTATGTTTGGGTTAGAGCTATCACTAATGCGTGGACTTCAGAGAAGTGCTTGCAAAAAACGTGGATATCTGGATGAGGTTGCAACTTGTGTTTTACGCAGCGATACCAAGGCTTGGGGCGAGATCATTACAAGAAACATATTCAGAGACGGCACCACGGAATGTCGATATACCCGAAAGTAGCACACTCATTGCGGAGAATCATGCGACGTTACTGGAGGACCTGACCTTACTCAACAACCTTCTTGTCATCGCCAGAAACATGCTGGCCATTAAAGAGGTGGCCCAGGATATATGTTCGACTGTGCAGCTGGACAAGCAAATCACAAAGCTCATCGTACTTGGCGTCAATGTTACGAGCAAGGGCTATGATGGGGAGAATGTAGACAACCATACGCGTGGCAAACTAAACGAAATAACGGAACTTTACAAGAAGCTCCTCGTGACCTGCTTACAGTTCCTCCATAATATGACGATGGGCAATGATCGACTGAAGATGGTGTTTTGGTTCGATATGCTGTTTGATAACGACCTTCACAATGATGCCATACATGGATTGCCCAACGACGGCCTCCGCGTCGATGTTGTGTATGAAGAGGTTAAGAACTGGCTTAAGAGGAATTCGCAGAAGTCGCCTGCAGCACAAGTTCTTCTTGCCAAATATACAGAGGACGTGCCTTTAGGACATAACGGCGGACCACTCCCTCCTGATTTCTGGGGAGACGATTCAAAGGCAGAAATAGCCTCCGTCAACAGTGAGTTGTCGCAACAGCCTACAACAGTGCCAGTTTGGTCGGAGCAGGCACCGACAAAGGCCGAGCAAGACCGTATGTATGGAAGAGTCTCCCATGAGATCGATGTTTGGTGGAAGCGCGTTCGAGATGCAAATTACGACAACTGGGTTGTACCAATGGAGACAGTCGAGGGTGCTATATCTCGTGCACAGTCATGCAAAGACAATGCGATGACTCGCTATATCCCGAGGGTCGAGCAAGATGAAGATTTGGAATTCGACCATAGGGAGGTATACGAAGAAGAGGCGGAAGATGAAGTCCACCACGAAGAAGGCGATGGATACTCTACACACGCCGATGATGGACATGTGGAAGGAGAAGAAGAGGAGGAGGAAGACGATGATGACTCCTACGTTGAGGGATCGTTGCGCGGTTTGCTGACTGAAATACCAAACATTCTTGACACGAAACAGATCGAGGCCCTGCACATGACTGTCAAAGCATGCATCGTCGATGCTATGGGTTCCGGTCTAACAAAATCAGGAGAGAACCTGCAAAAGACTAGGTGTAAGATGTTCTTGGCTCTGGACTGTGGCAAGAACCTTCTCCGAGAGATGCTTGTTCTTATCGCAGTGTGGGAGCAGGCCGAATCGCAGTTTATTTTTCAAATCACAGCTCAGATCATTGAGTCCTTTCACCACAACGCTCTACTGCCTTACGCCTGGAACTCCTTGCGGATACTGAAAGATATCGTATCTCCAGCACAGACGATCCTTCTTCGCCTGATCAACTACATGTTCCGCGCTCGCAAAAATACCACCATCTACTCTGATGTCAAGGATTTCAACCGTGACGCCAAACTCATACACTTCCTCTACAACTACTTCCGCTGCCGTGTCGTCCCGGACTGCATCGCTCTCATCTACGCCCAGGCACAAATTCGCGGAAACCGCTCACATCCACAAGACTTCCCAGTAGATCTCTGGGATATGGAGCGCTCCAAGGATGGCCTGGCACAGTACCTGGACTTCATCTATGTCATCGCTGACATCCCTGAGATGCGACCCCTGCTCATCGAGTGGGAAACGACATATGAACTCATTGCTCTTCTCAACGCACTCGAAGCTGGCGTAGCTCGTAAACCGCTCGCCGAGCCGAGACGCACTACCCCGCCTGCAGCGCGTGCCAACAATGGAGACGCAAGCAACGCCGAGGGCGACAAGAACTACGATCCCTCTCAGCCGCAGGCTCCACCTGACTCGCAGAATGTGCAGCCTGGTCCACCGCCTCTTCACGACACCCCCCACAAGTTCCCGTGGCGCGGAATCAAAGTGCAAATCCTCATAATCCTCACCTCTCTCGTGGCGCCCTCCAATGGACGGTCCGGGCCTGGAAATCCTGTCGTGCAGAAGCAGATTCTCAAGTACGGCGGTATCATGGCGCTATTGAACTGCTGTGTGTACGATGGACACAACGAGTACTTGAAGGAGCGGGCGACGCTATGTATTAAGTGGGTTATGGAGGGGTGCATGGAGGCGCAGGACTTTGTGCGCGAGCTGAGTCCGCTGAAGAATCAGAAGCAGGATGTGGAGATGGTGAGGTCGAAGGGGGTGGATCAGGTTGGTCCGGTTGGCGGCGAGGATGTCGTGGCCCAGTCGGCACCGCAGCTGTCGAAGGATAACGAGAAGTACGAGATGGAGAGGTTGTCGAGGATGGCGGATGCGGTGGAGAAGATGAGGATTGCAAATGTTGCCGCGGCGAAGAAAGGATAGAAATTGCAGTTTCATGTCAGGATCTGGGGGAGGGGGGAATGTTGGAAATGATGTTCTATTTTAGCATAGCGAGGCGTTTTATGAGGGGTGGTAGGCTATGAAATGTGGGAAGTTTTACGGGGTAAGAGTTTGGTAAACTCATGGATGGCGTTGCAAAAGAACGGCACGGTCATATAATAGGCCTCTAGACTATTGTAAATATCATCACAGTACTCGCATGCCATCGTTATGTCCGCCTCCGATCTCGCCCACGCACCTTCAACCCCGGCGTATATGCTTACCACTTCGCCCGCTCCTTCAGCTTCTCATTCTGGATAACCTCCACCCAGTATCCGTCTGGGTCTAACAGGAAGGCCACATTCTTCATCTTGCCCTCTGTGAGCCTCTTCTTCCACGTTGCGCCCACCTCGTCAAATCGCGCACACGCTGCATCGAGATCATCAACAGAGACGCAGATGTGCCCGAAGCCCTGCGGCTCCGCATTCCCATTGTGGTAGCTGAAGGACTCATCGGCCTCGGTGCCGTAATTCCAAGTCAACTCAAGCAGGCCCTCACGATGCGCCCCTGTGGCACTGCTGGGGTAGCCGAGGAAATATACGTTGAACTTGGCCTCGGGCATCTCGGCGGTGCGCAGCAAGGTCATTCCGAGGATCTCCTGGTAGAAAAGCAGCGAGCTCGAAGATGACTTCACGCGGATCATGCTGTGGTTCATAACGTACGTCTCGACGTCCGTGGTGGTGATATCTGCCGTCTCCTCGAGGGGTTTCTGGCCAATAATCTCAATCCAGTATCCGTCTGGGTCGAGCACGAAGGCAATGTACTTCATGCGACCCTCAGACAGCTTCTTCTGGAACTTGTATCCACCGTCTTCGAGGCGTTGGCATGCTGCCTGGAGGTTGTCGACGCTGATACAGAGGTGACCAAAGCCTCGGTTCGGCTCCTCATTGCCATTATTGACCTTATAGTTGGGATCATTCTCGGTGCCGTAGTTGTGCGTTAGTTCCACAAGGCCCTCGCGGTCAGACCACGATTTTCCGTGACTCTGGGCCTTGGGGCTGTCGTAGCCGAAGAAGTAGAGGTCGAACTTGGATTGAGGCTGCTCGATCTTCTGGATCAATTTCATACCGAGGAACTCGTAGAATTTGGCTATGCGATGGTCAGTGAGGGGTAATGTGAGAACAATGGGAGGAGAGTCCCTTACCGGACGCTTTGGGGTCCTTCACCCGAATCCTGGAGATTGTTAGTGCAGCGAGACGCAAGGGGCCGAGAGGGCGTACATCGTGTGATTGAACTTGTACGACTCCGTTTTGGACGCCATAGTTGCGAGTGACCTGCTATCTTGCGAAGCTTTTAGCATTTTGAATACATTCTTTCGCGCCCAAGGTGGGGGGTAACATGCTACATACCTGAGCTAACTACGCCGAATCTTGTGATTGGAAACCTGAAAGTCCTTTGCAGGGTCCGCAAAACGAGCATACGTGTAGAATGGGCAAAGAGAGGACAGCAAATAGATAATTCAAAAACGAGGAAGTTTTGAAAGAGAAGGGGCAAGTAGTGCTCGAGCTTACAGATCTGCCCTCCAAATGACGTTCGACCCACAACCCCGCGGCGGCGCGAGTTGCTGTTGTGGGGCACGCAACAGTGCGTGCTTGGATTACAGTACAACCACCAATTGCAGGCGCATATCCATATGCCAGCTCAGCCATTCGTGGAGGAGGTATCTTGCGTATAGAAACATATAAAGAGGTCAAATATCATCAGATTCAATTTTATACAACCCCAAATATACATAATAATGTCTAAATTGGGCTTTCTTAGGTCACAGTCCATGTAATAGCCAAGATATTCCCAATCGCTTATCGGAAGGCCGCTCGGTCGCAACTCCGTTATCGTGAGCCTCGACCAAATCTGCCTTGGGAGCATCGATTGCTCATTGCTCAACAGCGTGAGACATCAATCAACCACAACCAATCCGCCCTATGACTTCCACATGCCGAGTCACCACCATCGCGATACCCTGACATATCTCTCAGTGCCATAGTACGTAGCACCATCACCTCATGCAGCGCTGCTTCAACTAACCGGAGATCTGTGTCCAGATCCAAAACACCTCGGCGCTACATACCACCACCACGACCACCACTCACACGATGCTCCTCACCAAGCCGCTCACGACACTCCTATCCTCCTCCCTCTCCCCCCCGGTCTCAACCCTCCTCCTCCTCACGCCCACAGGCCACATTCTCTCCGCCGCTTCCGCGCTCCCCTCCTCCATCCTTCGTGCGCGCGCAACCCTCGCCCTCCAAATCTGGGCGCTCTACGCATCCAACCCCTCCGCTCTTACCGACGCACTCCCCAGCGCACCAGCAAACCCCGAAACCCCAGACGAAGACGAGACAAGCGAGAAAGCGCCTCCGGTCTCGAGCGTAGCCGTTCATCTCTCAGCAGGAACAATCGTCATACGTCTCCTCAGCTGCGGCCTCTTGGTATGCGGTCTTAGCTCTCCGCCTGCTGAGGGTGAGATACCGGCGCATGCGGGTACGCCGACTGGGTCGCAGCGTGGGGCGCGGCCGAACTACCAGGCGCAGCATTTTCTGGCGCCGGGATCGCCGCTGGAGGGCGTGGCGAGTAGTGCTGTGAGTGACGCGGGGAGCGTGGGGACGGTGGGTAGGAGGGGGAACAGGGAGTTGGCTGTGTTGAGGAAGCGGGTGGAGGAAGTGGGGAAGTGGTTGGATGAGGAGTTGGGAGGGTTTGCAATGAGCGAGGGCATTTGAGGGCGTTGGGTGATACGTTATTTCTGTGTTGATACAAGAGTGGACATCTTGGGAGAGCGGATTGAAAGGTCTTATTTGAGGGGCATTTGGAGATGCTGCTGTAAGACTAAGGGCGATGTGAATTGGGGGCGGCTACATTTTGGCCTGTAAGGAAAGAAGGCAGCTTTTAAGCTGCTGCAATGCTTGTCCACCATACGCCAACTGAGGTGTGTATGATAATCCCGCCGCAAATATAGCAGCACCTATGTGCGGTATGCTTCCCACTGGTGGCGGAGAAAGCTGCTTTGCAGTGTACCTACAAACCCCCAAAGAAAATCACTTTATGACTCTTGCCTTCATGGAGATATATACACATATTACTACAATAATACACCTGAATACATTGAATCGGTAACACTGTAGACCGATGAGTGGCATATTAAGCCCAATTATTTTCTTCGTTCTTCCCTCCAAATCGAGAAAGATTCGTAGCAATGAACAGCTGACGTCTGGCCACCTCCTCGTCATTTGCTTGCGTCAGAAAAAAACGTGCCACAGCGGGAATTCATTGGCGTCCGCACGGGATCCATATCAGGATCGCGATCCTGGTATGAATCCTGTGCGAAGCTTTTTAAGTCCGACTTTAAAAGTTGCCGAATAGGACTAGATTAGCGCTTCCACAGTAGCGCATCCTAGCTGAGATAGAGGAGTTAGAGTATTCGTTTTGGGACGGAGCGACCGGAGCGATTTCCTACTCCGTGGGACTCCTCGCTGTCTGAAATATGTTGGTGGTTCCGCAACTCTGTGCCTTGCATGATGATGCGCGTACTACGCGGCTTTTACGGCCTTAGGAGATAACTGAATGGCTATGAAAAGACAAGACGCGTACCCCATGACTACTATTTACTCTCTATCAACGGCTGTGGATTTGATTAAAGCTCCTTCGCGCCCTGAAAACAACCCCCTAAAAACAATTTAAGTAGTCTAAAGCCTTGCTATTATTGCAACCTCCATTGCAATTATGTTCCCCTTTATCACTCTCGAGGAACACTACGTCTCAGTAAAAGCACGGGAAACCGATACTGTCGATGACTACGCCAGCTTCCCTCAGCATATAGTTACCAAGTTAAAATCACTCGGCGATGAGAGAATACAAGATCTAAACAAGGGAAACGTATCCCTCCAAGTTATTTCGCATAGTCCTGGTACTAGGTCTCCAACCGTCTGTTCGGCAGCCAACGATGAACTTGCCGCTGCCATTTCCAAGAATCCAACTCGCATGGCCGGCTTTGCAACGCTCCCAATGAAAGAGCCAGAAGAAGCAGCGAAGGAGCTCGAGCGTTGTGTCCGGGACCTGGCCTTTGTTGGTGCATTGGTGGATAACCATGCGGATGGGCAGTTCTACGACGACGAACGTTTCTGGACGGTTTTTGAGAAGGCGAACAAGTTAGATGCTCCGATTTCTATCCACCCAACATACGCGGCTGACAGTATGATGGAACATTATAAGGGTAATTACGACGACGCTATAGCTGTTGCTCTGAGCGCGTATGGTTGGGGATGGCATGCAGACACTGGTCTGCACATCTTGAAGCTATTTGCCAGTGGGCTCTTCGATCACTTTCCGCAATTGAAGATCGTAATTGGACACATGGGAGAGTTGCTTCCGTTTCAGCTCGAGAGGGTTATTGCGATTGCAGACAGGTTTGGTAAGAAGAGAGGGTTCAGAGAAGTATGGAATAAAAACATATGGATCACGACGAGTGGCATGTTCGCTCTAGCACCTCTGGCGTGCTTGTTGCAGACCACGTCGATTGATCGTGTATTGTATAGCGTCGACTATCCTTTCTCATCTAATGAGAAAGGGCTCGACTTCTTCAAAGAGATTGAGAAAAGCGGATTGATTGCAGGGGAGGACTTGGAGAAATTTGCGTTTCGTAATGCGCAAGACTTGCTTCGCGTGAAGGCTCAAGCCCTGTAAATGCCTTGGTTCGGGGATTTACTTTATCGTGTATATCTTAAATTCAAGCAAGCAGGAATATAAGCATTATAAACTGCCATTTTTAGCCTTTGATACAAATTTAGAACTGCGGCTAACATTATAAGCTTTCCGGGTAGGTTGTTATAAATCAGATCTACTTACAGGCTTGTTCCTTAGCCCGCCCCGACCCTGTCCCACATAGAACTGTCACCAGCCATGGTTGAAACTAAGATTATGGCTGACCAGACCTGGGATGTTCATACAGCTAGTGAGGACATGCTCACCGAGCTATGCCACCAAACTGAGAAGTTGAATGGCAAAATTGGCGGGTACAAAGAAGCAATTCGAGTAGTCAAACTTTCAAACGACATAGCAGTCAAGGTTGGGCGTGGCGTGACGGCCACTAAGGCTAGAACGCAGGAATTTGCACATCAAAATGTAGATCCGAGTATCGTTCACGTTCCTGAAGTCTATCGCTTCTTCGAACGGGACTATGATCCCTGCTGGAGCAGCTCAGTGGGCTACCTATTCATGGAGTATGTGCCAGGCCGGACGCTTGCTGAGATTGACCTTGATGTGAGAGACGACATCGTTCCCCGTATCTCTCAGATCATTGTGCATCTTGGCCAAATCGAGGTGCGCAATGACCTGAAAGACGCAGTCCCCGGGCCCATAGGTGGTGGAAGTCCTCGAGGCTCTCTTTGGGGTGAAGATGGCGCAGGAGAAACACTCACGTGTGTGTCAGACTTGAACGCTTGGCTCAACAAACGTCTCTCATTGCAGAATGACTCTCCACTTGTTTTATGCCATCTTGATCTAGCCCGGCGGAACATGATTCTAAGAGACGACAACACAATTTCTCTTGCTGACTGGGGTTGTGCGGGACTTTATCCAAGGTTTTACTAAACTATAACGATTCCTTACCTCATTCCTTGGGATGCACTATACCAGAAACCTCTAATCGAAGCTACAAACACTCTACTAAGTTTGACTGACGAGGAAAAGCTCTTGGCGCGACTGGTCCAGATTGCCCGCTCTGTCAGTCTGCGATATTCCTTGTAAGCATGTCTATTTTAAAGGAAATCTCGAAAACTAATTGTTGGAATAGCGACATCGACAAAAGGTCATTTTGTCTACCAGAGGGATTTTCTTCATTGCCCCCTCTACCACCACTAGGTCAATAAAATGGCCCATTTAGGAGTTACTAGGGTAGTTGGGGTTGGATCGATCATTTGGAAGGGGTGGGAAACAAGCTTGCAAGAGAGGTTTACATTCACCAGGAAGGATGGATGCTTCAGAGGTTGTAATGATTACACATATCTTTCTATATCACACTATGCAATCCCTAAGTTGGGTATGGTACATTATCTTACACGTCCTCATCAACAACCCCTTATCTACGGCCCAACTTCCACCTCGAGATCCTATCCTGGATCTCAGCCCAAGCAAGCTGCTTCCTCTTAACCCCATTACCCTCCTCACCCTCCTGCAGCACCACCGTCGGTGCCCCGCTTCCATGGCCCGGGTTCTTCACCAAGCCCTGGAGAACATCCCTCGCAACTCTGCGCAAGTCCTGCACAGTGAGCTGGTCAATCTTGTTGCACATCTCCTTCACCCCAACCTTGCTTCCGTGAACCTGCACCTGGCGTCCCAGATCCTCGAGCTCCACCATCCGCGACTCAAGGTTCATGAGCAGACTCGAGCGCAGCTGGTTCTTGGCGCGGTTCACCTCCACCATCTGCAGGGCGCTGAAGCCATTCTCGAGCGTCAGGGCCTGTAGCTCGCGGCACATCACGTCGAGCATCTGCACTACCTTGCTGGGGGTGCAGCTGGAGGTAATGCCGAAGAGGCCGGAGTCGGTGTAAGAGTGGTTGAAAGCGACGCAAGACTCGACCCAGCCGTGCTGGTTCAGGACATTGGTGTACAGGCGCGAGTACATGCCCTTTCCTGGTCCGCCGGCCGAGAAGGAGCCGCCGCCGCCCAGAAGAGTCTGGAGAGTTGCCAGAGCATAGATATCATCTGATGAGATGGGGAGGGCCTCGAAGGCAAGGTGGATGTGGGTGAGTGGAGGTAACGAAGGGTTGATTGGTGGTGGGAGGACAGGAAGAGCGACGAATCCTCCGGTGTATTGTGAAGGTGCGAGGATCTGTTCTGGCGTAGGGGGTAATGATAGGTCTGAGAGAACAGAGGCCTGGTTGGAGGCGGAAGTTGAGAGGTTCTTCAAGAATGGTAGTCTCGAAAGAAGATTCGAGGACTGCTGGACTGGAGACGGCGGTGCTGACGCGGATTCTGAACTCGACGTGGAGCTTGCTTCCGAGGCGGAGTCGAGTGACGTTTCCGAGCCTGTCCTGGACAGTTCCGGGGTATCTTCGCTCTTCATATCTCCAAAGTATTGCTCCGTCAGCCTCACTGCTTCCTTGTGCTCAACGCCTGCGAAGGCAACAACTATTCTTTCTGGCTTGAAGAACGCCTTGCGGTATGCCTCGATAACACTCTTATCGATCTTGTCAAGCCTTTCCTTGGGACACAACAGGGGGTTACCCAGTGTGTTGTCTTTGTATGCCGCCATATGAACAAGCTCAGGGAGGATCAACTCCGGCTTTGACCAAATCTCGCCAATTTCGTAAGACGCAGTCTCTAGCTGTTGCTGAACCTCCTCTTCCGTTATTAATGGATTCCGAATCGTCTCCGCAAGTAGCGCAACGGTTGTCGGAACAGCGGAATTGAAGGTGGCGGATTGGTACATGAGCGATTCGCGCGACGAGGCACACTGAATATTTCCACCCAGAGACTCCAAAGCTTCCAACATCTCGTCACTGGTGCGTTTCGTCGTGGACTTGAAGGCCAATCTATCCATAATATGGCTCACGCCTCTCAGATGCTCATTCTCGTACCGAGAACCGGCATCAATGTAAACACCAATACCCGAGAAGTGGCCAGGCAAAGCCTCTGTAGCAACACGGACTCCATTCGGCAGGGTCGTTATCTCATCCAATTCGACAGGGTCCTTCTGGCTGTCAGCGTCTGCAAGATGTTGGGCGCAACGGAGATCCGGGGAAAAGGTCTCCTCACCTTTTGAATTGGCTCAACGACCGTGGCAAGGCTCCGTCGCGCTATTGAACTCGTCGCAGGGCTCGGTGACTTTGTGCATAACGGCAAGAGACGGCTAACCGCTCGAGATGACGGTGTTTTGATCATACTTGATGCGTGACTCTTAAAAATGGCCTTCTCGTGGCCCAAATAATTATCATGGGTTGCGGAACGGAATTTGCCGGCCAAAGAAATAGAGATCACGTGCCGATTATGATATCATAGGTTGGTTTCCCCTGACAAAATCAGGCACAAGAGATTCATAGCTTCAAATGCGGTAAATATATTTCACTTAACGCTTTTCCAGCTGATTCATACCCATCCTGGTCAAAGTATCATTATTGAGGCCTCTTTCACCTTGAAGCGGCCAATTACTAATCCACCGACCTCAATCTTTCAGTGGATTGATGCTTTGGACGGACTGTGCCATCCGGACTAGCGGGTGGGCGTCGCCGCCCTCAAGATTATTATGCCTTTACGATGTCTCCCTCAGCCATCCAATGGCGACCATGTCAACACGAAGGAAACGGGTCTCGTATTGAGACCCAAGGGATGCAGTGCACTGCAACTTTAGATATAGATGGGCGAAGGTGAGTGAGGGTGAAATGTTAAGTGGATGCTCTTGAAGTTTCCTCTTAATGCGAGATCACCACATATATAGTTAAAACTGTCATGACTAACGTGTAACCAATATAGGATAGTTTCTAACGAGACAACCTAATAAAGATAGTGTATAGCCAATATAAGTACTCCCTTACAAGTTATTGATCAAGGTATTATATGCTGCCTTCGGCTGATAGTTGCCGTCAAAGAGGAGAGGGTTATCACTAGACCTCCAGCTGTCTTTATCAGACACCCCCCAAACAGTGATACCGACACACTTCGAGACCTGAAGACAGGCGTTCATAACAGTGAGGTAGTCGCTAGCAGCCGCACCCGAGATATCGAGCTCGGTGATAGCAACCTCCTTCACGTTCGAGGCTGCGAGCACTTTCAAGGCAGCGGGGAAACCAGAGGCAGAGTTCCATCCACCAGGAGCAGCTAGGTGGGCCTGGCTGCCAATGCCGTCAATGGGAACGCCCTGGGAGAGCCACTTGTTGACTTTCTCAACCATTCCCCGGGTCACCTTGGCGTAGTTGGCGATGTCGAGGTTGTAGTCATTGATGTAGAGCTTCGCGGCCGGATCAGCGGCACGTGCGGCGCGGAAGGCGATGCCGACAAAGTCCTCGCCGAGAACACGGCTGAAGACACTATCGCGGAGGGAACCATCCTCGGCGAAGATCTCGTTGACGACATCCCACTGGACGATCTTGCCCTTGTAGCGCGTGACCATGGTGGTGACATGGTTCTGGATTACCGAAGTCAAGGTGTTGCGGTCATTGATAGATTGTACCCAGTTCGGTAACTGAGAGTGCCATAGAAGGGTATGGCCACGGACAAGCTTGCCGTTGGCTTGGGCGAAGTTTACGACGGCGTCAGCATTCGAGAAGCTGAATTGGTTACGGCTTGCTGTATGGAAGTTAGCTCCTACTAATTATTCAGGAGAAGAGCAGAAGCTCACGCTCGATAGCATCCCACTTCATGCTGTTCTCACAAGTAACCTGCCCAAAGCTGTTCTTGACAATGGTGGTTAAGGGATTGTTGTTGAGATGGTAGTGATCGATCTCGGTTCCAAAGTACAGCTTTCCCTTGGCCTTGAACTTGTCGTTCAGGCCACTTCCACCATTGCCGCTTCCTCCCGTAGGGGTAGGAGTGCTGCCTCCAGTAGAACTAGCTGGCGGGTTTCCTCCTGATCCGGGCACGCACTGGGAGTACCAGTCACTGGGAAGATTGTGAGTAATTAATTGCCTGGGAGGAGACATGTCTCTGCTAGAGATTTACTTACTTGCTGTATTGGCATACTGCGCCAGAGACGCAGGTCTTGTCACCAGACCAGCCATTACCGCCACCTATTTTGAAGTTTAGTAATAGTGGCTGTGTGAGAAAGACATGACTTGCATTGGCCCCAAAGAGGGGTTTGCGCAAATACAACCGTGGGCGCGATAGCGAGAACAAATGCGAGAGTATGCATGATTGTTGATTTACACAGAGAGGCTAAGATGTGTTGTCAGTAGCTAGAAAGTAATAGAGAAGGCTGTTAAAACTCAAGGGACTTGTTGCTTCTTATATTCCTATTCGGACGCATTGGCATTTCGAATCAGAATAGATCTGAAGCACTCTTCCATACATTTCAACGGTACAACCTAGCCTAACCTATTATGTCGAAAGGATAATTAAATTGAATTGGTAAGCTTAGGGTAATTCATAGATGTGATATTTTTCAGACTTGGCTTAATTAATGGTCGGAATGTCGGTAAATATCTAGCCTTCAGCAATTTGAACATGTGCGCTCTGGATTGCTTCGCACTCTACATGGTAGGCAATACGGGTATCTTCTTTCGCCGTCTCTTCACAATTAATAAACTGATAAGTCTTCATAGTCTAAACACGGCAGAGAAAGATCCAATACGTAGGAGATCTACTACGAGGCTTCGCACGCTAAAAAAACTCATATTCCAGTATCCGATTCACATCAATTATGTAAGGTATGCCAAGGCAGAACGGACTCTGTTTGCTAATTTGACTCCGCCTCTAGTAGCACATTAAAAATATCTGTGGCCTTGGCGACGCGAGATACCCTGTAGATAGTGAGGTCATTAGGATCGCTATAGTTTGGTTTTGATACCCTTAATAACACAGCCACAGTAGCCAGTATTTGACTTCCAAGTCCAATAAGATTAAGTTAAAGTGTGAAATTTAGCTGACGTTTTGTTACGCAGATCCTGCATAGCTAGAACCACAGCTAAATATCCTTGCTGCTCTTAAATTAGGCTGTTATTCGTATACGGGACGGGTAATGAGTTTACCTTTAATACGAGCATGCTTCAGGAACGCGGGCCTTTAATCCCATGGGTAGATCCATACAAATTATGAGGGGTAACGTCCCTACCCCGCATTATTCATCTTTACTCATCTCTTCTATCAGATGGAAGTGAATATCGATCTTAAATACAATAATTCGCCGAGGCAACGAGGTGCCTGCACAAAAATAAGTAACTTGTGTAAAGGTAGCTTAATAAAACAGCAGAAATGAATTCACAATACCAATTTCCGTGAACCATCTAAGATCTTCTCTATGGTTAACGTTACCAGCTCGCTACCAACTCCCCTGAATGAGTGATATCCACAATAGTAAATTCAGAGGCCCCTATAGTCAAACAACGATATAGATATCAATAAACTATCACCATCTATTGGCAAATTTTAAGCGCTGTGGGCTACTTTGGAAGGTCCTACCTCGGTCGTACTTTTCGCAATGCTAAGTCATACAGCCTAGAGCTTCCGTGGTGGCGTCGACGGTGTTGGAAGCGGGACCCAAAGTAAGAGCTTAGAAACTGCCGCTAATCATTGCCGATGTACGATCTTAGGGTTCCGGAAAGTCTGACCGAGAGCCTAATCTATGGACTCATTTATATCTTGTAGATCCTTGCTGCTATAGGCAAATACTCTTGACTCGAGATTTAGTTCGCGTATCAATAACCTTAATTCTACTCCATCTGGTCACCCATCCCATGTCCACTGAAATATATTGAAATAAATCGCATATTACCTTCGGACGACAAATATGGATGATCTACGCCTACTCTGTATGGTACTTAGGGGCACGAGCAGAGTTTTGAGGATTATTCAGGAATTACTCAGGGAGGGGCCCGGTGGGGTAGCGACCACAGCTCGACTACTCCTCTGTTCTGAATTTGGGGGTTTGCTCCAACTACCTATTAGATAGGCATGTTTAGTTTATACCTACTTTAAATCTACTTTAAATGAAATGCCAAGCTGTCTTATAGATTATGTACTTCAACTCTTCGAGTCATTTAGGCACATACTGTTGGATCAGTTGATGGGACTATTAGCGATGCCTTTTCGATTTTTGATAATTGTTTGAGTAGCAGTGTATATAATCATCCTAAATTCTCTAGAATATGAGCTCATTCATAAATCAAGCCGCATTTCAAGCCTTATTCTGATCCACGACACTCAACATGATATACTCGGAGACTCTATTAGGTGCCTTGCTGCTGAGCTCGTTCATTCCTGCAGTACTTGGTCAGAGTTCTGTATGGGGCCAATGAAAGTCAACTCTCCCTAGGCGTACTAAACAAGGCTAATATTCTAATTTAGGTGGGGGTATGGGCTGGACTGGACCAAATACGTGTGTATCCGGAGCATGCTGCACCTTTTCTAATGACTGGTAGTAAGTTATGTCCTTGTTGCCTAGCTTTTATAGCCACAATCTCTAATATACGTCGGTGTAGCTCTCAATGCATCCCTGGCAACTGTCAGGGTGGTGGAGTAACAACTGCTTCTACAACTGTGGGAGTAACCACCACTGCTACTACTCAACCGGGCTCTACTGCTACCTCCAACCCCGGATCAGGCTCCGCGGGCTGCGGGAAGAACCCAGGACTTACCAGCGGCACCAAGTCAATCACTGTTAACGGCAAAACTCGCCAGTATATTATCAAAATCCCTGATAATTACCAGAGCAACAGGCCTTACAAGTTGATCTTCGGTCTTCACTGGCTCTCAGGGAGCATGAATGATGTTGTGAACGGCCAGTACTACGGCTTGCTACCATTGTCTAATAACGATGTCATATTTGTTGCTCCGAATGGATTAAACAACGGATGGGCCAATTCTGGAGGTGAGGACGTCGCTTTTATTGATGCTTTGGTCAGCACCGTTGAGGCAGGACTCTGCGTAAATCCAAAGTTGCGCTTTGCCACTGGCTTCAGCTACGGCGGAGGGATGTCATACTCACTTGCCTGCTCCCGTGCAAACGTTTTCCGAGCCGTTGCAGTTATTGCTGGCGCCGAGATTAGCGGTTGCAGTGGTGGAACTTCTCCTGTCCCTTACTTGGGAATCCATGGAATTAGTGACAGCGTTCTTAATATTAGTCAAGGCCGAAGCCTCCGTGACAAGTTCGTCTCCAACAATCGCTGCAACCCACAGAGCCCTCCTGAGCCCGCCAGAGGTAGTCGCTCGCATATCAAGACTGTGTATTCAGGGTGTACGTCAGGCTTTCCTGTGTGGTGGATTGCGCACGATGGAGACCATGTCCCTACACCACAGGATGGCAATGGACAATACTGGGCGCCAGGAGAAACATGGACCTTTTTTAGCCAGTTTTTCTAAACAGGATCCTGAGATCTAACCGGGGAAATTTATTGGAATTTCTCAGTTCATTCTTGATAGTCATTGGTTGCAAATAGTAGGAAGTCCAACTGTTAGGAATTCTTCAATATTAAGCGCTTAACCATAATGTCTTCGCAGTCGCACATATTGGTGTTGTATATGCCTATAGTAATGATTATTTCAAATTAGGAAAACCTTAGTGCTTCCTGCATGTACTCGTAACCTTTAAATGTGGAATTATTAGACGATTTGCAAGCTTGCAAAGCCCTGTTACCTTCAAAATTTAGTTCTTGCTAACCTTACCACACAACGCCTTCCCAAAAATGGGCAACGACCTTGCCTCCTGTCCAACCTGGACCCTTTCAGAAGCAACATCAGAATCATACGGCCACACAATTCGCGCCATGAAACTCTCTTCCTTCCCAAAATTCGGCTTTGTCATCTACCGCTGCACATACAGCGACGACGCAGCCTGGACCCAGCTCCTTTCACTTATACAGCGAGAAGCCCAAGAGGCCATCAAAGAATTAGGACCAGGGCGTGATTGGCTAGGCGCGCATCTAGAATGGACAATCGTCGAGGATCCGACGCTAGATGACGCTACCCAGGAGCAGGTGAAGAGGAAGTTTGATGGGTGGGCTGGTGGTGTTGTAGAGGAGTATGAGCGCACAAGCACGGATAATGTGAGGGGGTTACCGAGGTTTAATTTTTGTGTGTTTGTGGATGAGAAGTGTTTGGCCAGCTTGGAGAAACCAAAGGCGGTGGTGGATGGGAGGAAACCGCCTGTATTTGTAGTACTGGTGAGGGCTGAGAGGGGGATACTGGCTTGGGTGCTTCAGGCGCAGGCGGCGGCTTCTCAGCGCTCGCGGAGTGGCGTTGACTCTGAGGACGAGGAAGAAGAAATATTCGATGACGAAGATGAGGAGGAGGTTGAAGATGAGGATGATATACCTTTAGCGGCCCATAAGGCCAGCTGGATGTATGTAGAGACGCAGCATCTGCTCTCGCTTTACAATTCCTTGCATGCTGATTCAGGCTGGGAGCACCTCTACGTCCGGCCGCCAGGGGTTTATAGGAGGAATGAGGCCTGAAGTCAATACAGACGCTGAGGGATGTTCAAACTCAAACCTATTGATTGGTATTTAGCGGTGATACTTCAAAAAGGCAAAAAAAATAAAAGACAAAAACATACAACAGTGGGTATTCGCTGGTGGTCACCCACCCAACTACTAATCTACCGATCTCAAGCTTTTAGTAGATTAATACTCAGGACGGTGCCATTTGGACTAGTGGGTGAGCGTTGCCGCCTTTAAGATTTTAATGTCCTCGCAATGATCCGGTTGTCCCCCTTAGCTACCTGATGGCGACCACGTCGACACGCACGAAGTGGGTCTTGTATTAAGGCGCGATGAACGCGATGCACCGCGACTTTGGATGGCCATGGATAATCCGGTACCTAGGTGAGCGAAGGTGAGCGTGGGTGAGCAAGGGTGAGCGAGGGTGAGCTTGAAAATGGTATAAAAGGCACGCTCCCGCCATGTCTAGATTTCCCTGTCTACCATCTACAACATACTTCATTCACTTTCAAGGACTTACCTAGTAATATGAGACGGAAAACCCTCATCTTCCACCACGCACAAGGAAGGTCTGGCCACTTTTAAGTTCTAGATTGCTAAAAAAAATATATTACACGTCCACGTAGTTGCGTGTTACTTGCGAGGTCTTCCTAACTTAAGGGAACATATCAGGGCGATAATAGTTAAATATTATTTTTATAAAGTTTACAAATGAGAATTTAACGACGCTGTCAACTTTAAGTTGGGATGTATATATAGAAACGTTGTACATTTTCTAAGTTATAGCGCCGGCTAATCTAACTCTGTTAATACAGCTAACGAAAGAGACACATTAGTTCTTCCTCTGTTGCCTTGTTATGAGATGCTTGTCTCATTTCTGTTGCCTCATCTCCCGCCGTTTAGAAATACCACCTTTCGTCATCGATTTAGCTAAGGTTGAGGTGATTTGTAGTATGGTATAATATTCTCCTCTACCATATTCCAAGTATTTACAAGAGAACAGAAATGTCAGAAATGAAACGAGATGGCGAGATCGTGGCAATAGTTAGACCGCTTGCCATCTCAAAGCAACTTATTCCACCCACTACAGTCTCCTTGCTCATAGCAACACAGCAAACAGCGCAGCGAATCCAGCACCAAGACCAAAAATCGCCGACATAGGACCATTAGGCACAGCAGCTGCGGCGGAAAAAATAGGCACGCTGGTGGTCGTCGCGGAAGGGTTCGTGTTCGTCAACGTGGCGAGTGTGGTAGGCACAGCGGACGGTGGAGTTGTTGGCTCTGGAACGCCATCGGGGCAGTGCCAGTGGTCGCCGTGAGCAACACACTCGCCTGATGTAGTCTCACTTGCCGTGGCAGTAGGCGTAGATCCTGGTGGAGTAGAAGGCTCCAGCACGCCAGCTGGGCAGTCCCAGTGGTCACCATGAGCTATGCATTCGTCGCCGGTGAAAGGTGGTGTGGTTCCACCCGTTGCACCTCCTGGTGGTGTTGTTGGCTCGGGCACGCCGGCTGGACAGTCCCAGTGGTCACCATGAGCTATGCATTTGCCGCCGGTGACAGGTGGTGTGGTTCCACCTGGTGCATATCCTGGTGGTGGTGTTGGCTCGGGCACGCCGGCTGGGCAGTCCCAGTGGTCGCCATGAGATACGCATTCACCGCCAGTGACAGGTGGCGTAGTTCCACCTCCTGGTAGCGTTGTTGGCTCCGGAACGCCAGCTGGGCAGTCCCAGTGGTTACCATGAGCTACACATTCGCCTTCAGATATTGGTGCGGTGGTCGAGGTAGGTGACGATGTTGAGGTAATCGTTGGAGGTGGGGTGGTTGGTTCTGGCACGCCCTCTGGACAGTGCCAGTGGTCACCATGAGCTACGCATTCACCTTCAGATATCGGAGCTGTGGTTGAGGTAGTTGACGATGTCGAGGTAGGTGTTGGAGGTGGTGTTGTTGGTTCTGGAATGCCCGCTGGGCAATCCCAGTGGTCACCATGAGCCACGCATTCGCCTTCAGATATCGGAGCGGTGGTTGAGGTATCTGACGATATTGAGGTAGACGTTGGAGGTGGGGTGGTTGGCTCTGGCACACCAGCTGGGCAGTCCCAGTGGTCATCGTGAGCTACGCATGTTGGTGCAGCCGTTTCAGTGGGGTTGACGGAACTGCAATGCCCTGGGGATTGTTAGATATCTGAAGATTCCTGATATAATGAAAAGATGCAGGGAAAGGAAGGCGGGTGTCTCACAATGGTCACCATGGAGTGTACAATCGCCAGCTGTTGGCGAGGGCGGAATAACCACAGTCGTAGTAGGGCAGGCTCCCGTGATCGTGTAGGTGTTGATGATGATCTTGTAACCGGCCGAGGTGAGTACGTGCGAATCCTCAAAGTTGTAGGCCGTGATAAGGCCGAGGCCGGGGAAGTTGAACGCGGTGGTGTGGACGGCGATCTGGGAACCCGTCTCGGATGCGGACCCTTGAACGCTGTTGACAGAGGAGGCCCAGTTCTTGTAGTCGGTCACGGTGTGATCAATCCCGAGGCTCGTTACGGTCTTCGTGCACAGCTCGGAGGCGGCAGTGGTGATTCCTGCCTGGGGCTGTGGGAGGGCAAAGGCAAGCCTGACGAGCACGCTGCCTGCGAAAAAGTGCAGGAGATTCATGGTCGGAATTGATGATGGTGATTGAGGGCTGGCCTCGACTGATCTTATCTGTCAAAACGAATGAGGATGGGTGCAGCCTTGATTAGGGTGCCGAGAGCTCTTTTTATATAACTTCGACAGAGCAGCCTCATATTGCATAATTGGCTGGAGCGCCGGACGGTACTGAAGTTATCATATCACGTAACAACAAAGGCAACAACAATCTAGCCCTTAGCTATCACAACCTATCACCCATGTACCGTAGCATGGCGTCGGGAAAGAGAGGGTATGACAGGAAAATGGCGCAGAAAACGAGTTAGGAACCAGCTGGTATGCATAGTAATGTTCGGTTGGCCACTGTGTTAACGCGCCAAGTATTGGTTCTGGCCCTTTAAGGATTAAATATGACAGCTCCCTAAGAAATACTAAGACGCTAATCCCGCGAACAGGTGTTTGTTTTCGGTATCGCATGCGGAACATCTGGTAACTCCAGCCTACACAGTGCAGAAAAGGGTTTGTCCGCACGGGAAGCATATGGCTTCCTCGTGGGGGTTGTAACCCTCGTGGGTATGACACCCATGGGATTATCTCTTGGATTATCTTGGGAGACGGGAGAAGACGCTGAGTTAGTCGTGTCAAGGACGCTGTCATTTAATCCGCCGAACTAAGAACGAAACCTTGGGGGATCTGTAGATTACTAGGTGACTGAAAGAAAGAGGCAGATGGAGAGAGAAAGAGGGGTAAAGAAAGGAAGGCATCACGGCATGGTCATGTTCGTCTTACCTCACGCCTCTGCCTCACCTTCTATATAACTCCCCCCTCTGCCTCCCAAACAACAAGACAACCAACACTCACATCCACATCCACACACTCCATCTTTCCAACTTCCCGAAGCTCACAACCACTCACCATCAAATCACCACCAAATAAATCAACATGAAGATCACAATCACCTCCGTCCTCCTCTTCGCCGCGGCTGCCAGCGCCATCGTCGTCAAGCGCCAGTGCGAGCCGCCATCCAACACCGAATGCACCCTCGTCGTCGGCACCACCTGCGATTACTGCTGCTCTGCCCTCCCAACGGGAACTGACGCCTGCCACGCGCACGAGCCCTTCCAAAGCTGCGCAGACGGCCAGGGAATTATCTTCCACTGCGATGCGGTCCACAAGTTGTAGACGGTCCTCGGGATGTCTCGCTTGCAAACAATGAATAAGGTGAGTTGGGAGCTGGGATGTTAGTATAGGCTGAGGATGTTTACTGATTAGTGACTTTCCTTGAAGATTGCCAAGTGTGGATGAATTGCAGATGGGATGGGGTCGTCGACTGTTTGCTAACTTACATTCAACATGGATCAGCGAGGATGTTTTAATACATGAAATGTTCTCCATTATGCTTGGTGTGCCTTTTTGTCTACGTATGTGCGGTAATGATCGTGCAGATTGTACTGGTGATCATAATACCTTACAATAGTATTGACCAACTTGGCGGAATTGATGGTGGTAGTAGTAAAAGATTCAATTCCTGGGGCAAGAGGATGATGATGGTCGTCGTCCCTCGAACCCTCCAGGTATCCCGCCAAGCGGCCAAGCCACGCCCCTTTCCGCTCCGCCCCGCCCGCAACTTTGACAGATGGCTCAATTGGTAGTCGCGACATCGCAGCGTCACCTTGGGGGATATAACTGCCATTGACATGGGGTCATTCTATTACACACATGTTTGATTAGCGACACTCACTTTGCATTTCCTTTCTGTTTTTTCGTTTCCGTGCCTTGAATGTGTGCGGGGGGGGGGTTTAGCTCTTTCCACTGTTCTGGTCTCCTTATCCAGTCGATGCCATGGAGGTGGACTCTCAGACAGCTCTTCCCGGTCCTCGGTTGTGCGATTATGGAGCTGTTAGGTTCTCGTGAATTTTCGGTGTTTTCTTGTCTGGTCCGATTTCCAGGGAGTAGAGGAAGCGTCCGTGTTTTCCTTGTTTTCAATAGTATCCCAGTCATTGTAAGATCCAATATCGCCTTGGTTGGGTGAGGATATAGAAAGCCTGAGTGGTCTCTCGTATGGGGTACCTCTAGATCGCTAGGTGAGTGTATTTCTTATAGCACCCCTCTATTGCACGCTTGTTGTTTCTCTGCGTTGATTCTAGATCCGAAGTGTGAGCTGGAAACGCGTGAAGAATGCGGGGTTAGTGAGGGGTACAAGGAGATGATTTGAATCTGAAGAACGAGTTTGGATAAATCAATCACTCAACCATAGTCACCAATCCAACTATACGTATCTACTCGGTACCATTTCCACAGACTATACTTGCCTTAATGCTCACCCTTGCTTCACCCCTTAAGGCGGCAAGGGGCTCAGATTCCACGCTATGCCTACTGGCACGATTGAGAGCATCAATCCACTGAACTACAAGCTTGTGTATGGCAGAGCGGACGGGATGCCCAATTCTCTTGAGTCTATGGTCGTATGTGATAGTTACTCAGTTGGTAGACTATATGTGCCAGCATACGACTACTGACATTCAAACTCAAAACTGTTGATTGGTATTTAGCAATGATACTCCGAAAAGGCCAAAAAAATGGCAAAAACATACAACAGTGGGTATTCGCTGGTGGTCGCTCAGTAAATGTGAGCAACTAATAAAATGAAGATAAAATTCAACCGAGGTCGGGTTAACCTCCCATTAGGTATAAGATATGAGGAATGAAATTGTGAATATACGCATACTAGAACATCGTTAGCTATCTTACTATGTTACCGGGAATATTTAAGGATGTCTTGAATTCCCTTATAAATCCGCCTTTGCCTGCTCTCCAGCCCATGCCCTCCTGATCAATTCCCTAATCCCCTCTTTCTCCACCCTCCTCGGATTCCAGTACGGATTCGATACCGCAATATTAGCCGCCTTGTCCACGTCCTCCTCCTTCATGCCAAAGTTCTTTAAGCCACGTTCGACGTTCAGATTCCCTAGTAGCACGTTGAGACCCTTAATTGCATCCCCATCGCTCCCTGGTAAAACCCTAGCTAGCTTTTCCATAACCCCCGGAATCTCAGACGAGTTGTAAGCAAGTGCGTGTGGTAACACTATCGTGTGTGTTTCGGCATGCGGGAGATTGAACGAGCCACCAAGGGTATGGCACAATTTGTGGTGCAGGCTCATTCCCACCGAACCTAGGCACAATCCGCACAACCACGCGCCGTATAACGCCTCCGTCCTCGCCTCCACGTCGTTCGGCATATTAACGATCTGCGGTAGCGCAGCGGCGAGCGCCTGGGTGCCTTCTAGCGCAAGTAGGGAGATAATCGGGTTCGTATTCTGCGCATACAGCGCCTCGACGGCGTGTGCAATTGCATTTAAACCGCTTGTGGCTGACATGGACGGCGGCAGTGTCATGGTGAGGTCGACGTCGTAGATCACCGTGCCGGGAAGGATCTTGGGGTCACAGCGTGTCTTCTTCACACCGTCAGCTGTCTCCCCTAAGATGGGGGTCATTTCAGAGCCGGCGTAGGTAGTAGGGATGCAGATGTGAGGGAGACCGGTGCGGATACTAAGGGCTTTGCCGAGACCGATCGTGCTGCCGCCGCCGATGGATATGATGCTATCGGCAGAAATGGATTTTGCGTATTCTAACGCCTTTTCCGTGATGTCGGTTGGCGTGTGCATGGTCGCCTCGGTGAAAATGCCCGCGATGTTACCGTTGAGGATCTTCTTCAAGGTCTCAGCCTGTGAGACTTGGTAGGGAGTAGAAAGGAGGAGAGGAGCTTTGAGGCATTGTCGTGAGATTTCAGAGGGGAGTTGTTGGATGGTGCCCTTGCCGAAGATTACGCGGGAGGGTGATGAGGCGTAGACGAAGTTCTTGGAGAGATCCATGGCTCTTGCGTAGGGATTTTTGCATTTATTAGTATGAGGGTTTGGTTAAAAGTTATAGCAATAGAGAGGGACACATTTGGTTATATGTCTACAACCTTGGCCCGGAGTTGATAGATAAAGTCATGGGGGATATATCATTATCCGGCTAGTGCAGAGGTTGACAGACGATTCCGGAACGCATCCCAACTTCGGAAGAGCTATGTCGCAGCGGGGCGGAATGACCCACGAACATTAATTGACCCTACCATATTACAACACGATCTGGAACAACATGCAATTTCTAATGGAAGGAGAACTCAAAGCACCGCTAGTGCTATCGAGGCCTGATGCCTACGTATTCGAATACGCCACACCTGTGTCTACAATGCCTAATCCGAAAGGCTAAGTGACGAGAATATACATATTTACAAGATAGACTGAACAGCGAGAAAAGCAAAAAAGTTAAATCACCCTCTTCTAACTAGTTTACCCCCCTAACCACCTTTAATTGTATTTAATACATAAGGAGAGACGCTATGGGCTATATATTAAACAAACCTTAATCCTAAAGAGAAGTAGGAGGGGTGAATTCTAAGACTAGATACTCTAGTTTAAGTTTTCTAATACGAGCGAGGGAATTGAACACGGAGTTTGTTGTAGACGTCTATGGTTGGACTGGAACGTCCGGTAGTAGATCTTGGGTCTGTCAATCTGAGTGGCTCGGAATTGTTGCTGGAGCAAAAGACGGCCACTAAGAAATGTATCGGCTTATTGGATCGCGGAGCTTCCACTTCCTAGCAGTCTGCTTACGTAATCTCAACCCGTTAAATCCTTCCTACCATCACAATGCCAAACGCCGCGATATGTGCAAAACCTATATACTTAGAACAAACTGAGCATTCGTTGTAGCAACTCGGGTTACTTGTCTGTGTGCTTATTTATATACTCTTAGAGAATCGTCAAATATCGGCTTAATTGAAAATGAGATCCGTAATGAAACAGAGATAATTTAGACAGTGGTTTACAATGCGGTTTTCAAAACGAATCTACAAACATATTTTATCGATTCACGGCATTAAAAGTGGTGCAACATCACTCTTAAGTGGCTACCAATTTCAAATGATAAGTGAACCCAGCCGCGTGTGCCGTGCCCTACGGCTATGAACCCGCACGACAATGGAACCTGCCGTTTATATACTTCGCATGACGCGTAGGATTTTACCTTTTCCAGGCACAGTCCTAGTTGAAGATCGTCTCTGGCCCAGCAAGCCTTATGTGATAGAGAGCGCTATTGATTACTGGATGCGGAACAGCCGGCCTCAATGAAATCTAGAACAGTAATTCCAATTTGCTCCCACTAACTCGCCTGAACTCAATTCTATGGCTTGCGCTAACCCGCTCAACCTGGGGTTGATTGCGGGGCCCCGCAACCAATCTAAGGGGGTGTTCATATATAAACACCCCCTTGGTTTCGTCTAGAGAAGCGTGGCAAATCCTAATACTTAAAGGTACAGAGTCTCAAGAGTCGTGAGGATATCGAAAAATAAGCCCTTGCCAGAAATACCTCGAATATGATACGCAAGGTACAGGGTACTGAAGTCGGAATGGAAACACTGGATCAAAAGGTATGTCTGAATCCTGCAAGTCAGGGGTCCGGAATTGTGTTAGGTACTAATAAGTGCAGCAGACGGAAGATGCAGCGCATGTCGAAAAGATTGGAATTTCTCATGACAATACCTTGAAGAAGGCGTCTGATTGTATTACAATCTTGATACCTCAGCCATCTGATGATCCAGAAGACACGTTGAACTGGAGTCAAGAAAAGAAATGGGTTATGTTGAGTGTCGTGGCGTACTGCGCGGTTATGCCTGATATGCAAGCTGCATTTGGAATACCACTTGTCCCTGCGCAAGCAATCGAGTGGGGCATCAGCATCGACGAGGCTGGACGCTCTGTATCAGGCTGTGTTTTTGTGAGTGACGATCGAGCATAAATTCTCGTTCACCGTCGTTATTAATCATTCTATGTGAAGATGATAGGAGCTGGCAGTCTCTTCTCAGTTCCGTTGGTCCAGCGCTTCGGGCGACTCCCAGTTCTATTCAGGTCGATGTTCATATCTTTTTGGATGACAGTATTTGCTACACTTGCACCGAGTCCAATCAGTTTCATCGTGGCCCGTTGTCTTCAGACGACGTTCTCTGCCGCACCGCAAGTGATTGGTCTTTCCTTCATCTACGACTTGTGAGTCTCGAGCCTGCAATGTCACTGTTTAAATAGCCTACAGTTCCTAACCTTTCTTACTAGATTTTTTTTCCATGAGCATGCACGTGCTATTGGGATATGGGCCTGGGCCTTCGTCGAGTCGCCCTTCATTGGGCCATTGATCAGTAGCATTGTTGCCAACTTTCGACCTTGGCAAGACGCATTCTGGGTTTGCACCGCAATGACAGGGCTGGCATGTATCCTTGTGATAATGCTTGTTCATGAGACTCTATATGACCGAGATATATCTATTCAGTTACCCGAAAAGGCAGCTGGACCGCTCGTGCGAAGACTGGAAATGATTTCCGGTGCATACGGCGCCAGGGTCAAAGGGCGGCCATCATTAGCCAAGAGCTCTATGAGAATGCTGGTCATTGCTTCACGTCCTTACTTTTTCCTCATTCTTGGTGAGTGCGTATGGAACATATAAGTCCTATAGGCTAATTACGCGATAGTCTTTTATGCAATGACTTTCATGTGGTCCGTTGGAGCGAATACAACCTTGGTATTATGCACTTATAGCCATACGATGTTCCTCTTGCTGATCTGTGCCATTAGAGCCTCTTCCTTTTCAAGCCCGTCGCGGCTGGCGGTTACGGCTTTAGCCAACTGAGTGTCGGATTGATCTACTTTGCTCCCATCACGGCGACCTTTCTGGGTGAATTATTCGGACATTATTTCAGTGGGTTCTACAATAAATTGACTCTCGTATTAGTATTGACAGTTTGATAGATGATTTTCTCGCGCGCAGGTATATGCAGCGACACTCTGGCGTGTTTGAGCCAGAAGCTCGCCTCTGGGTAGTGTGGATTGCTACTCCATTTATGGTCGGCGGCCTCATATTATTAGGCTTCTGTTTCGAGCTTCATTTTCATTGGGTAGCAATTGCCTTTGCCTGGGGCATCTATTGCTTTGGTACTGTATGTCTCGCAAACAAGAACAAGCCACATTTGGTCAATACAGAAGACTAACATTCATCAGCTGATTTCGACGGTGGGTATTACAGCATATGCTTTAGACATCTTCAAAGACGAAGCAGCTGAAGCAGCGGCTTTGATCAACTTCTCGCGTACGATCTCAGGATTCATTGTAAACTATTTCCGTACGTTTCTATTTCCTCTGAACTTGCTAGAGAAGGTTAAATAATACTAACAATGATCAGAGTTCGAGTGGGCAGCCAAAGTTGGACCAGCTGGAAGTTTTGGAACTCAAGGCGCTATCTGCTTTGTAGCCTGGGCGATAATAGTATTGGTCCAGTGGAAAGGTAAATCTTGGCGACAATCTTTCCTTCCATCGACTACACAACATGTACGAGAAATATAGAGCTGTCATAGGACAGTCGAACGTGCTTTATAGGTGTAAGATGCAAGCTTGTATTCAATGCATGATGCTTCACAATGATATCTTCATCTTGTTCGTACACGAAGGCATTTGCGGCTCATTTACATACATTTCGCTCCATTCGTTTCTGCAGACGATTAGCTGGTATTGATGATTGCCCCGGAAAGCAAATTATAGAGTCAAACACTAACCACCACTAGATCACGCTGCCTGATTTTTGTTCTTGTGTTTCTCTTCCCCTCTTGGTTCGCAGAAGTTTAAAAATATAGAAGTATTCAAATTATTTACACTTCTTATATCATCGTACACATATACTTTGTTAACTTGGTTTGAACGTTTTCTAATTCCATGTTGTTGTGATTGACTACAAGAATCGATCGTTTTCCGCATATTGTCGTCAAGCTGAGTGCTTACGATATCGAAACGCAAGATTTTGTCTCCGAGATAATAGCATCAGCAAACTGCAAACACCGTGCAGGGTATATCCCGGCTACTTAGTGACCTGAAATTCCCAACTAATCAACCTATTTTGGAGTCCATACAACCGATGACGGATGCGATGAGTTATTGTTAGGCGACATCATCTGGATAGTGCGCCACTGCCGAAAATGGCCGATGCTGGGACTCATTATATTTAAATGCTCCCATATGAAAACTCTTGGCCGACTGAGCTTCCAAGTGATGGATTGAAGTTGTAGGGGTTTCTCCACCTCGAGTTGCCTCGGGATGAACCCGGTCCACAACCTCCCTGCGACCTCCATACTTTGTAAACATCTCAACTCGACACAACCTTCCCCGCAAGTACGGAAACTAGTGCCCAGAGGTCCCGCAATTGGGCTGATGGGTTCTGAGTTTCGAAACCTGGGCGAATAATGTGAATTTGCCTGAAATTCCAAAAAGGCTGTGAGCCTTGGCATTTCTCGGGATTTTTTTGGCGCAAATTGATCGGAAATCTGTTGGACAGTCGTACGAGCTGTCATTCGACCACCGAGAAACTTGTGGAAGCCATAAAATAAATAGCCAATCACAACATTATATGGCTAAATGGTACTCTTGTAAGGCCAAACCATATTATTGGGTTTACGGAGCGAATGCAACTACTCAGTTGTGCAGGACTGAGGTCTCGAAGGAATCGATTGGCTAGGGTTTATCCCACGGGAGCTTCGTATTGAATCGCTTCTAATAACGCACCTGTAGGCACTTGTTAACTTGCATTGCCTGCCTTAAAGCTGTGCACCTAATAACAGTACGACTCACTCAGTGAAATTTAATAAAAACAAAAACTAGACACAAGCAAACATGGGCTCATCAATGAACGTTCTCGACGACGAGTTGAACATTGTTGTGATTGGAGCAGGACTTGGTGGACTAGCTGTAGCTTTGGCGTTAAGGACTGCAACATCAAGACATGTCATCACTGTTCTGGAGTCTGCTCCGGCATTGGCTGAGGTAATATCATGCTCCCAAATTCGGTAAATTAACAGTTGCGCTGATGCCTCCTTTCAGATCGGTGCCGGATTACAAATAACTCCGAATGCTGCAAAGTTACTTATACGATGGGGTTTGGGAGACCAATTACAGAAAGTCACCACCGTTCCCGAGCAATTTACGATTTACAGATATAGCAATGGCGAAGTCTTAGGCAAACGCGACAACTACGGCGCGGAGATGCTAGCAAAGTACGGGGCGCCATTCTGGGACGTCCACAGAGCCGATCTTCAGATTGCAATGTATGAGCGAGCAAAGAATCTAGGAATCAAATTTCGTTTTTCAGCCCAAGTTGAGAGTTACGATTTGGCGACTCCAAAGGCAATTCTTCAGGGCGGAGAGGAAGTCCATGCTGATTTGATAATTGCTGCAGACGGTAAATCCATAAGTTTCCTAGTTAAGCTAAAACTAGACTAACAATAGTTGCATCATCGCAGGCTTATGGTCGCGATGTCGTTCCAGTATGCTTGGCTATATCGCTTCGCCCACCCCAACCGGCGACCTTGCGTATAGAATAGTGCTCAATTTTGATCAAGTCAAAGATCCTGAGGTGCTCCGGTTTCTGTCCAAGCCGCAGGTCCACTTGTGGGCAGGCCCCGATTGCCATGCGATCTACTACCCCCTACGAAACAATACCATGTGTAACATCGTCCTGTTAGTGCCGGACAATTTACCAGAAAACGTAGCTAGAGCACCGGGGAGCATAGATGAGATGAAGGAAATTTTTCGCAACTGGGATCCAATGTATGTCTTTTTGTTTTCTTCTTTGTTACAGAAATTGCTAATTTACTATAGATTACAGAAGCTGCTGAGTCTAGTAACGGACGTGGATAAGTGGAAATTGATGCATCGTCAGTAAAACCTTGCGTTATATGCTAAGCTCTGTAGTCGCTAACGCCCATCTTATACAGGCGAAGAAATGGACGCATGGTCGAATGAGCATGCGACCGTCGCCTTCCTAGGTGATTCATGCCACCCAATGCTCCCATATATGGCCCAGGGAGCCAATTCTTCTATCGAGGACGGCGCTGCGCTAGGTGTGTTGTTATCGAAGCTTTCCAAAAAGGAAGACCTAGCTTCTATTCTACAAGTCTATCAAGATCTCCGCAAGCCAAGGAGTACAGCAATTGCGAAATCTAGCGAAAAGCAGGTAAGCTGTTGTTACTTCTCCAACTGAGAAGCGTTACTGATGACAAATCTTGTAGAGATACTACAATCATCTCCCTGACGGGGCGGAGCAGAAAGTGCGAGATGCGTTGATGAAATCGCAGATTCAGGAACCGCAACCTGGATATCCATTCTATTGGTAGGCAAAGGTCTTTTTCTACTCTTCCTACTTAGTCCTGCTAATTCGTTCTAGGATCGATCCTCAAATGCAGTCGTGGGTTTACGGGTATGACGCAGATTTAGAGGTAAGATAACACTTTGTCCATCAGAAAAAGCTAACGCGGCTGACTTTCTACTAGGCACACACTGCATGGGATAAATTTCTGAAAGACTCCAAACAGAAGACACTGCCAGGGGCACAATTGTAGTGCAAAAACACGACGAAAGGGCTTGGAATATATGGAGAGGAGATTCTGAGGTCACTGGGATGACGTCAATTCTTGACCAAAACTAGATTATGCAAATGCACCTTCAGCCACTGTAAATTCCAATGTGTAAATGGGTTTAAATTGAGTGTCTAATCCATTCGCTCCTGTCTATGGACTCTGTCTGACCTCGTGAGCGGGCTAGCAATTCAAATATATTCTTGAATATCTAGCGATATTCATATCTTCGGTAACCATGCTCATGAAAATGATGATATCATATAACCGTAGTAAGAAAGCCTTCAAGATTTGCGATATTAAATTCGCTATCGTCGCGCGGTTCCGACAAGCCCCACAGCGGGGAAGTGGAGGAAGCTTATTATTCCGCGCACATCAATGAGACGGCAATATAAATATAGTCTCAGGAACTCAAGGAAACGGGGGGTTTAGAGGAACTATGAGCTCAAGGGAAACAACCAGACAGGCAGTTGCGGAATAGAGTGACGTTAATCCATTGATTGAGTGCAGCTCCTAACTTTTACTTCTCTGTCATCATTACCTCCTACAGTGCCTGCCAAACCAACTGTTCACCCTTCAACAATGCTTGTAGAACTTTTATGGAGAGAACATCTTACCTTTTGCGGTCCTAAACGCATCAAAACCTGTCATAAGCGACTGATGGCGAGGTTAGCACAAATTGACGCACGCGTGAAAATTTCTTCGCCCGTCATTACCGGCTACGACTATATAGTGTTTCGTAGGGATATATTCTGATATTTCTAGCTGATATCTCATGGTTTACAAACCCGAAACCCCTTGTAGTCGTTCCGAAGAAGGTTTCAACAATTGAGGGTTCCTGGTGTTGACAAATTTCCAACTGCGTTGACCTGAGAATTCCGTTGATATGAGAAAGCCATAAGAGTTGTTAAAATGCACCAATCAAAGAAATTAAGAACCACTCCGTAGCGAGTCTGCGTACGCAGCTTGGATCACTGCCTTACGCTCCGGTGAACGAGGTTCAATGTTTGCAGGGAAGTCGTTTGGCTTTGAGTTGAATCCTGCGCAGCAAATATTAGCTTCAGCCAATCGCAGATGGGAATAACCGGTTTTTGATTAACTTACCAGTAGTGAAATCCATTGTGTCAATCTCAACCTCTTTCCCGTTGGCATCCACGGCACGACTGAAATTGAAGCCCCAAAGCAGTCGTGCAATGACAATAAACATGCTTCTTTCCCCAATATGCTGACCAGGACATGCTCGCCTACCGAAGCCAAAAGCCCAGTGGCCTCTCTGGGCGCCATATTCTACGCCTTCACTTTTAGTGGCCGTCGGAAAAGATTCGTCAATAAATCGATCGGGGTTAAATCTGTCGGGCTCGGGGTAAACTACAGGATCCATGTGTATGGCCCTGGGTAATCTAATCAGCTTGGGCATTACAGCGAGGATATATGCGATAGACCTACCAGCTATTGCCAATTACCGTCGAGTTTGCTGGGAGGAAATAGTCCTTGTAGTAATCATCCTCGATCAAGAGGTGTGCAATACCTTTCAGGGGGTAAGCTCACGCCATGAGAACAAAGAAAACAGCCTAAGGGGGACATACCAGATGCTACGATCGGCCTCCATCGAAGTGCCTCCTTCGCGACAGCATTGATGTATGGGAGATCATCTTGGTCGTCAAATTGCGGAAGCCGGTCACCACATACTTTATCCAATTCTGCCTGGGCCTTTGCTAGGACCTCAGGGTAGACCAAAAGCGCCATGGTCAATGTCTCCAGCGCTCCTGACGTCGTCCCGCTGCCTGCCTCGAACATGGTACCGCAAGCGTAAGCACCTTCCTCTTCGGTAATACCACGATTCTCCATACTGGAGACAATTTCCTTAGCAAAGCAATCCGTGACTGAATCGTGGAGATTCATTTTCTCTCGGATTTCGTTGATAAGTTGCATGAAAAGGTTGTACTCGAATTTATGAGCTTGCTTGCCGATTCTTTTGAAGGGGGCGAGAATGCTTGGCAAATACCTCAGGATAGGTAAGGAATCGGCAAGAAAGGCTCCTGGCTTGGCGATACTAAATGAAAAGTACATTAGACCTGGCCTGCTTATTTGTCTGAGCTAATGAAAAATGGGAGGCTGTCATACTGCTCTAGTGTATCATTAACTTGCATGATGTTCTGTACGTAGTCTTCCTTACCCGTACGAACTTCTTTATCATATGTAAGGCCCATAATTAGCCCGCTAGCATATCGATAGTAGTGCCTTGCGAAGTCGGTAGGTTCGTCCAGTAAATCATTGATAAGTTTTAGTGACTCGCGGCTCTGTCTTGATTGATATTCTGTGGCCTTCGTTGGCATAGTCATCTGATGAATAAACTTGCGGACTCGGCGCCAACGAGCTATAAGCAAGCGTTAGTTACTGCGTGACATTCTGCAATTTAGGTTGAATTTACCTCCATATGGCATGAGCAACGGACGCAAATGGTCGGATAAGACTTCGGAAGCCATATACGTCTGTGGGCGCGAGGAGTAACTATAAAGAATACGTTAAGAGTGCCAGGGAGTTATGGTGACTGTGAACTGACATTTGACCTCTTCTCTCCAGCAGCTCTTTGACAGTTTCGCTGTTAGAGAGCACGATCAACCGCTCTTTACCCATTTTCACTTCCATTATAGGACCGTACATGTCCGACCATTCTTTAAATTTGCGCCATGGATAGTCCTCGGGAATCTGATGGAGGTTTCCGATTATTGGAAGACCGGGTGGTCCGGGAAGCGGTTTGCAACCTTTGGGGAGTGGGCGGCGTCTTTCGCGCATGTAGTTCAAAAAGAACACCCCCCCAAGAAGGATCAGCCCCAAGAATAATAACATGGTCCGTTTTACAAAGGTCTTGAATCAATACCTCACAGGTTGTTCAAGACTTTCTGTTCTTATATGTTCGTCTCCCTCGGCGTTAACTTGGACCCCAGTTTCTTATACATACAAGGCTACCAACAGATCGTCTACTTGATTGGATAAGAATCTAAGGGCCAGATCTGATTGGATTGCGGAATTCCCAGCATGCTTGATTTTGGCAACTAGTCCCGGCCGGGTGGACCCATTATTTGAGTGAATACCACAAGTCCACATATTCGACCATCCGGGATGTGCGTAATAGCGTCACTTCTTCTTGAGTGATATGGATTTAATCACCCACGAGCGTTGGTCATAAGCAGCTTGCATACTATTTCGTATCCAAGTTTTTAAAACCACAATTTTTCAGCGATTGTTTCTAGCACCTATCAGTTGCCGCTCTCTGAGACGTCTTGAGAGCAAGTCCCTTCCTTCATAATGGTTACCGCCACAGCTCTTGTCCTTAAGGCTGCGAATTCAAATTTTCAAGTTGAGCGCGTGGAACTGAAACGCTTGCAGCCAGAAGAGGTGCTTGTTGAACTACGAGCAACTGGTGTATGCCACACAGACATTTCTGTCCAACAGGGCAAGATTGAGGCAGTTTTTCCAGTTGTGCTGGGTCATGAAGGTATTATATAGCCATCTTAACGTGAGTAAACCTTCAAAGAGATCTGGCTAATCACCTATACCACTCAGGGGCTGGAATTGTTAGAGAAGTGGGTGCCAACGTAGATAATGTTCAAGTTGGGGATCATGTGTTGCTATCCTATTCCTACTGTAACCAATGCCGCCACTGCCAGAGGGGGAAAACATACCAATGCGTCAAGATGGCAGAGCGAAACTTCGCTGCCTGCCGCCCAGATGGCTCTTCGCCAATGGAGTGGAGAGGAGCATCTCTGCGTGGTTGTTTTTTTGGTCAATCATCATTCTCGAGCGTTGCCCTTGTTCAAGCAACATCCTGTGTGAAGGTCGATAAAGACATGCCCTTAGCAAGTCTGGCGCCTCTAGGGTGCGGCGTTCAGACAGGAGCTGGAGCAGTTTACAACGTCCTCCGACCAGTGGATGCCGGCATGCAATCCGTGGTCATCTTTGGAATCGGCGGTGTTGGCAGTGCGGCTATCATGGCCGCCAAGGTCATCAGTGAGGATCATGCTGGGATCTTGACTACGATAATCGCAGTTGATCTCAGCGAGAAGAGGCTTGAGCTTGCAAAACAACTTGGTGCCACGCATGTTATAAATCCGTCCACGACTGAGAGCGTCGTTGAAGCCATTCACAGGGTCACAGACCCAGACGGCCTCGAAGGAGCGATTGACTGCACCGGGGTTGTGGCCGTCATCAATGACATGATTGTTGCTCTGGGCCCTGGTGGACGAGCAGTCACCATCGGTGCGCCACCTGCATCTGCTAAGATGTCTATCCAAGTATTCCCGTTCATAAATGGCTGCAAAAGCTATGAGGGTTCCAACGCTGGCAACAGCAATTCGAGTGAGGTAGCTAACCCTTACCTGCTCCACCCTGTCCTTCGCATGCTAAATTTTTTAACTGCTTAGTTCCTCCCATTCCTTGTTGAACTTTTCCGCCAAGGTCGACTGCCGATTGAGATGTTGCAAAGGCAATATAAGCCGACCGAAGTGAACGAGGCAGTCGCGGCCATGTTGGAGGGCAAAGTGGTGAAGCCGGTCATCCTCTGGCCAGAAGAGCAAATTCAACTAGTGGGAAATTAGGTCCAAATGAAATCAGGGATGAGGAGGGTGATAGTGAATAACTCAGAATTTCCAATACCGATTGTTGTTTGTTTGCCTCAGGTAGATATTATGCTCGTATAGTGTGTACGTACACCGCACTTACTGTATGAAGGTACTGATATCATCACCATGCTACCTAATAAAAACAATGCCATATTCTTCATGGAAAACCGCCGCACGTAAATGGCGAGGAGATGCGTGAGGTGAGCTTGAACGTCTAAATGATTGGCTTGGGTTATCCGCCTGGTACCCTGGGTTCTTTCCAGCTAACCCGTGGGGCGGAAGCGAACTACGTTACTGTTGTAGGTGGGGGTACGGAGATCCACAGCCGTCATTTTAGGGCCAAAATGCCCACCATATCCCATGGTGCTCATCCTCTTCTCCCTAACAGCAGTTACAGAGGCGAACCCGGGTCACGCCGTACCGCTCCCTCACTAACTATTTGCCTACAAAACCTCAATATAGTGGGGTAATTTAAGTAGTAGCACTATGTACTGTAAGTTACTGTAAGCTATATTATAAACTAGAAATAATGGAAGGTAAGTACTTACTAGGGAACACTTTTAAATACTACGCCATTAGCATCCATCCCCTAAATATATATATCTCAACCCGCTCATACAACCCATATTATTGCTCATCCTAAGCAAAAGTAATTAGCGGCCATCACAGTACATCAGCCAGCCATCATGGACCCCACAGAAGTAAATATCCCCGACGTCAAGGATATGAACATCGACAACATCACTAAAAACACCATCCTCATAAATTCTCAGGGGCCCAACGCACGAGTGAAGTACTTGTTTGAGCGCCTGGTCACACATTTGCACGATTTCGCCCGTGAGACGCGCTTGAGTACGACGGAATGGAAAACAGCGCTAGACTTTTTGGTTTCGGTTGGACAGATTAGTAGCGATGTGCGACATGTACGTGCTTTCTTTGCAGAAAACATCCATGAGGGTTTTTGAGGAGCATAGTCTGATGGCACGTAACACAGGAATTTATCCTGCTCTCAGATATTCTAGGACTTTCCCTCTTAGTCGACGCTATCGACCACCCCAAACTGCCTTCTAGCACCGAAGGGTCGGTTCTCGGGCCCTTCCACAGCCATGAGGCCGAGACAATCGAGTCCGGAAAGGATATTTCATCGGATCCGAATGGAGAGACATGTCTTGTGATCTGCACCGTCAAGAATCCATCTGGTGCCCCGATTGAAGGCGTAAAGATCGATATTTGGGAGACAGATTCTAGTGGGCACTACGACGTGCAGTATTCTGAGCGCGAGGGACCGGATGGACGATGTGTCATGAAGTCTGATAAGGACGGGAACTTCTGGTTTAAGGCCATCGTCCCTGTCAGCTATCCCATTCCGCATGATGGTCCTGTAGGTCAACTTTTAAAGCTGCTCCACCGACATCCTTGGAGGCCGGCTCATATGCATTTCATGTTCGAAAAGGAGGGCTGGGATCACTTGATAACGTATGTTCTCTCTGCTTCGCTCTTTATGCTCTCTTCCCTTTTTCATCACGCCATGATAGTGACAATAGTACCACCTGAACTGATGCTCGCTCCATAGTGCATTATACATAACCCCGGACCCGTACCTTACATCAGACGCCGTATTTGGAGTGAAAGACTCGTTGATTGTCAGCCTAGGCAAAGTGTCTGCCATACAAGCAGCCGAGTACGGCGTCCCAGAAGGAACCGCTTTGATAACGCACGACTTCGTACTAGTATCGGATAAAGAGACGCAGAGTTTAAGAGATCAGAACGCATTGAAAGCAGTGGCCGACTTGTTTCCTGGGAAGAAGATGAAGCTACTGGACCATTTGCCTGTGCCGGATGTCGATTAAGTTAGTGGAGAGTGTCTCATGTCTGAGGAATCGTTGAGATTGCAGCTGCCTATTCCTTGTTAATTTTGTGGCTCTGAATGGGAGCGGTGGAAGTCATGGCGTTGCTCTATGTGCGTTGATAACACGCCATACCTATCGAGCCTGTAGCCTAGAAAAGCATTATGGTTAGAAAAGCCGCGAATCTCAAACCTCAACTATCATTTGTGTCACGAGTGAAGATGTTACCTGCTGCAACGAAACTTTGCCTCCTTGCCTTCAAATGTGCGCAGATTACAAAACACTCAGACATTTTGCCATCACATGCCAAACCTGCAAATAGTTGCAATTTGTTACGCCTCGCTCATACCATGAGCATAGCTAAAGTACATTGCCACACCGAGCTTTCTTGAAGCAACTACACAGAAGCACCAAGCAGCAATAAAGCAAATTGAGTGGCCCTCCTCACTTGCATACTTTCTATTTCTGCTGTTACTTTACTGAATTATCGAGAAGCTCTGGTGAACTGACCAGCCTTTTTCATGCTTGTCAATTGGTCACTGCCGTAAAGACGATAGAATGTCGAATCCAAGGGAGGCTCCAGACGTACTGCCTGGTGTACTATGGTAGAACCAGAAAGCTGGGCTGTGCCCGGCCGCCATACACAAGGACTTTTATGAATGTTCTTAGTCGAGACTCGCCCCACATGACTCCCGAAAATCATATGGGGTAGGCGGGGATGACCCATGCTCCACATAGTTATCTAATCGTAGTCGTAAGCGGAGTGCGTCTGCGAGAATTGTTGAAGCGAAGTGCGTCTGCGACCACCAATTTTTGTAGGTACCTTTACATAATAAATTGTATAGAAAGGTACATAGATCAATTTATTTATTTGCGAAATTATCACTTTTACTCCTACTCACACTCCCATTTCCCATCCTTCTCAAGCTCATATTGGAGCTCCCGCTCAAGCTGGCTCGTAGGCTCAAGCTCGAACTCAAATCCAGCTTCGAAGCTGGTTTCCGAGCCAGCTTCGAAGCCAATTTGGAAGCCAGCTTCGAAGCCGGTTTCCGAGCCAGCTTCGAAGCCAGTTTGGAAGCCAGCTTCGAAGCCGGTTTCCGAGCCAGTTTGGAAGCCAGTTTGGAAGCCAGCTTCGAAGCCGGCTTCCGAGCCAGTTTGGAAGCCAGTTTGGAAGCCAGCTTCTGGGTCGATAATTGGGTCCTGGTCTTCTGGAGGAATTGGGTGGCCAGCTCGAAGAAGAGCTTTTACCCTCTTTTTCCGGAGGCCCTCCTGTTTCCGGGCCTCAACCCCAGCCCTATAAAGCTGCTTCCGGGCCTGGTTGGCAGCTAGCCGGGCTACTCTAGCTTCCTTCGCCTGGGCTTTCTGAGCTATAAGCTCAGCTTTGGCAGCCCGAAGCTTATAAGCTCGCTCAGCAGTAAGCTCGCCTCCAATTTGAAGCCGGGCCCGGCTCCTACTCTTCCCTTTTTTCTGCTCCTGTTTCTGCTGCTGTAGAACCTGTAGATCAAGCTCCTGAAGCTGGCCTGAGGCCAACATCCGTTCAGTGCCAGTAGCCCAGTTGCCCCAGCTCTTCTGTGAGGGGCTGCTTAGAAGCCCTATAAGCTTTGAGTTCCACCGCTGTAGCCCCTGTTCTGAGTCCTTAAAAGTTGTAGGTTTAGGGGTTATTGGGTGTAGTAGTAGGGTAATTGGTGGTGTAATAGGCCTAGGAATAGGCTTTGAGTAGGTCCGAGTCCTTAAAAGTTGTAGGTTTAGGGGTTATTAGGTGTAGTAGTAGGGTAATTGGTGGTGTAATAGGCCTAGGAATAGGCTTTGAGTAGGTCCGAAGCTTCATAATAGCTGTATTACAGCTTATTGGCCAGATTCCTAATTTCTGGAAGGCGTGGGTTATAGTAGACTCCTTAAAAGTCTGCTCTCTTATATGTGGAATATCTCTCATAAATGAGGACAGATTGTATTGAAGGTCCATCTCTCGTATGGCCTTAAGCACAGCTTCCCTATGGTAGTGCTTATAAGGTTAGAATATCCCCACATCTAATGGCTGTAAAACGTGTGTAAGATGTAAGGGGAACGTATAAGTGATAATGTTGCTCTCTGCTGCTATAATGATGAAATCATCACTTGTATGGCTAATATGTGAGTCGAGTATTAGGAGCTTTAGGACGTTATGTAGAGCTGTATGCTCTATAAAGTGCTGTAGCCACTATAGTGTAAGGTGAGAATTAGAAAATCCAGTGTCTGATAGTAGGATGAGCTCTGTGCCGAGTAGATTTAGGTGGTACCATGAGTCCATATGTATTTTACCCGGTAGAATAAGTACTGGTGGAATAGTCCCTCCTACTGTAGACACAGTTTCTACAATAGTAATAGACTGTCGATTTTCAGGGCTTAGAGTATAGAGCTGTTTAGCTATTCGTGGCACAATAACCTTCTCTCCTCCTGGAATTCCAATTCTAAAGCCAGTTTCATCTATATTCCAAATTGACTCTGGCTTTATATAGTGCTGTAGTATAAACTCATAGTATTTCTCAAACCACTCTTGAATAGTACTCTCATCTTGAGCTTTAACACGCTGTTGAGCAATTGGCTTAGTTGTAATAATATGGAAATCTCGAAGCTCATTCTTAATGAGCTTACTAAGCCAGCTTCGTGAGGGTGGTGGTAGTGGCTTCCGTAGGTGGCATATAGCTGCAAAGGTCATTTGCCGGGTAGCTCCTAGGCCTAGCTCATATTGCTGTATAATCCACTGCTTTAGAGCTTCTATTTGAGCTGTAGTGAGCAGCCTATTCTGACCACCTTGGCGGGGCTTGTGGAGTCGTTGGATGCTTGACTGTAGAGTGGTTCGTGGAATGTGGAAAATCCTAGAAGCAGCAGCTACAGACTCAGTCGGATTGTCTGCTAGCCACTGACGGGCATTTAATAGAGGAGTCCCTTCCATTAAATTGTTTTCATTGAGTTACTATGTAAATTACTATGTAGAGGAATGTTGTAGGTTTTGGTGAGGGGTAGCGGTGAACTGGCGCCAGTACAAACTGAGCGATCTCGCAGACGCACTTCGCTTCAACAATTCTCGCAGACGCACTCCGCTTACGACTACGATTACTAGTAACGAATTTTGTGGTGGTTTGACGCAGTTCGCTTCCGCTCACAGTTAGGTCGTGTTCCGGAATGATTCCGGCCACAGAATTTACCGCAGGCACATCCCACACGCGATGACGGCTCTACACTAAAGAAAGCGTTCTGCAGAATGGAAATGTGTTTAAGCATGTATTCCGTGTGAGACGCAAAGTTACCGAAGAGAGTCAACACAAATCTAACAGATGTTCTTTTTACCGTAGAAGTGAAAAAGGCTCTAGACACTTGCCTAAAACGATAGTATTGTATCACTCAAACGGTTGGCAAATGATTAGGATAGCACGCAAATAGCACATCGTAATAATAAGAAAAGCCAAAAAAAAAACTTAGCTTGATAGTCCATTCATTCTTTGTCCGCGAACCTCCGCTCACCTGCAACGAGACATGTGGAATTGTGCATCCGATGTCATGCTTCGCACCTCATACTCTACTTTAGTTAGTAGGTAATGGTGGGAAAAACCGCCACTTTCGCTAAATCAATACGGCCTACCCCACCCATTTTCTACGGGGTCGGTCCCCGCCTTTCTCGCCCTGTCTTTCTTCATGCACTTCCCTTAACATCATAAAGTTAGCTCCTGTCTAGAGTCATCCTCGCGTGATACTCTACAGGCAAACTCTAATCAGTAAATCATTCTGCCCTCTTTGTTCAGAAATCTTCACCAAAATATTCGCTGGCAGACGGAGCACCCGCGATGACTAGCATTCCGCACATCCCTAATCACGGAGCACCCGATGATCAGCTCGCGACCAGATTACTGATACCAATGGCCAAGAGAATCGAGCCACGTCGGATAAGGAAACCGCGCAACAAGACTCTAGAAGCTTGTCAGAACTGTAGAGAGAAACGCATCAAGGTGGTTCCAGATTAGAAACTCAAATTAAGGCCAAACATATCTAACATTTATAGTGTGACGGCTGTAGACCTTGCCGTGGATGCCGGAATAAGAACATTGAGTGCAGTCTCGCTGTCGCTCGAACTGACCAGAATGACCACCTAGCTGAGTACGATTCCCGGTGAGCAAGACAGACAATTTAACAGGATTAACCGAACGCGCGTGCAGAAAGTTAAACCAAGCTTTAGACAGGCTTTCTAGATTGGAAGCACGCCAACAACTTTCAGAGCAATCGTGGGGAACTGTTCGAGAAGGTGAGCAACTGCTTCATGAAGGGGGGGTGCATTTTGATCCCTTTGATGTTGTATCTTGCTAATTAAAACCTATCAGTCTTGGGCGCCGCAATTGGGAAGCCCTCGACACCGTCTATAACGGAGCTCAATCAGCAGACCGGATGTCCAGAATATTATGGTAAGAGCACTATCTAAAGCCTTCTCGGTCATTGTATGTTGACTCTTCTCTCAAGGCCGCACATCGAACCTAACATTGGCCACATCTATAAATAAGCGACTTGGACAGCTGGACAATAATGGATTAGCTACTCTACCACAACCCCGCGATGAATCCCTGAGCGTGAATCCGATCTCAAGAACAAGCGTCGGTCTGGCCAACCCTGAGAGGCTGGTCGAGGTGTGTGACTATGTTGTACCACTTACCGCTTCTAACAGACGATACCGAACGCTTCAAAGGGATGTAGCTGATAGGCACATTGAGAGCTTTCTTACCACAATCCATATATACTTTCCGGTCTTTGACATGTCAAGCTTTCGAGCGAAATATGCACGTTGGAGAGAATTATTTAGCAGCAACCGTCGCTTCGGACACCATAACGACGATCAGGTCCAACAGCAGTCATTCTGCCTCCTCTATGCTGTTCTTGCCCTTGGGGCGTTATACTCCTCCGGCGAAGAGGACAGCTCATCTTGGGCAGCTTGGTACTTTTCAGAGGCTCAGGAAATCATCGGACGTCTGTTCGATGCCGTAAATCTAGAGCTGGTACAGGCTGCAATGTTTATGGTAGGTCGCATCTCGACTTCGCGTCTGACAGAAGCATATGCATCTGTGTTTATAGGGAGCTTATGCCCAGCACGTCATCAAACCAAATTGTAATCCCTCAATAACCTCAGCTTTGTTTCTGGTACTGAGAATCGTTAGTGGCGTATAATCTCATCGGTCTTGCAACTCGAATGGCATTCTCGATCGGATTGAACATAGCAGGTCAAGGTCAAAGTCCGAGTGGGACGTATCTAGACGAGGCGAAACGTACCTGGTGCATGGTTTATGTGCAAGAGGTGGAGCTGAGCTTAGATTCTGGGCGCCCGATGTCCCTGAGGAGCTGCGACGCCAACGTTCCTTTCCTCTCTCAGAGAATCGAAAACGATGCCGTAAGTATTAGTACAAGGAGGTGCACAGGTGTTGTTACCACTTGCTGACGAGTAATAGGCATTGCTCGGAGACCTTGCCACTTCTAAAACGGTGTTCATTAAGTATCTTACTGGAATTGCTCAGATAACGAGGGATATTATGACTTTCGTTAGTTACCATATCCAGGCCTTTGGTCCTCCTAGTCATGAGTTCAGGGCGAGAGTTCGTCGCTTTTCTAACAGCCCATGATAGCTTGATGGATCGAAGACAACAATCACCACCCCTCCATTAAAGTGGGACCGAATTGATAGCTTCGATAGCCAGTTGTTACAATGGCGAGAGTCTCTCCCGAGTCACTTGCGATTTCGAGACTATCTTACAGACCAAAACTACTCGCCAGAAACACTTTCAAGTTGGACATCTAGACAAAAGAGTAGCTTAAGAGTCCGTAAGTCTAATACTGTTCTCACTTACTACCAACACATACTAGCATCAGGATAATCATTAGCTAACAGTAACGCAAGACTATAACATGGCAGTCATGATTTTGCACAGAACTTCCCTTCAGGAAGCGGAGAAGACCACACGTGACAAGGTTTCCATCGCATCAGAAGCCAAAGGTGAGCAGGCGGCAAGCGACATGGTCCGCCACATTTACAGCTCCTTTAAGGCGGTCCCAGATTTACGGAAATGGACTTACTACTGCTTCTATTGTCTGCAGGCCACGCTCACATTGCTTATAAAGCTCGTAGACGAGCCTTTACTAGAGAGTAACCTCAGCGTGGCTGAGCTGTGTGAGCTCAGTATTGATGTCTTTCAGCAGATTGATCTCAGGTCTGCAGACCAATGCGCTAAGATGGTGCGTAGAGTTCTGGATAGGTGGAATTCTCACCGCTGCAGACTTCTAGCTCAACAGAAAGGACATGCCGGTGCAGAACCCGTGGAGTCTATGCCCGGTCCACTTAGAACTCCCGATTCTATTCCAACTCAATTTGAAAGCGGGGATTATTACCAAGATCCGGCCCCTATGATGGTAGATTCAACTGAGCGAGAGCTTGAGTTTGATTTTGAGACAGTTTCAACAGGACGGACAAGTGCAGGAACAGTAGTATCTAGTGAATATCCATGGCTTGCAGCCGACGACGAAGCTTTATGGAGTTACTTATTAGATTTTAGTTAAATTTGTATTAATTAACCTAGCTATTGCTAGCACTTATCTTACTGTTTGCTATAAACTAAATTTAGTAACAGAAATAGTCTTAGGGTAAGGGCTTATAAAGTTAAACGTCTAACCCTTATGCCTATTTAAGGGTGCTAGATAGGAGTAATAGGAATAAGGGCATATTAGGTTTAGGTGATTAAATTGTAGATGCGGGCAAAGTCGCGTGCGCAGTCAGAACGGGATTTGTACTATAGACTCTATGAGGGGTCTACCCCGCGTCTCCGCAACAGTGACTCCACAGTTGCACTCACGTTACAATAATCACTATAATGGGATCTGTATCCTCTCTGATCAATCCACACGCCCTCGAATCGCCTTCTGTCTTGCTGCATGTTCACAATTACAGCTAATGGTAGAAATCGCGACTGGGTCTTTGCTTAGGAGAGACGCGCCTTCCTTAAAGATAGGTACGACTCCCTGCCTATACAACCCCTAATTGGCACCTTAGCACTTACTACTTTAGGTAATGGTCTGTTAGAAGGTAGGACCGGTTGCTAAAACCCTCTATTACAAGCTTGTGTATGGCAGAGCGGACGGGATGCCCAATTCTCTTGAGTCTATGGTCGTATGTGATGCTACTCAGTTGGTGGACTGTATGTGGCAGCATAGGCCCAGTGACATTCAAACTCAAAACTGTTGATTGGTATTTAGCGCTATGCAAAATCTAACTCCAGCCCATAATACCGCCCCTGAAAACATAAAATCGAACAGAACTATTGGCCCTGCATTTGCTCACGCCTGTCCGTCCCAGCCATGTACCAGAAACGCCTATTCCGACCCTTGCAAATGATATTATGTACGCTGCGTTCGGTGCGGTTCAAAGTCCTCCCACATAGCCTCCAATGGCATTGTAATGCTTCTATACCTTGTTGCGATTTGTATTGAACGTAATGGTCGTTATCAAGAGTGTTGTAATGTTTCACAGTATCTGTTCCTGTGTAGTGCAGTGAACTGTAGGATAATTTCGTGTATTCCTCCATGGATTATCGTGTCAGCTATGGCGATGGAGGCATCGACTCCACAACTGCGCCCATATTGGGGGTAGCTGCCTGAGCTGTAACTCTGTGTCCACCACTTCCATCAAAAATAAATGGTCCCGCATCATTACGGGGAGTCATGGGTCCGTCAGCCCCCGACAAGACATCCGGACTTCGATGTCCTGGGCTTGGCGTTCGTCGATCTCCACTTTCGTCGCTGCCACGTTTTGAACCCGACCGGTTCGATCTTGCAATATCAATCGGGGCGCTCAATCCGGATTGTTCGCTTCTAGCTTCGCTCTCTCTACCCCGGTCGTTGATTTCAAGATTAGCCATGAGTTCTTCCGATGAATAACCACTCGGTGAACTACTCGAAACTGGCTCAACGTGGGTCGTCGGTACTTGACCCAAATTTCGGGGCTCAGGAATGTCCGGGGGAGAAATTGGTTGGGGTACTTCATCCTCCTCTGAAGAAACCTGGCGTTGGCGTGTAGTATCGGCCTCCACATCTACATCTGATGGTTTCAGCTCCTCCCACTCGCCTTCTGTCGGTTCGTCCACGTCCGCGTCGAGGTCAGCAACTGCTCGACAGTTGGGACACACGAAGTGAGGCCAATGCGGGCCATTAATAATTCGCCGGACGCATTTGTAGTGCCACGTGTGCGAGCATGGCGCAACAAAGAGGGATTGGCAGGGCTAGTGTAGGAGTCAGAAATCTGGTAGATTTAACTCGAGACATAAACTTACAGCAACTGCGCCTAAGCAGATGGAACAGTCCTGAGAGGACGTTCCAGTTGTAGACTGTATCTGTTTCGCCATGTTTCGGAGGCGTTGGTGGGATGCAACACTGTTTATATGTTAGCTGTAGTCCTTTGTTCCGCCATGTGTGTGACAAACTTGAAGCTGTTTATTCCGGTCTGCCATGCCCTGTTAACTTCAATGCGAATCTTCACGCATCTGAATATCATTTCCTCGCCGCCCTTGAAATCGATCCCCAACTGAACAATATCCCCATTTTTCACTGGAAACGGCTTGCTCTCCGTGCCTGGAGAGCTCAACCTGACATGGTTCAGGAACGTTCCCGACGAGCTCTTGACGTCTTTTATAAACCATTCACCATCTTGTGCCCAGAACTCACAGTGCCTGCGGCTGACTACCTTGGACTTAAAGCCAACAGGGGCAGCAGTCGACAGATTGGCAGGTTGATTAGGCTGTGTCTCTCGTTCTGAGTACCTCCCCACGCGTATAATCTCCTTCCCTGTTGGCAGTGTGCGGCCCATAGGGCTGAATATCAACGAGGGTCTCGGGGCGCGAGCGTCTTGATGCTGGGAAAACCGTATCGTAGGCTTGCTCTCCGGGCCATGCAAAGGTCCCGACGGAGGCGGGGAGCCGTGAAGATGCGGGTCTGGGCCCCCGTTCATTTGTGAGATATCAGACCCCGCTTCTCGCATTGCGGCGCTGCCAGAGCGTGTCCGCGCCATGGGTGGCTCTTCTTGATTCACTCCCGGTTCGCGGTGAAGTATAGAAGAGGCCACACTTTGGCCGCCTACTGTTGTAGGCCAACCACTTCTTGCAAAGGCCGTATCGGGAGAGATTTGTATTGTAGGTGACTCGACTGTCGTTGTGGGCTGGGTTGAAAGGCCGTCGGAAGTCACAACTGGCGCCAACTGCTCGAAATCGGCAGGATCAAATGAGGCTGAGGGCGGGGAGGGGTTGCTGGTAGCTCGAGTCAACGGCGATTCAGATCTTGTGCCAGGTGATGATGTCGACGGACTGTCTCGTGCGTAGAGGTGGTTATGGGTGTAGTTTCGGAGATAGCTTAGGCCACGAAGACGGCTGGATCGTGAGGGAGATGATGTGGAGGACGGAGAGGTCGTCGTTGCCAGAGTTGAAGATGACGGGGTCGCATGAGTAAACATAGTTGGTACTTGCCAAAACGAGCGGCTCTCCAAAACGTCCACCACCAGGTCTGTCGAAGTGACTTAGGTATAGGCTCAAAAGCGTTCAAACAAACCAAACCAAATCCTACTCTGAACAGAACGGGATACGTTAAATTATGTTCGCGAGGACGACGGCTATGTTGCCAAGTTACCGCCGAACTTTACTAGAACATATGTGCTTTCGGGGAGGTTGGCAGTTGACGCCATGAAGTACTTTTCAATATACTAGTACATACTGTAGTCGCAAGGTCGTTCGTAGTGGCGATTTCGGGATTTGGGAGGGGTGGGACACGCGCAATCTGAATCGTCGAGCTCGGTCATCGGAACGGCCGATAGTACTTCCAGTCGGGGGCTATTATATACGGAGTATACATATAAATTCTCAAGAGATGGCAAAGGCTCACGTAAACATGGAAGAAAATAATGTTCTATTACTCGAGTATTACAAAGGTGCTACCGTGACACGTCTAGAATTAAATACAGGCCTCTCGCCTCTCAATTCGTAACTTGATCAGCCGTCCCTCTAATACTGTCCTGGTGTTCCTGCGACCCCGGAAGCCTGCTCCTGTTGGCCATATAAACCCTGCTCCTTTGCATAATCCGCTTTCCCCGTCCGACTATAGCCATAGCCTCCCGTCCCTCCTGGATTTGCCTCATTCATATACGTATTCGCCGGCTTCGCGCTCATCGGAAACACCGGTGGCTCATATGGCGGGTTCATATCGCGTCCTGCATTCGCGTCTTTCTTGTTATTCCCAAGCTTCCAGAACTTCCACTTCACCGGCGCTGACCCAGCCGTGTAGTTGTTCGCTGGGGATGGCCCGAATCGCTTCTCACGCTTGTGGTGCTTCCATAGCAGGATCTCGGCGAATGCGCTGAGCAGGAAGAAGCCAATCGCGACAATCGACACAGCGAAGGCGACCTTCTCCAGCCGGCAAACGGACCCGAGCTCCGGGAGGGCTGTGACGCCGCCCTTGCCGCCGGGAGGCTTGCTGTTGGCGTCACCGTTGCCGAAGGGTGTCACTACTTGCCCAGTGCAGCTCGTGACGCCATGTCGTGTCTCCCAGGCGATGTAGGCGAAGGCACCAACGAAGGCGATGTCAAGGATGACAGCGAGGAAGGCGAACCAGCGGAAGCCGCCGAGGAACCACAGGAAGACGAGCGAGGCACCTGTGTAGACCACGCAAGCACCAGAGATGCCCTCGACGGAGCGCAGGTAGCCAGAGATAGGTAGGGAGTGGTTGGAGAGTGTTGCGAGGTAGTAGGAGTATATCCCAAGGACGATGGCCGAGGCGCAGAATTGCACTGCACGGATGACCCACTGGACGCTTTTGAGGGCGATGCCGGACTTGAAACCCATAGTTGGGGGTGGTGTGAGGAGGTGAGTCGATGTGGTCGTAATGAGGATTTAAGAGGTATTTGTTCAGGCGATGATGCAACGATAATGGTAATTGACGACTGATAGATATTTTGTGCACATGCGTTTTGTTTAATCATGCAAGGGCTTCGTTGGCAAGAGTGATGGTGGAGTGCAAAAGGGTTTATTAAAAAGATGCTCCTTCCCTCTCATGTAAGGAATAGAGTAAGAGCATCTTTGCCATTCACCCCACATCCCGTAGATGTTGCGCAAGCGTGTGTCGTTATGGACATCAGTCGACATCATAACCACTTAAATGGAGTCAACCCCACTAGAACTACATATCTCTCCTCCACCAACCTGACTAGTACCTGGTTGCGTATCGTCCTCCACATCTCGGCGAGAACTTACCACCCCGATCAGGTCGCCCCATCCTTTCGGCGAACCATATAGCGGAGCGCTCTTGGGTTCGCCGCATCGTTCGTTGTTTAGAGTGTTGCTAGTGCAAGTCTAGTAGGAACTGGTGGGTAAATTGGTGGTTCTAGGGGGCTTTTCAAGGATGATATCATACTTCGCCAGATCGCTGCCGATCGAGATCGATAGAACCGCGTCAGCCAGTCGATCTGAGACCCCCACATGGCGATCATTCATGTGACAATTTTTATGTGGCTGCCTATAACTGCACGAACCAGCTGTGCATACTCGTCCAATACGTTCTACGTGGAAATTTGAAATGTAATGGGCGTGCCAATGAGTTTAGTTGCTGCTCGTCTGAGTATATGTTTATATTTAACTCCGTGCAACAGATTCGAAATTAGAATATTATGTCTGCCAAGGCTACGAAATATGTTTGGGCGTCTTCCGCCTAGTACGACCTCGAAAAGATAGTGATTCCAAATATACCCAGGTGCACCAGGGGAATCACCTCTTCAGTTGGGCAATCAGTCGCTCTACTTCTGTGGCATCGCCTGGCCTACTCGCCTTTCCACGCAGGTCCTCCAATATCTTCAAGTCTTTCGTCTTAAACGCTTCTTCTGCTGCCTGCTTAATCATACCACACTTTGTCCACATCTCAATACGTTCTGCGCTAGTTATCCCCGTGCACTTTGGGATAAAAACAGATGCCAACTTCGGATTGCCAGCCGACAATAGAGAGTTGAAGAATGGTGTCCATCCAATTGGTGATTTTCGAGTGCTCGAGAGGGTCTCGATTTCCGACCATGCACGGGAAGCGATATGTGCACGCAGCCTTATCCACCAGAAAGTCTTCTCGCCCAGTTTAAATTCAGCTTGCACTTTCTTTGCGCGGCTGGAATAACCGGATCGTAGCAGTCTAAACACGGTCTCGTTAACTGATAGCCCCGTATAAGTCTCTTCAAGATCGCGGTCGAATGCCTCCTGCATCTTCAAAAGGGTCTGTGCCTCTTGTATCGACTTGAGATCGAATACCGTGTCCTTGGAGTCACTCAGCAACTTGCCAGCCAGGGTAAGCTTATCAATAGCCCCTCGTGCGTCACGCTGAGCGAGAGCATCGTGAACAAAGACGTGTGCGCCATCAGTCCGACGGTCATCTTGATAGTACAGGTCCTTTAGTAGTTCCATGTCGTCTCCTTTTGCAGAGCTCTCAATCAACGCCGTTGCTATTGGCCGAGAACTGATGACACGGAAGAAAGAAGCTAGTGGCAGCTTATTCTTAAGCTGGAGAAGGACAAAGAATATCAGGTCCGAATCACCGCTTTCGATCGCCTTGTCGAGTGCGATTTCGTCTTCTTCCATGCTGAGAAGAAGAGGGACCTGTTTGCCAGCGCGTGGCTCGTAATTTAGTAATTCTGTGGCAAGACGGCCCCGGCCTTCATCATAGGCAGCGCGTGCGATCTCCTCAAACGAAATGCCGCGCTTGTTGGCCAGCTTCTCTACAATGAGGCGGCAGATGGTAGCTTCGTCTTCGGAGGATACGCGGACTTTTTGGCTCGCCCAATGCACGTAGATACGGTCGGTGGGGAGACGAAGGTACGACGATATACGTAACGCTAGAAGATACTCTCGGCGATTGATGAGTCGCTCAATAAGTTTCTCCGGCGTGAGGCGGAGGAACTGTTCATAGGATAATGGAAGCCCCACCGAGTAGAATCGTACAGCGTTAAGGACCCGGAGGATCTCGCACATTTCGACGAATTCATCGGAGTTGTAAATATCAACGACCGATTTTCCAAACGATGCAGCCCGTAAAAGCTGCTTTTGCCAGTGAATGCTAAATTCATGCCCAGAAGCTTTAACCTGTAAAATGCGTTAGCCAACAACGGAATGGATGGCCAGTTCAGGCTCCTTACGCATGCATCGACAGCCTCTACAAGGTTGGGCTTAATGAGTTGTATATTGTCGTCTGCTTTTGGTGATTCGTTTTCTAATTGTTGGACGGCGTCGAGTAAGATTGACGCGGGGGATACAGTTCCAAATCGGAAAACCTCGTCTGTAACTTCAGGTACTTTCTGGAGGAAGTCGCATACATCGTTTGTTATCAAACGAACACCATCGTGGTCTGGATATATTAGTTAGGCGTCGTCACAAAATTCGGAGTATGGGATTATAAATACCGGCTATTGCGTGAACACGGCCGTCGTAAAAAAACTTTGCAGCTGAGCCGTTTGGCCCTATTAGATGGACTTCATCTTCCCAAGCAATAACCACAGCATCATTTCCACACCACAGAAGATCCACTGGGAGTGTCTTTGCCTTCGAGTCATGCTCACTCAATCGGTTTTGGAAATCGCTGGTGATAACGTATGCCTTACCGCTTTCTGTGTATAAGGCTGCAAACTTTCCGTTTGGTGATACGCTTATATGGATAAATGGACCAATATCAAGCATTCGATCTTCAGATTCAGTGGCATCCACCACATATATCGTTTCGCCTATAGCCAGTAAAACTTCTACTGAGCGAGATAGCGTATATGCCGGTGGTACCAGGGTCCAAGAGTGGACGACCCCGTCCGGTGGTACGGCCAAGAGTTTCGGCCGTGGCTCCTCATAACGAGAGACGGAAATTAGATGATTGTTTGATAGAAGAGCCACGAACCCGGTGGAGTAGAAACTTCTTGAGCTTTAGCCTTCGTCAACGCCACCTAATCGACACACTTACCGGCAAGCAACTACACCAAATTCTTCCGCCCCGTGACCCAACGAGAACTGAGAGAAGTCGCCTTGCAGGTTGTAGTAACAGCGAACTGTTCCATCCTGGGTAACTACTAATAGTTTCTCATCCTCCGACCACCCGAGGCCTTTGATTGAGCCTTTGTCCCAGTTGATGCGCCTAATGAGCTTTCCGGAACAACTATACACATCAATGCTTGATTTGGAACCTTGACTACCACGGAAAGTATGTAATTTTGTCTCATCACGGTATAGAGCTGTGATAATTGTTAGTGTATGGTGAAAGACGCGCGGCTGTCCAAACTGCAGGCGAGCAGCCCAAGGACGCTGAAGTGGTCTTGACAATAAAGGGCCAAATAGAACCAGCCGTATGGAGGCAAATGCCCTAAAACTGAGCAGTTGAAAATAACATACCTATAGCTCCGCCATAGGGGGCTCCTGTCACAATGTGATTCTCAAGCTCAAGGTCCTGGTCGAACACTTCCGTGTAGAGTTGGACCTTCCGATAGTACCTTTCCCCCAACTTTTCCCAATCTGCAGTGGGATTCATCCTTGCAACATCAGCCTCATTCTGTACATTAACAAATCAATGATTGTATATAGTCGATGTAGCATCCAATCGCCCCGGATGTCTACGCATGTGTAAGGAAGGATGATGAATTCACGTGCCGTGTGAGTGGTACCTGGTTGTCTTTGCCCAGGCGCTTATTCCAGGATCCACCCTTTTTCCGCGCGGCTGTGCGGCCGCTCACCACCGATGCCAACCACGATGGTGGCGCAACGCGAATTCCACCGCTGGAACTCGTCATCAGAAACGCGTATATGCAAATCCTTGATATTCCAAGGCCCTACTTCATAGTCGATATCTCCAATACAGGCAGTTTTCACCAAAAGTCTGAACCTCAGCAGCACGCAACATAGAAACCACTCGGACACTGGAGCCTCATTGTTTCAGTCATCACGAAGGGTCCAAGTGAAATCGCTCAGTCTTGCCTACATACCAACTGTGGCCGCAGGTTTGCTGCAACCCAGACAAGGTGCAATATGCGCCGAGGTCTTTTAGATTAATGAAGTTGGATTGGAAATGAGCACGGGTGCAATCCTGGGCCGTTCATCAAACAGGCCGTTGTCTATGTATGGCGCCGGGCAAACTCCTCAAGGGGGAGGGTCGGATGCGAATGGCCACGGCACAGCTGGCGACAATGGAAAGAAGTTACCTGCGCGAGTGTTCCAACATATCGATGACCTTCTAAAGGCGAAGCCCGAAGTCAATGTACACGCCCCAATACGACGACTTGTCCTCGATGCCGAATCATACTCTAAACAAGCCGATACTCACATCGACTTTCGCCGACCAGATCTGGCCTTGCAGGACTACATAAAGGCCTCGATTATTGCCATCGACATTATACCGAGGCACAAAGAATATCCCGATTTGAAGGCAGACCGTGGCGAGCTCCATCGTCTCTATAGTGCACTGCAGAAAAGGATATATTCCCAGTATACCCGCTTCGAAGAGGTCAAGGTGGTAATTAAAAAAAACAATGCCGAAAGTGGTATTCGACCTGGGTCCGTGAATGTAGTTTCAAATGGGATCGCTCGTGAAGATGCGCATTCACGGGAGCCTCCCGTTGTTCCCAAAAATGACGCCCAAGCCGTGAAACGCCCATCCGGCGGAGACAATAAGAGCCCTGCGCGTACAAAACCCGCGGTTCATCCCAAACCAAATGCCTTGCTCGGAAAGGCAATCGGCAATCACCAACGGTCGCAAAGCGAGCAAATCAAGCGAGCCCCGAATCTTCATAACGAAGACCTCGAGAGCCGCTTTGCTAGATTGCGCGCGGTTGATACGCAGAGCCAAGATCAACGATCAAAGGCATACCCAACACGACCGTTTGTGAAGACAGGCGCAGAGGGCTTTGATGGGCGGTCAGCAGTACAGTCAAGCAAGTCTCTGGACAGACCGTCTGGACCTCGCGATATGCCGAAGGCTTCGTCGGGGCCACCCCGACCTTCAAAGTTGGCTATGGATGTTCTGATTCCCGATATGCCTAGACCGCCGGATGCTATCTACAGCCCTGACCGTACGAGTCTCGATGCACGAAGTTTTCCACCCCCCAGGATTGCCCCAAGGCCAAGCTTGAGTGAACCACGCAAGCCTGCCACTGCACCAACAACGAGCCTTTCAACCCGCACAACCCCTAGTGTGTCCACTGATACGCTTCCTAATGGTCAGAAATCATCCTCCCCAAGGCCGCCTTTGGACCGTAAATTGTTTAATTCGACCACTGTGGTAGCGGATGATCTTGTCAATTATATGAAGCAATGTCGAATACTATTTGTCGACATTCGCTCACGTTCAGCATTCGACAGCGGCCATATCATGTCACAGTCTATTCTGTGCATTGAACCTATCGCTTTGGTAGAGGATATGTCGGCAAGCCAATTGGAAGAAAGGCTCGTTGTTTCGCCTGACAATGAAGCAGATTTGTTTCGAAAGCGTCAGGACTATGACTTCGTTGTATATTATGACCAGTCATCGTCTTCAAACCTCTACGCTGACGAAACGAGCAATGTGGAAGAGATCCCATTACGAGACTTCAGCAAAGCTATTTTCGAATATGATTACAATAAAAAGTTAAAATGTCCACCTAAGCTATTGGTGGGTGGGTTAGATTCATGGGTGCAATTAATGGGACCTGGCGCTTTGGCTACTTCGGACACTTTACAAGCTGTCACACCTCCAATTCCTCACCATGATTCACCTATGCGGGCTACATCAACTTCTTTAAGTTTAGAAAAGCAGTATCAATCAAGGCCACTTACACAAGATGAAGAATCGAAGTGGCAGAAAAAACTCATGGAACCGTCAGATGACTTTGCCGGTCGTTTCCCAGATATCGATACCTTCGAAAATACGGCCAGAGCTTCCCAAAACAAAAGTATTGTCGAAAACAGCATGACTGACTATTCATATGTTGATGCGCATGAGGCTGAGCTTAATTCTTTGGAATTCAGGGAACCAGCACGTCCTGCCCTCGCCTTGTCCAAACGAAGCTATCATGGTGTCTCGGAGAGTGTCTCATCTTCTGTTTCCGCTCCCCAAAAATCCAGTTGGGGATTGTCTGAGGTTGATTCTATCTCTCCTTCAGTTTCAGCAAGCGGCAGAACTGGCCTTGATAATTTCGGTAACACTTGTTACATGAATTCTATCTTGCAAGCCTTCAGTGCGACTCCATGGTTTGTAACATATCTTCTAGACGGCTCGATAGACAAGGCTGGGGCACCTCCTCGGAAAAAGGGGGAAGTAAGTGACCCACCACAGTTGATGGTCAGAAACCTTGCCTTCTTGATACGACATCTCTGGAGCGGTCAATATAACTTTGTAAAACCTCAGACACTCAGGGTACGTTTGTCCTTTACATTCTCGTTCTCTGTTTAATTCTAACCTTCGATAGAATTATATATATAGAATTTGCAACCGTGGGCATTCGAATTCCAGGGTTCTTTTCGGCGGCCCGAACCAACAAGATGCCCAAGAGTTTCTTGACTTCCTTCTAAATATAATTGAAGATGAAACGAATCCTGGACGAGATAGGCCCGAACCTGCGGCCTTAACAACGGCTCAGGAGCAGCAAATAAGAAACGAAGGCCATGCAGCAGAAATTAAGTTTCATCGGCTAAGATATGCGGCTGCACACCAATCGCCGATCACTGACAAACTCCTCCTTTGCACGATGAAGATTTTCAAATGCCAAGAATGTGGCTGGAAGACAACTAACCACAGTGACAACTCTCCATACCTGAACGTCAGCATCCCAGACGGACGAGAGTCGAAATTGTCAGATTTGCTGAGCCGAAGGTTTAGCAAGGAAGGGAAAGTGAAGGAGGTTTATGATGATGTGAAATGCGACAAATGTTTCGCCATTCATGGCCGCAAGACACGAAGGTCGGTGACGGAAGTGATTACTAGGCTTCCGGATACCCTTATTCTCGTTCTTGTCCGCCATACGGCGGATATTCGGAGGAACAATGCGCTTGTCACGTTCCCTCTGGATGACCTGGATATGGACGACTACTATTACGACGTCCCAGATGCCGGCAGAGACAGGCTTGGCAAGAGATCTGCCACACATTACCGTTGTTATGCCGTGGTGCAACATTTGGGTGACAATTTGCACTCTGGTCATTATATTACTTTGGTCAGAGATCGAGAGCGCACGAGCCAATGGTGGGAATTCAGCGATCGAAGAATTCGTACTATTGATGCCGCATTAACCCAAACCAGTAATTCATATATCATGTTTTACCAGCGCGTCGAATAGTCGAAGCCCTTATTAGAGGAGGGCTTGTGTGTAGACGAGGATTATTGAATATTAGGGTTCATTTTGCATGCATTTATATAGCCGGGCGGAAACCAGCGATAGCATATGACGAGAGCAGGCGTTGATTGACAGTTAATGAGATACCAATGCAATGATTAAAACAGAACTATAATTAAATTAGAGGCTATTATGTACTATTATAATTCACTGTTCGGAGTTTATAATATATTTGGTTTGTGAATAGGATGAGAATGCAATTATGATGCAAATTAATGTTTCCTGGATATTACGTTTAATCGCGGTAAAAATTAATTACCTCCGCTCTCACTGTTTTTATTGTTTACTACCACATATCCTCGGCCACTATCACCAACCACATTTTAGTATCTCTCCAACGATGCCAGGAAAGGCCAGTACCTCCAGCAGCACCCCCAAAAACTGGCCCCCTCACATCCCCTACCTCAAAACACCAGCCTATTCCCGCACCCTTAGCCCCATCCAACTCAAAGCCCTCCGCACACGAACGTCAACAGCTCAAGACACACCTCAAACCGTTCCAGGACCATCTCCTCTCGTGCGCATTACACCAATATCCAATCCATCACATCCCGCAAATGGACAGAGCGGGTTGTTTGCAGCGAAAGATCTTCCCCCAGGCTCCTTCATCCTGCCCTATATTGGGGAAGTTCACGGCCAGGGAGCGGCGCACGAGGCGAGCGACTATGACCTGAGTCTTGATCGAGATACCGAACTGGCAGTGGACGCGGCGCGAAGTGGGAATGAGGCCAGGTTTGTGAATGACTACCGTGGGGTGCCGGGTGTAGTAAAGCCCAATGCGGAGTTTCGAGAAGGGTGGGGCGGGAAGGAGCGAGCGATGGGGGTTTGGGTATTACCGGCTGGGAAAGCGGGCAAAGGGAAGGGGATTAAGAAGGGAGAGGAAATTTTGGTGAGCTATGGGAGAGGATTTTGGGGCGCGAGGAAGGAGGTTGATGAAGGAGATGGTGGAGGCGACCAGGTGGCTGGGCAGGTGGATTGACGCTCATGATCGAGATATAATCCACCCAAACGATCATGTCGTTGCTTGATTTGAACAAAGTGGGCGTCCATGGAGCTGCATTCTAAGCAAAGCATTGATATCGGTTCTTGCTAGGGCAAACCCACCAGGTGTTGCCGTTCTCAGAACCCTCCCTCAACGAGTTCACGGTCTGCTATCACAAACAGGTCCCACAGGAGTTACTGTTTCCGGAGTAGATTCGATCAAACTGGATTACAAATCCGGATCACCAGTATGTCCCAGCCCTACGGCATAGCAACTGAAGGGCGACTCAGCCGTCAGCAACGCCTGGGACAAAGTGAAAGGACCAGGGCAATAGAATGAGGAGAGAAATGCAAAAGGAACTGGGAGACTGGGAGAATATTATTTGTCAATCGAGGAATTGTCTTTGCATGAAATTGATTCAAGCCTGCGCCTTTCGAAGGCACTAATGCTTTTACAAAACTGATGGAATATCGTGTGCGACCATGTTAATCTAGTCCATGCCCTCCACGCTTCCTAGCCATTGCCCGCCACCCTTGAGTAATGCATTCACATCCACGCCCGTCAAATACCTCTCACTGACCCCGACATTAACCCTCTGTGACAGCAGCGACGACAGTTCTGCCTTCGCTCTTCCCATCTCATCCTTAGTCATTCCTCTCGCTTCCTTCTCTTTCCTTGCCCGCCCTCCAACCTTGCCCTTCCTCTCAAAATCTTCACTATCGTAGTCCACACCCAATTCCTCTGCCGCCTTGCGAGCCCATTCATCTCCTCTTTCTCCCTTAGACTTCGCAATTCCTGCGTCTGCAATTTTCTTTGCGAGCACCACACGTGGCCGTAACAGGGCCGCGACGCGCCTGTCAATGTCAAGTGTGCGGATTACACCAACCTTCCCTGCGAGGCGGCGTAACGACTGCGCCTCCTCGGGTGCGCAAAGCATAATACTCGTTCCCTGTGCTCCAGCACGCGCTGTGCGACCAGAACGATGGACGTACATGTCCGCAGCACGGGGTAGATGGTAGTGGATGACCAATTCGACGGCTGGAAGATCGAGTCCGCGTGCGGCGACATCGGTGGCGACAAGGAGAGAGGAAAATCGCTCAATAGACCGGAGACGAGCCTTCTGGGGCATGTTTGAATGTAAGGTGACGGGGGAATAGTTGAGGTTGGCTAGGAGCGGGGTGAGGCGTTGGGCGGTGTGGATGGAGTTTGTGAAGATGATGGTTTTGAGGTTGGGGTGGTGAAGGAGGAGAGTATAGAGGTATAGGTCCTGAAATGTAGAGTCAGTATGGTAAATTTTTGGGTATATGATGCTAGGCAGTAATGAGGCTTGAGGATTGATACATACCTTTTCGGTGGCACCACATTCAATAACGCCCTCCTTGAGGCCCTCTGCCATGGCTGACGTAGCCACGTCGATAAATTTCGGCTCTCCCTTGAATTTCAGCTTCTTCATCAGGTACTCCATCCCGTTATCCCCAAGCCTGCCCTTTCCTGATAGCTTTTGTTGCAGTCCTTTCTCCAGTGTTGCGGAAAAGACGAGGGTTTGCCTTGTAATGACATGCTCTTCTTCATCGTCCGCGTCGTGGCGGTCCAACTTCGAGATAATCTCTTCAGCCTCTTTGAAATGTCCCTCCGTTAACAATCTATCTGCCTCATCGACAACGAGGAATTTCAATGTTTTAAGAGATTTGGAGAGCTCAATGCCTGAGCTCAAGACTTCCCACAACCGACCGGGCGTGCCGATGATGATGTCGGCCCTTGCCAGCTGTCTTTGCTGTTTCTGAATGGCCAATCCTCCGGTTACTGTGGCTATGAACGGCGCATCGGACAATCCTTTACAAAGCTTCGTAAGATGATCGGTCAACTGATGTGCCAGTTCCCTAGTTGGCGACAGGATCAAAGCCGTTGCACTTTTCTGAGTCTTCTTTTCTGTTACCGTTTCATCCTCCCGGCCTTCATTATCCTGGAGCCATCTCTCGATAATTGGAATACCAAAGGCCAACGTCTTACCAGAACCCGTAGAGGCCTTCCCGATAACATCGTTCCCAGCTAGTACCTCCGGAATAGCCTCCTGTTGGATCGGCGTTGGTGTCGTGAAACCAATCTTTGCCAGGGCCGAAAGCATCGCCGGAGAAAGGTTCAGCTCTGCCCATTCAGTCATATCTTCATCTTCGGCTTCGTCTTGAAGAGCTGCGAACACGTTGGGTGCTGATTGTTGTTTCTCTGGTAGCTTCTTGTCCTTCGATTTCGCCATAGAATCCTTGGCTTTCGCTGCTAATTTTGCGGCCTTCTCTTTCTTGGACTCTTTCTTGGACTTTGCAACATTGGTATCATCCGTTTTTGGGGTTTCCGGCTTGGCTTGTTGTTTGCTGTCCGTCTTCGCTGATTTCGGCGTATTCGAATCGGCCCTTGCTCCCTTCGCCTTGGCCTTTGCATCCTTTGGTTTTGTCTTTACGGCATCATCCGCGGGCGCATCTGCCATATCATCATCAAATCCTTCAAACTCGGTCTCGTCAATTGGGGTTTTTGTAACCTAAAATGTTAGCTTAACCATATAACGGCTTGGGTAGTCTCTAAAGGCTCACAAATTTGACTTGATTTCCGTCTCTGATAACCTCAACATTGTCCACCTCATCCAGTCCAAAGAAACCCTCGGCATCCTCGAACATATCGGGCATTTCAACTTCGTTCCATGGCAAAGCATCCAATGCGACAGGTACCTTCCTCACATCTGAACCAGCTCCTGCGGGCGCATAAGAGCTTGAAGTTTCAACCTTTTGCCGCTTCTTCGACCTCTGACTTGTAGTCGGCACAGGCCTGTCTCTCTTTGGCTTTTGAGGAGCCATATTTAGAGAGTTGTAGTGCGATAATATCGCTGGCGGTCAATGTCCCTCAAGGTAAAGATAATTTTTGGCGGCGATAAGCATTTTCCGGAGGTTTTCACAAATCGCGGGGATATAATTCGCCGAGTATCTCAGCCTCGCAAGATTCTGACAAGGCTCTCTCACCCCACGTACGAGGAGCCCACTCACCACTCCAGACACAATATTTCTCAACCATGGGGAAATCTTCTAAAGACAAACGCGACGCCTATTACCGGCTAGCAAAAGAGCAAGGCTGGAGAGCAAGGAGTGCATTTAAGCTGCTCCAGCTGGACGAAGGTATACCATTCCTCACACACAAATTGAACGTCATCTAACCAGGTATCTAGAATTCGACCTATTCCAAGATGTCACCCGAGTTGTCGACTTGTGCGCCGCTCCTGGAAGTTGGAGTCAAGTATTGTCTCGAGTATTAATTAAAGGAGAGAAGTTTGGGCGGTCAGCATGGGAGGACAAACAAGAAACGGCTCGCCAGACATCTCTACAACAATCAAAATCCGAGTCGATTCCGCTCGATTCAAGTACGGACTCAGCGAAGGCAGTGGTACAAGAGCCAACAGAGCCAACAAAAGCAGATTCGGCCCCGCAGCCGCCTAAAGATATCAAAATTGTCGCAATCGACCTCCAACCCATGGCCGCCCTCCAAGGCATTATTACCTTACGTGCCGACATCACTCACCCCGCCACGGTCCCGCTCTTACTCGAAAATCTTGGATCTGCTAAGGCCGATCTTGTACTGAGCGATGGAGCGCCGGATGTTACAGGTCTCCACGATCTTGACATATACGTCCAATCGCAACTCCTTTTTGCAGCATTGAATCTTGCTCTGTGTGTTCTTCGCCCGGGAGGTAAATTCGTGGCCAAGATTTTTAGAGGACGGGATGTTGATTTGCTGTATGCACAACTAAAACTATTCTTTGAGACAGTCGTTGTTGCAAAGCCAAGGTCAAGCAGAGCAAGTAGTGTTGAGGCCTTTGTTGTGTGTTTGAACTTTCAACCTCCAGAAGGGTATCATGCGAGTTTGTCGGAACCTCTGAATGTTGAACAGCTCGAAACAATGGTTAACGCAAAGAGTAGCACAAAGGAAACTCTTATAAATTCCAGCAGTTCCACTGAAACACGGGCGGATGGTGTCGTCGAAGTTGAAACCAACAGCGACCCTGATCGGTGGATAGCACCCTTCCTGGCATGTGGAGATCTATCATCCTTCGACGCTGATGCAACATATCATCTGCCAAAAGATCGAGTAACGCTCGACCCAGTTCAGCCACCGACAGCACCACCTTATAAACGAGCGTTGGAGAGGAGAAAGGAAGCTGGTGGAGCGTATGGGAAAACTACTTGAAAGATCTAATACAAAACAACATTCAAACCGGCATCGCAGAGCCCCTTCCCTGCTTGTTTAAGATTGCAAAACCATTCTCGCCCTGCTTGAATTGAGACATTCCCATCTTTGCATAAAACGCCTCTCCCTCTTTCAGGTTTGCCATCAGCATCACTCGTCTCAGATGCGGCCAAGAAGCGAACTCCTCGTTGACACATTCCACCAGCCACGATCCTAGACCCTTCCCCTGATGTTCCTCAAGAACATATACATCTGTCAGGTATGCAAATGTGACCTCGTCTGTAATTACACGAGCAAAACCAATCTGAGGAGGATCGCTGCGACCTGACGAACAATCAGCTAGTGTTACATTACTCAGTCTAAAGAACTTACCAGCAAGTTCTGAGGATGATTCTGGTAGTGCATAAACTCCAAAACAAAGAGACTTGCTTAACATCTTCTTCAAATATTCAGGCTCCATGCCCCTGGCCCAATATATAGCATCAGATTCGAACGCTGCATTGACAGCCTCAGGTTGGATAAGCTCCGGCGAAGTGGAAATCATATAGTTCTCCCGGTACCAGGTTCCTTTAGCCATGATTCTTTCTTTGTAACAGATCGATCTTCTGCAAACTTTGCTTATTTTATTCTTTTTTAGGAATTAACGATTTACTTTCTGTAACTTCCCGTCGAACCGTCGCACCACGTTTAAGTTGGAGCCATTCTCACCGCCGGCTCTACCCCGCCAACCCCTCTGTATTCTGCCCCACTTCACCGCTCGACCCGCGCTATATTATCCACCACCACAATTTTTTTTCTACTGAAATAAACAATCCCCCCCACCTTCGACTTTATTTCTTGTTCTCAGTTTGGTCTGATCTATTTTGGAGGGTTTTAGACCAAAGAAAGATCAAGATGGACCAAGGACGATTTGTTGAGTTGCTGCAAAGCATTCAGATTCGTAAGTTTCCCTCTTTCTGCAGTTACCCCTCTATCGCGATGAGTTGTCGCCGTGGCAGGTGTTGTTTATACACGTTGTCGTCGCCCCGTCCACTCCCGTCCATGCCTGTGAACTTTTTCACCCCTTTCCTCAACGACCTTTTTATATTTGTTCCTCACTAACATATTCAGCCGATACCGAGAAGGTCAAGGCAGCTACCACCGAACTGCGCCAAACCTACTACCCCCACTCTGAGTCTCTACTATGGCTCCTACAAATTCTCGCTTCTCACGACGTCCAAGCGATCCGCCAACAAGCAGCTGTTGAAGCCCTACGCCTCGTCCCGAAGCACTGGGCCACCCTTGACGGGCCCAAGCCAGCGATCCGCGAGTCACTGCTCAAGGCCGCCCTGAACGAGCAATCATCTCTCGTGCGCCATTCCACTGCTCGCGTTATCTCCGCTATTGCTGGGATCGACCTTGAAGATGGCGAATGGGCCGACCTCCCGGGCTTCCTCATGGAGGCCGCCAAGCAGCCACAAGTAGGACACCGTGAGGTTGGAGTGTACATTCTCTTTACCCTTCTTGAGGTTGTTGGCGATGGATTCATCGACAAGCTACCTATCCTCTTCCAACTCTTTTCCATAACCATCCGCGACCCAGAATCCCCCGAGGTCCGCATCAACACCATGCTTGCCCTCAGCCGCATTGCGATGCTCATCGACCCTGAGGAGGACCGCAAGTCCCTCAAGTCTTTCCAGGACACTGTCCCATCAATGGTTGCTGTTCTCAAGTCAACCATTGACGACAACGACGAGGATCGCGCCATGCAAGCCTTTGAGGTGTTTCAAACTCTCCTAGGTTGTGAGTCGGCCCTCTTGGCCAACCACTTCAAGGACCTCGTCCAATTTATGATTGAACTCTCCGTCGAGAAGAGCATCACCGACGAGACCCGCTCGCAAGCCCTCTCGTACCTCATGCAGTGTGTCAAGTACCGCCGCATGAAGGTTCAGGGCATCCAAGGGATGGGAGAACAATTGACCATCAAGGCCATGCAAATTGCAGCTGAGATGGAAGATGACGACGATGACGAGGATGAGATTACCCCTGCTCGCTCGGCCCTGTCCCTCCTCGATATCCTCGCAAGCAGTCTCCCACCCCGCCAGGTGATCGTCCCACTGCTCACCTCCCTCCCACAATATGCCAACAGCGAAGACCCAGCCCTCCGTAAGGCTGGTATTCTCTCCCTCGGCATGGTCGTCGAGGGCGCACCCGACTTCGTTGCCACCCAGCTTGAGCAAATCATGCCATTCATCCTCCAGCTGCTCAATGACTCGGATATCAACGTCCGCCAAGCTGCCCTTCACGGTGTCTCCCGCCTTGCGGAAGACCTTGCGCAAGACATGAGCCAGTCGCACGCGACTCTCGTCCCCGCTCTCCTCAAGAACCTCGATGCCGCTGCCAGCCAGACTGATAAGATCAGCACTGGAATCATCATTGGATCCTGCCTTGCCCTCGACTCTCTCGTAGACGGCATGGAGGCTGAGATTTCTTCTCTGTACATCTCGGAGCTTGTCCCACGCATTGGCCGCCTGTTCGAGCACCCGGATTTCAAGGTCAAGGGTGCATCCGCAGGTGCTATGGGGTCCATTGCCTCATCTGCAGAGGAGGCATTCCTGCCTTTCTTTGAGCAAACCATGAAGGCTCTGTCCGAGTACGTTACCATGAAGGACAGCGAGGAGGAGCTCGACCTTCGCGGTACCGTCTGCGATGCCATGGGCAGCATGGCAACTGCTGTCGGTGGTGTGGCTTTCCAGCCATACGTCCAGCCATTGATGGCTGCCTCGGAGGAGGCTCTCCACCTTGGACACCCACGTCTTCGCGAAACCTCCTACATTCTCTGGAGCACCATGTCGAAGCTTTACGAGAAGGAGTTTGCTCCATTCTTGGACGGTGTTGTCAAGGGCCTTCTGGAGTGCCTTGAGCAGGAGGAGTCTGACCTCGACGTTGAGCTTGGCGAGGAAGCCTCTGACCTCCTCGGTACCGAGGTTGTCGTTGCGGGCAAGAAGATCAAGGTCGTTCAGCCCTCAACTGATGAGGATTCGATGGATGACGATGAGGACGATGATGATGACTGGGATGATCTCACCGCGGTGACTGCCGTTGCCCTCGAGAAGGAAATCGCTGTTGAAGTCATTGGCGATATCCTTTCGCACACCAAGGATCTCTACATTCCTCACTTGGAGAAGACTGTCGAGGCCGTCATGACCTTGGTTGACCACTCTTATGAGGGCTGCCGTAAGGCTGCCATCGGCACCTTGTGGCGCGCATATGCCTGCCTTTGGGCTTTGATGGAGGACCACACCGGCAAGAAATGGACTCCTGGTATTCCATTGAAGGAGCAGCCAAGCCAAGAGCTTATCAAGCTTGGTGAGGTTGTTGCTACTGCCACAATGACTGTTTGGGGCGATGAAGTTGACCGGTACGTTCTTTCCTTTTATAATTTTAATTTCTACGTGGATATGACGAACCACCATTACGTACCCAGCTCACTCAGATGCACAAGTTGCACTTGCTGAGAACACGTATCAACATTCCGATCCATTTCTATTCATTCAATTTGTTTTAAAAAGTTTTGAAAGAATCATGCTGACAAGCACAGTGCCGTCGTCACCGACATCAACCGCAACATTGCCGCCACCCTCAAGCTCTGCGGCCCAGCTATCCTCACCCAGGGTAACATGCTCGAGCAAGTGACCACCATCCTTGCCGCGCTTGTCACTCGCCAGCACCCTTGCCAGATGGACATGGGTGATGATGAGGACCAGGAGGACGTCGGCGAGACCTCCGAGTACGACTGGCTCGCGGTTGACACCGCCCTCGACGTCGTGATCGGCCTCTCCGCCGCCCTCGGCAGCCAATTCGGCGAGCTCTGGAAGGTCTTCGAGAAGCCTGTCATGAAGCTCGCTTCCTCCCAGGAGGCCTTCGAGCGCTCCACCTCCATCGGTGTCGTCGCCGAGTGCACCGCCCACATGGGCGCCGCCGTCACCCCCTCCACCGCCACCCTCCTCAAGCTCCTCCTCCACCGCCTCACGGATGAGGACCCTGAGTCGCGCTCCAACGCCGCCTACGCCACGGGTCTGCTCATCCAGCACTCTGAGGACGTCAACACCTACGGCCCCGCCTACCCCGAGATCTTGCGCAAGCTCGAGCCTCTCCTCCAGACTGAGCGTGCTCGCACCCTTGACAACGCCGCTGGCTGCGTCACCCGCATGATCACTGCCCACCCCGACAAGGTTCCCATCGCTGATGTGCTGCCCGTTCTTGTGGGTCTGCTGCCGCTGAAGGAGGACTACGAGGAGAACGCGCCTATCTACGGGTGCATCGTTGGCCTGTACCAGGCTGGCAACTCGACCGTGCAGGAGCTGACCCCACAATTGGTGCCAGTGTTCGCGGCCGTGTTGGGAGAGCCAAAGGAGCAGCTCGAGGAGGAGACGAGGGCGAAGCTTATCGAGACTGTGAAGTATATCGCGAAGCAGCAGCCGGCGCTGATCCAGGGACACGCGGTGTTGGCGGCCCTGTGAGTTATGATACCATGATGTGATGAGAGAGACGGTCCCCCTTGTTGGGTAGCGGACGTGAGAGTAGATAGATGAAAATGTGGGAGTTAGCCCGTAATCGACGAGAAATTTGATCATGTTATTGACTTCATGAGCACTATTTTCTACCAATATATCTTGCAGTTTGCTATATACATGTATATAACCACCCCAGTATCGGCAATAACGTGCATATTATAGGAAAGTTTCCTTATGTCTGTGGTTCGATGTTGATAATCCGACTGCGTGCCATCACATGGGTACTGGTCATTATTACACCGCAAATCTGTAGTGTCTTTCGAAGACGGGGGGCAAAGGTTCTCTAGAGGACTATATCTGACCGCATGAACATTAGGTGCGGCATGATTTCATCGAGAATTGCGGTGGGCGAGCGGACATGGGCGTTGCCAAATCTTATCTGGAATCCCACCATTGTGTGCGCCCTGCCGCCGCCGAACGTTCACTGTCGCCGGGTTCTTCCTGTCACCAACGACTCCACCACCACCACGCAAAGGTAATGATCGCCGAGCGTCAAGCACCTCGAAAATGTGGTGCATGCTTGATACGATAAAGGAGGATAATGGTGGGGTTACACGCTCAGGATGTCATGATATCTCCAATCCTACAAGAGATGGCTGACTGAAACAAGCAACATCAATTGAACCATCTGGGCCGTTTTTATAGTTGTTCGAAGGCAAGTCTCCATGGCTTCACCGATTGTGGGCGCGGATAGGCGACAAACAGAAATATGCCACAGTGGATCCGTATAGCCAGGGGGAAGATTGGGTCTGGGCACTGTTTCTGCGCTTGTTTATACGGGGGCTCCCCACTCGATGATCCTTCCTTCACGAGCAGCTGGGAGGAAGGGGAGGGTGGGAATCAATGGGAGTGGGCGCGGGGGAGTGTTGTGGGATGGTCAGGCAGTCGGGGCAGTGCCCAACCTGAGTTTATCTACTGCCAAATACGTGAAGGTGAAGTCATCGTCGGTGTGAAAGGCGTAGTTCCTTCCTCGATAGAACTGCGCCCGAGTCCCTCATCCCCATCTCAGCAGCGTCGGTGACCCCAAACCCACCATGGGAAAGCAAAGATCCGAAGACCAGTGTGATGATCCCTCAATCCCAAATCTGGGGCTGATGGATATATAAGCAGCTCGAACTAGCCATTGGATACAGATCCGCACCAAAAGCGAGCGATACTAATTGATACCTATGTGGAATCGTTCGGATCGAGATCGAATACAGAAGCCAGATGGATTTCTGTCTTTAAGCCGTATGGGGCGTATGGAGGTAAGTTGTGATTTTATTTCTCGCTGTCATTTGCATTCTCACCGCTGCGCTTCTGCTGTTGCCGCGCTCGTTTTACCGTTGTCGATTCTTCTCGTCGCCGTTGGCTCTGTCACCTGTTCCTTTCGAGCTGAGGTCGCAAGACGAACACCGATATATAGTCTACTCGAAATCCGCGTCTACCCGGTTCATCCAGGTAAAGTTCAATCAACATTCTCACCCCCTGGTATCCGGAGACAATACACCGCCGGCACCCACATCGCCATACCACCGGGTACGAAATCCCGCCCATCCCATCTCATACACCACCACGACCATACAGAGCAGCTAAAAGTCCCTCGTGGGTTAGAGATCGGATGTGAACGGGGCCGGCTCGGGTAAGTTGCGGCTCTTCCCATCGGGCGAGAAACGCCGCCAAAAGTTTAATTGGGTGCATCTTCTAGGGCGTAGTGCCGGTTCCATTATCCGATAGCGATATTGTTGGGATATAGTGGAAGTGAGGGCTTGGATGGGTGACTAATTGGAGGGGACGAGCGGGAGGTTGGGGGACCCACTGTGAGAATACAAATGTTGAAGAGATCACGGACCTCACGGAGAAATTGTGTATGATGTTTGCCTCACGGAGAAATACTGTATGGTGTTGAATTGAAGCTGGATCCGCGAGGGTTTGTTTGGAATTGGTACGCTGGAGAATGATTTGGAGTGGAAACGGATAAATAGTCCGATTGGGATGGACATTGATCTTTTCAAACATATGCAACTTCCAATTCTGTCGATGAGAGCCTGGAGTCTTCCTGGAAAGCACGTTTCACTCACTATTTTTAAAATTGGCTATCGCGACCCACCTTTCCGTGTCAGACTCTTGCTGGTGCTGTTATCTCTCTTACTGTCGCTAATCGCTTGCTGTTGCTACTCTCAATTGCTGTCATGGTTCTATTGCTGTCGCTGGTAATTTTTGCTGCCATGTTCTATTGCTGTCGTCAACACGCTTCGATGCTGGCCCACGAGTGAGTGCCTAGCCATTAAAACCTATGTCTCCAGCAAAGAATACGTAGTACGAGCTTCCCACTTGAGTCAAATACTGTGTTCTCGTCGCTGGCCGGCCATTCTCATCCTCGTCCTCGTAGAATATTGCTTTTTTTATATTTTGCGTTTGTCTAGACCTCAACGTCCCAGGGTGGCACGGACGAGAAGCTGACAAGCGGGCAGCAATAGACGGACAATGTGGGTCCGCAGTCGCCTTATCGCAGCTATCGCACTTACGTTACCCCGGCTACCCCGCTATTCTCGCATGACGGGACTTGCATTCGGGATCGGTACTGGGGTGGTACTGGCGTCTACTGGTGTCGATATGCCACTTGCGATGTAGCTTGGAAGTCTACGATGAATGATGATGATGATGGTGAGGGTGGTGATTGCGACGATTCGGAGAAATGAAGCAAAAACATAGCTGTAATACTCCCTTTTTTCCGGGGAACAGGACGCTCAAGATTCTCAAGATGATGCTCAACATAATAATCGAAGCGTAATAGATCCGAACCATACCCGCGTCCCGGTAATCGACCTCCGGTGAGCGCCGGGGGAAGGTATCCACAAGGCAACCCACGTCACCGTTCCTACCCGCGCACGCCCTCTGTTGACAGGCCGTGACCTTGGGGGACATCCTTCTCGCCGGCGGCAATCCCAATACCAATCTCTCAACAAAACCCAATAGACCGAACTGTAGCCATATCCGTCTGTCCATTCTCACTGTGTAGCCATTTCCCTTCCGACTTCTCTTCGTCCATACCCCATTTCAAAGCGTGGAAACAATGATAGTCCTCACGTGCTCCCTCTCTTCCCGGCTTCTAACACGGCTTCTAGCACCCGCGTCCAATGAACATCCACCCATCATGGATGATACACACACTTTCCATGAACCGATACATCATTGAACGCCCATCCTGCCTCGTAACCATATGTACCACACATACATATAACCACATAAACCACACCTCATCATCATAGCCTGAAGCTCCCTTCCTTCCTCATTCCCTCATCTGCGCCTTCCCCGCACCTGCCCACCATCCAACCAACCATCGGGTATCATCCACCACACCACGCACCAAACCAAAGCACGACCTCACACACTCGATCAACCCATCCCACCACCCAACCCGTCCTTCCTACCAACATCTTCCCGCCATTTATCGGAGTAAGTCCTAGAACAAAGGAATAGCTTTGTTGGCATTTACCTGTGCCTAGAACTTTATCAAGCTACTCTCTTACGACATCAGAGCGAGTCTGGAACCGCGAGTTGAGTCGCTGAGCTTCGGATCTGAGCACTTCCGATAAGAGACGGCTGGAGCAACCAAGTTGCCGTCGAACAGTGCCGATTATTCCTGAGAACAGAAAGTAGCACGTTGCCGCCGGTTAGAACGGGAGCCTCCGGTATGTCTCCGATACTGAGTAAGAAGTGGGATATGGTAAATATCTACGTGCTTCTGGCAACGAGGTTCTTTACATATCCCACAAGCTCTTACTTCCCCAACCCTCAATCGTTCAATGCCCTCACTGCCCCATCACACGGCATCTCATCCCACCTCCCCTCACAAACCCTAAGCTGACCCCTCCAACCTCCCAGCTACCACCACCACCACCAACAAACTCCACTCCCCCACCCCCACCCCCCAACAATGTCCTCCTCCATAAAACAAGCCGCCGAATCGGCCCGGGCCAAATCCGCCGAAGCCCTCGAGTCCAGCAAACGCGCCGCCGAAAAAGCCATGTCCGACCCCATCGGCGCCAAGAACTCCCTCTTCCAAGCCCCCGCCATGCGCGCCGCCCTCCCCTTCCTCAACGGCGGCCTCGCCGGCATGGTCGCCACCACCGCCATCCAGCCCATCGACATGGTCAAGGTGCGTCTCCAGCTCGCTGGTGAGGGCGCGCGCACGGGGCCGAAACCGAGTCCCATCAAGATTGCTAGGGATATCATCGCCGCGGGAAAGGCGAGGGATTTGTATACGGGTCTTAGTGCCGGGTTGCTGAGACAGGCTGTGTATACCACTGCCCGCATGGGATTCTTCGACACGTTCATGAAGTCCTTCGCAAAGAGCAGCGAGGCCGCGGGTAAGAAAGTCGGGTTCTCGGAGCGCGCAGCTGCTGGTCTCTCAGCTGGTGGATTAGCAGCTATGATCGGCAACCCCGCCGACCTCGCGCTCATCCGCATGCAATCCGACGGCCTCAAACCCCTCGCCGAGCGCAAGAACTACAAATCTGTCATCGACGCACTCGCCTCCATCGTGCGCGCCGAGGGCGTAGCGCGTCTATGGGCCGGCGCCGCACCGACGGTAGTCCGCGCCATGGCGCTGAATTTCGGACAGCTCGCTTTTTTCAGCGAGGCGAAAGCGAGGCTCAAGGGCACTTCCTTGCCGCCGACGACGCAGGTGCTGACGGCGAGTGCGGTTGCAGGGTTCTTTGCGAGTGCCATGTCGCTGCCGTTTGATTTTGTGAAGACGAGGTTGCAGAAGCAGGTTAAGGGCGCGGATGGGAAGATGCAGTATAAGAGTATGATTGACTGCTTTAGGAAGGTGGCGAGGGAGGAGGGGGTGTTGAGGTTCTATCGCGGATTTGCGACGTATTATGTTAGGATTGCGCCGCATGCGTAGGTTTTCCTGTTTCCTTTTTTTGTCGTCTCCCTGGCGCTCCGGGGTTTGGGTCGGAGATGGTGTTGGTGTGATGAGTGCTAATTGATAACGCAGGATGATTACGCTTCTGGTCGCGGATTACCTTGGCTTCCTCACCAAGTAAGGGAGGGTGTGATTGATGACGGATAGGGGCAGATGAAGGTGGTGTGGATGGAATTTGGCTGGGCCCCCTCAACAGGGCAACACGTACGCGATGGGTGGTCATCGAAACTTTTTCGCATACCCCCTCAATATTTTGAGAGAAAAAGATGGGAGATGAGAGAGTGGTAGAATATTTTTTTTTCGTTTGATTGAAATGCGATTCGTTCAATTCAATTTCTTTGATTGCTTTGCTCCTTGCTTTCCTCGCTTCCATGTGTGCATGAAGAGATGCATGCGTTTCTTTTGTGACGAGAGGAGATATGCGATGGGATAGATAGAGACAAGACGGAAAGAATTGAGTGCATACTTACTACCGACCTACCTTACCTGCAGCGTGAATTTTGCGTTGTTCTGGTTCTCCTGGAGTTTACCTTGCATTAGAACACGTTGCGTGCATTCGACGTGCCTCAATAAAACACTACCTGCCTGCCGGCAGCAAGAGTAAAAGATGCACGCACGCAGCCGAGCTGAGCTGTATAGAGCTCGCTTCCCACACGATCATTTGATCATATTCCCAATTATCCTCTGCGTTTCTCTCTCTCTCCTTACAGTTCCGCAAAATCCAATACACCGCCGCTGTCTTTCTCAACCAACTGAACTGGGCTATACCAATATATGTGGTCGATAAATATCCCCCACCACCCCACGAACTCGCCTAATTTATTGGCAGGCACAAGTACGGTGTGGGGGTGGGGGTACGCGAGCATGTGATCTGGACTGGGCTGGCAGTTTTTATGGGTGTGATGTGATATTGGACGTTTGTTGACGTGACGGAGGCGGGGGATGAAGGTGTTCATCGTGAATATAGGATGGAGATTTCTGGGGTTGATTGGTAATATGGTTCTTACTTTGCTTTCCTTGATATCTGTATTTGTGTTTGTTGTCAGCGATAATATCCACTTACCTACTTGTATGAGAAAGTTACGCGTCTCCAATCGTGAAGCGATCGCATCATATCCGCAACGGTGTAAGTAGAACAAAAACATACTCCCCACCGTCCTTTATCTCCGTGTGTATCGGCATCGGCGATACAAAGTGTATCTCCATGCCCTACCCCCTTTCCCTCCCTCCCTCCCTCCAGTAACTCACAATCTGTAGCCCCTCCAAGCAAAAAAATTAAAAAAATTAAAAATAACCGCCCCCCCCTTACTAACATATCGGCGCTTTCGGTGGTCACGGCGGGAAACCCAACCCTCTTCACATCCGGGCCCAGATGGCATAAGTGGGGTGTGGGTGGGGGATGACGAAGTGGATGCGCCAAGCGCTTAAATACCGTAGCGGAGATACTTTACCGGAGGGGATGGAGGGTATGGTGCTGTCCGATCCGAGACGAGAGATCCGAATCCGAGTTATGTTTATGTGTGTCTACCTTGCTGGCTGCCTACCTTACTTGCCCCGCTGGTTTGGTGGTGATGTACGCGTGTTTGGCCTGTGTTTGTGACTGTGTGGAGTGGAGGGAGGAGGGAGGTGGATAAATCATGTGATATGTTTCAGAAGCCTAATCTAGGGAGGGAGGCCAGACAAGACGAAGACGAAAACGAAGACGAAGATGGGGAAAGCGCGATATGCGAGGGGGCGGGGCGGAGCGGAGCGGGCGTGGCGCCTGGCTTGTGTCGCTGTGGAAGAGACACAAGACAAGGTGACAAGGTTTGTGTTGTGTTATGTCTCGTAAGTGATGGTGGTGCAGATGGCGATCTTTGTTTCGCTGTTGCACGTGTGATGGGGGGTAAGATGCATGTGTAAGGAAGGACTACTATACTGGAGGATTGGGTGAGCTGTTATTTATTTTTTGGTCATTGGGATTGGAGTTAGTAGTACATATTGATATTGTGTTGATGGCGATTCGCTTTCTTCGGTGTAGGATCTGGTTTGTGGGATCGGTGTGCGAGGGTTAGTAAGGCTATAGAGATTACTGTGCTGATACGTGGTGTATGTAAGAAGTGTGTAAGTAAGTCGAGTAAGTCTGCATATGTATGTGTACTGGCCCCTTTGGATCCTTTGGGTGGTGGTACTTGCTGCCTACCAGTCAGTCCTTGGCGATCAATGAGACACGATGAGCCATGTGTCCTTCCTCCGTAGACGCACCGCACACGAAGAGAGATGAGCCATGTTCGCAGCACAAGGCGATTTGAGGCAATTCGGAGGTTTCCCTAACCACCGACACTTGACAGGTAGCATCCACCCGGCGTGCATAAAAAGTTCGATCATGGGAGTGTACCTCTGTACAAGTGGAGAAGTAGATGGATAGACAAGTACCCTCCCATGCACTCCACCACTCATCCACCACTCTCGTCTCCCACACAGCCATATTTTTCCGAACAAACGCGACCGGGAGGGAGCGAGTACGAGTGCGAGAGACGAGGAGACGAGGAGACGAGGAGACGAGGAGACGGAGTTATGCAACCAGAGGGACCCACAGAAATATACAATGGAGTAATGTAACCCACATTAATATACACATACGTGCTAGGTTGACTCCCCCTCCTGCATCTATTACTTTGTCTCCCACCAATCATACTCCCCACTCGTACTCGGAAGCCCACACTCCCGATGATGACGCGCTTGTCTCAAACCAGCATAGTGGGGTCGCGCCTTATCGTTCTTTGGTCCCTGTTTGTTCGTTTTCTGTTCCTTCTCTTCGTCTCTTGTCTCTTCACAACGTGCACGCGCTGTAACCGAAGCTGATGTGTGGGATACGCTAGTCTTGCTTTGGGGTTAGCGGGATTGTAATTGGAGGGGATATTGGGGGGATCGGGGGAATTGGGGGACGAGTGGGGAGAGTCGACTTTGATGGTTGCCCCTTCTAGAATAAGGTACGCTGGAAGATGGATGTACTCCTCCCGTACCTCTCCCACCACATCTTGCGTTGCATGCCAATCATTGTTGCCTAGCATGTGTTGGAGATGGTACCCTTTGTGTACTTCTTTCACACCATTCTCCCGGATCCCGCTGAGAAAACAATTTTAACTTTTTATGAAAATATACTTACTGTACCCATCTGTTCGTCGTCCTCCCTCTCGTTTTTTATGTCAGACCCTCATCACACGCTATCTGACTGTACTTTATTCTATCCAACTCTATGGAGGGGCCCTGTAATCTCTCCAGGCCTACCATTTCGTCTGCTTCTGGCTAGATTATCCTCTCCTCCACCCTCTTCCCTACGCCTAAAGTAAACCAGGGCCACGTCTTGCTCCACAGCCGTGTGTCTGTGTACCTTCATAAAAGTCCTCATACTACTCACTCTAGGCGGACCTTTCACAAGCACCGCCCTCATCACCGCCGGCTTGGCTTCGTCGTCCAATCTTTCTCCTTCTTTTTCAGCTCGCCGACCCCGTCTCACTCATTCTTCCTTCCTCCCCCTCCTCCTCTTCTTCTTCCTTCTTTATTCATTATATCTTCTTCCTAATCCCCGCCTTTTTAACCTTTCTCTTCTTTCACACGGCTTCCTCACTGCATGGGTCTCACCTCGCTGCTACGACTCTGATCTCCGGATCCTCCACTCTCTTTACCTTCCTCTCATAAGAGCGAGACGAAACCACCACCACCAGCAGCCATGGCGACTGCACCAGTCCCTGGCGCCTTCGGCGTGCTCCCTGAAGCCCAGGGCGTCACCACCAACGCCATTGGGCACAGTATTGAATCCGAGCGCCCAGTGACCGAAGACACCCTGCACGATGAGACCGACACCAGCTCCTCCGAGAACAATGAGAAGCACATCACCGACCTCGCGCGCACCTTCACCCAGGCCTCCATCCGCAACGAGCAGGGCGAGCATGACAACCCCTTCACCTCCGCCGACCCCACTCTCGACCCCCACAACGAGAAGTTCAACGCCCGAGCCTGGACCAAGACCCTCGTAGGCATCACCAGCCGCGACCCAGAGCGCTACCCCACACGCACGGCGGGCATTGCATACAAGAATCTCAATGTCCACGGTTTCGGCAACCCCATGGACTACCAGAAGACCTTTGGTAACTACCCGCTCGAGATTGGTGGATTGTTCAACAAGCTCCGCGGCAAGGGCCAGCGCAAGATTCAGATCCTGCGTAACTTTGAGGGTCTCGTCCGCAGCGGCGAGATGCTGGTCGTGCTTGGACGCCCTGGAAGTGGGTGTTCGACGCTGCTTAAGACTATCTCCGGTGAGACGAACGGCTTCTTCATCGACCAGGAGTCCACCATCAACTACCAGGGTATCGCTGCCCAGCAGATGCACAACGATTTCCGTGGCGAGTGTATCTACCAGGCCGAGGTTGATGTGCATTTCCCGCAGTTGACTGTTGGACAGACGCTTAAGTTCGCAGCCCTGGCTAGGGCCCCTAATAACCGCATTCCGGGTGTGTCGCGCGAGCAGTATGCCGAGCACATGCGTGATGTGGTCATGGCCATGTTTGGCCTGTCGCATACTATTAATACTAATGTTGGAAACGATTACATTCGTGGTGTTTCCGGTGGTGAGAGGAAGCGTGTCTCCATTGCCGAGTGCTGTGTGGGCCAATCGCCTCTGCAGTGCTGGGATAACTCCACCCGTGGTTTGGATTCCGCGACTGCTCTCGAGTTCGTCAAGACTCTGAGACTGTCTACCAACATCAGTGGCGCAACTGCCATTGTTGCCATCTACCAGGCCTCGCAGTCCATCTACGATGTCTTCGACAAGGTCGCCGTTCTCTACGAGGGTCGCCAGATCTACTTCGGACACAAGCACAAGGCCAAGGAGTTCTTCGTGAACATGGGTTTCGACTGTCCCGAGCGTCAGACCACCGCCGATTTCCTCACCTCCCTCACCAGCCCGCTGGAGCGCATTGTCCGCCCTGGCTTCGAGCACAGCACCCCCAAGACCCCCGATGAGTTCGCCGATGCCTGGCAGAAGAGTGCGGACCGTGCCCAGCTGCTCCGCGAGATTGAGGAGTTCGAGGCCGAGTACCCCATCGGCGGAGCCCACCTCGAGAAGTTCAAGGAGGGCCGTCGCGCCCAGCAGGCACGTGGTCAGCGCATCAAGTCGCCTTACACCATCTCCGTCCCCATGCAGGTCAAGCTTTGCGTTACGCGTGGCTTCCAGCGTCTCAGGGGTGATATGTCTCTCCTGTTCGCAGGAATCTTCGGTAACACGGTTATGGCTCTGGTCATTGCTTCGGTCTTCTTCAATCTCCAGGATAACACCGAGACGCTCTTCAGCAAGGGTGCTCTCCTCTTCTTCGCCATCTTGATCAACGCTTTCAGTTCTGCCCTCGAAATTCTTACTCTCTTCGCACAGCGTCCGATTGTCGAGAAGCACACGAAATATGCGTTCTATCATCCGTTCGCTGAAGCGATTGCGTCTATGATTTGCGACATGCCGAATAAGATCGGCTCGTCCATCTTCTTCAACATCACGCTATACTTCATGACGAACCTGAAGCGCACCCCAAGTGCATTCTTCACATTCATCCTCTTCGGTTTCTCTTGTGTCATGGCTATGTCTATGTTCTTCCGTTCCATCGGATCCATGGCTCGCAGTCTACCTGAGGCTCTTGGTCCTGCCGCTGTCATCATTCTGTCGCTTATCATCTACACCGGTTTTACCATTCCCACGGTTGACATGCACCCATGGTTCCGCTGGATCAACTACATCGATCCCGTCGCCTACGCCTTCGAGTCGCTCATGGTGAACGAGTTCTCCGGCCGCAAGATTCCGTGCACGTCTTTCGTTCCCCGTGGCGGCGACTACGACCTCCTCACGCTCGCCAACAAGGTCTGTGTCACCACCGGCGCCGAGGCTGGATCCGACGTCCTCGATGGCGATGTCTGGCTCCGCGTCAACTACGGATACGAGCGCAGCCACATGTGGCGCAACCTTGGTATCCTCTGGGCTCTCGTCGTCTTCGGCTGCGCCGTTCATCTCCTTGCTACTGAGTGGATTTCCGCTAAGAAGTCCAAGGGTGAGGTTCTCCTGTTCCCCCGTGGCAAGGTCCCCGAGCTTGCATCCGCTTCGAACGATGAGGAGGGCGCTCAAGACAACCGTATCGATACCAACACCCTCGAGGCTACTGCCACGCACGCCGCTGCTGGAGAGGCCCCACCTAGCATCCAGAGACAAACCGCCGTTTTCCACTGGCAGGGCGTCAACTACGATATCAAGATTAAGAAGGAACCGCGCCGCCTCCTCGACGACGTCGACGGATGGGTCAAGCCCGGCACGCTCACAGCACTCATGGGTGTCTCCGGTGCTGGTAAGACTACTCTCCTCGATGTCCTCGCTTCTCGTGTTACCATGGGTGTCGTTACGGGCCAAATGCTCGTCGATGGCCGCCAGCGTGACAGCGGATTCCAGCGCAAGACCGGTTACGTTCAGCAGCAGGATCTGCATCTCGCCACCTCCACTGTCCGCGAGGCGTTGACTTTCAGCGCCCTGCTCCGCCAGCCTAAGGCCACTCCTCGTGCCGAGAAGATCGCCTATGTCGATGAAGTTATTAAGGTTCTCGAGATGGAGACGTACGCTGAGGCTGTTGTTGGTGTTCCCGGTGAAGGTCTCAACGTCGAGCAGCGCAAGCGTCTCACCATTGGTGTTGAGCTCGCTGCTAAGCCTGCCCTTCTTCTGTTCCTTGACGAGCCTACTTCTGGTCTCGACTCTCAAACTGCATGGTCTATTATCGCTCTTCTCCGTAAGCTTGCCAACAACGGCCAAGCTATTCTGTGCACTATCCATCAGCCATCTGCTATTCTGTTCCAGGAATTCGATCGTCTCCTCTTCCTCGCCAAGGGCGGAAGAACCGTCTACTTCGGTGACGTCGGCCAGAACTCTTCGATCCTCACTGACTACTTCGTTCGCAACGGCGCACGCCCCTGTGGCGTCGAGGAGAACCCCGCTGAGTGGATGTTGGAAGTCATTGGTGCTGCCCCTGGTTCTACAACAACCGTCGACTGGCCAGTAGCATGGAACGAATCTGACGAGAAGGCTGAGGTGCGCGCGCAGCTCGCTGACATGCGCCGCCAGCTCATCGAGAAGGAGGTCGAAACCGATCCAACCAGCCTGGATGAGTACGCTGCGCCAATGGGCCAGCAGCTCGGAACCGTCACACAGAGAGTGTTCCAGCAGTTCTGGCGCACACCTTCATACCTGTACTCCAAGACATTCTTGTGTGTGTCGACTGGTCTCTTTATTGGATTCTCTTTCTGGGATGCTCCAACTTCGATGCAGGGTATCCAGAACCAGCTGTTCTCCATTTTCATGCTTTTGACCATCTTCGGAAACTTGGTGCAGCAGATGATGCCGCATTTCGTCACTCAGCGCTCTCTCTATGAGGTCCGCGAACGCCCATCCAAGACATACTCCTGGAAGGTCTTCATCGTGTCCAACATCATCGTCGAGCTCCCATGGAACAGTCTGATGTCCGTCCTCCTCTTCGCCACCTACTACTACCCTATCGGCATGTACCGCAACGCCCAGCACGCCGGCCAATTCCACGAGCGCGGCGGCCTCATGTTCCTCTACATCTGGTCCTTCCTCATGTTCACCTCGACCTTCAGCACCATGATCATCGCAGGCATGGAGACCGCCGAAGCCGGCGGCAACATCGCTAACCTGCTCTTCTCGCTGTGCCTCATCTTCTGCGGTGTCCTCGCCAGCCCCCAAGTCATGCCCCGCTTCTGGATCTTCATGTACCACCTCTCGCCCTTCCGCTACCTCGTCGACGGCATGCTGGCAGTCGGAATCGCAAACGTCGACGTCGTATGCCAGGCGCGCGAGATCCTGCACCTCAACCCCACCGTCGGCAAGACCTGCACGCAGTTCATGGGCGCCTTCGTCGAGCTCGCCGGCGGCTACCTCGTCAACGGGGACGCCACGACTGATTGCCAGTACTGCTCGGTCGGCAAATCCAACGACCTCCTCAAGGTCTTCAGTTCCTCGTACGCACACAGATGGCGCAACTTCGGTATCCTCCAGGGTTACGTCTTCTTCAACGCCGGCATGGCAGTCTTCATCTACTGGCTCGCCCGTGTCCCCAAGAACAGCGGGAAGGAGGAGCCCCCGACTGAGGAGGAGCTCGCGCTGCAGAAGAGCAGGACCAGGAATAGTACTACGGCTGCTGGTGGACTTGAGAAGACCGCCACCCGCGATAGTGCCAGGGGGAAGAGGAGGACCTGGGGAAGTCGTGGGGAGAATAAACTCGCGACTACGGAGGAGATCGTAGCCGAGAAGCAGTGAAGGGGGGAAGGGAGTTGTGAAGGGGGGGCGTGACGCAAGGGGGGAGTGCGCACGCACGGCATATGCATAACATAGCACACGGCGCTGTTTTTTTTTACTCATGTTACTGTCTCTCAGTTTTTTTGTTGTTGTTTTATCATCGTCCGTCGATATACTTTTTCCTTTTTGACATACCCTGATGGGGGATCACACACTTCTCAAAAACTAATGGATTTCCTTTTTGTGTTTCGGGGCTGTTGTTTTCGTCTATGATAGTCTAGATGTTTAGGGATGCGTTTTTGTATAATCAGGAGTGGATGGGAGGGTGGATGATTTATAGATAGACAAAATACCCGTGGTCGTGGTTGTCGGGGAGGTTGCGTAGAAAGGGGGATGAATTGGGATGAATGCAGAATTTTAGTATTTCACCTAACTGCCTATCTGCCTTGCCTGCCTGCTTGTTATAAAAATGTCTCATCGCCCATGTTTTTGTACTCTTCAGCCTATATGAGAGATAATCGTTTCCTCTGGTATCTATGTCGTGTAGTCCGTTCCACCAACCAAACAGCCGTTTCGTATGTGTTGCAAAGTCCACTCGCCTATGTCGGCCATTGGCGAATAAACAGAGCGTACGAGATGCGTATGGGCGCACTGCAGCATGTCCCTGCAGTGTGATTATGCCATCCGCGCACGCCGCGTCGTCATACGGCTATAGATAGTGGCAAGAAATCGGAATCGATAAAATCTTTATATCCAAGAGAATAACTGCAAATTCGCGATTCTATTCTGGTATCAATCGTTATTATACCAATCTTCGGCAGTCAGTAGCAAAAGTAAGCTGATGCCAAGTGTGATAGAATGTCGCCACCTCACGTGTGCACCACACGACAGGTACACATCCCCCCCAAACCCCCCCATAAGTAGAAACACCACACAGAAACACCACACAACCACCCAAACCCGCCCCACTGCCGAGAAAGGACCAAGATAAGACTCACCCACCACCACCACCTCCCCAACAAACTCTAAACCAATCTCTTCACCACCGTTCACCCCCTCACCGGCAAACGACCCGACTCGATCAACCGTCCCGGAATCAAAATCTAATCCCGAATCCTCACACACCGACGCTTCTCTGTATCGGCGCAGGCGTCCGGCTGCACAGCGGGGTCCGTCTCGAGAGATCGATCGCCGATATCCGCCGCTGCGGGGCAGACGACGACGACAGACACGGCAGTGCCAGGCACCCACGCCCATCAACGACGCTCTATCGACTCAGTCGTCACAGCTCGATTAAACGGCGCAGATTGACCTCTGAAGGTCTCTGCTCGATCCCCCAAATCCATCAATCATGGCAACCACCACCACCCCCCCCAGCCAGTCACGGCCCGCATCCCCCTCCTCCTCCGACGCAGACATGGACGACTCCGTCTCCAGCCAGACGGCAGCGAACTACCAGTTCCCCACGCACAGGTACAAGAGGCAGCAGACGCAGGCGAATCGCATCCCCCTCGTCTTCGTGGCCTGTGGGTCGTTCAGCCCGATTACGTATCTGCATCTGAGGATGTTTGAGATGGCGGCTGATTTTGCGAAATTTAATACCGAGTTTGAGGTTCTGGGCGGGTTTTTGAGTCCCGTTAGTGATGCGTATAAGAAGGCTGGGTTGACGAGCGCGAGACATCGGTAGGTCCCCTTAGCCCCCCAAATCAATTCCCACCCATATGATAGAAGAGACTAACAAATAGCAGCCTACGTATGTGCGAGCTCGCCGTCCAACAGACCTCAAATTGGCTCATGGTCGACCCCTGGGAAGCGCTGCAAGAGAAATACACCCCCACCGCACTCGTCCTCGACCACTTCGAGCACGAGATCAACGTCGTGCAAGGCGGCGTGCTAGACGTAGACGGAAACCCGCGCCCTGTCCGCATCGCCCTCCTCGCCGGCGCAGACCTAATCCAAACCATGTCCACCCCCCTGGTCTGGTCAGCCAAGGATCTCGAGCACATCCTCGGTCGGTACGGGACGTTCATCGTTGAGCGGACGGGTACGGATATCGATGATGCGCTGTCGAGTTTGCAGGCGTGGAAGGAGAAGATTTGGGTTATCCCGCAGTTGATTTTGAATGATGTTAGTAGTACTAAGATCCGCCTGTTTCTGAGGAGAGAGATGAGTGTGAGATACCTCATTCCCGCACAGGTGATTGAGTATATTGAGGAGAATGGGTTGTATGAGGAGGAAGGAGCAGAGGGGAAGGGGAAGGGGAAGACGACGACTGGGGGGGAGACGGCAGGAGAGGCGGCGGCGAAAAGCTAGTTGGGGGCTGGTGTTGAAGGACAAAACAGACATATATTGTACTAGAAGATCCCCAGTTTGGCTTGGTCCATTGGGGGGGGAGGGAATCTCGTTACACGCGAAGAGGAAGGTTCTTTATTGGGAGGGGATCTTTACACGCGAAGAGGAAGGTTCTTTTATTGGGAAAGGGGATCTAAACTCGTTAAACGCGTATACTACTGCACATACATACAGAAAGCGTAAATCCGAAGATCTTGATATTTTTGGTGGCATGGGGGGTTCAAGCTCTCCCTCTCGCAGTTTTCTCTGTATCTTTTTGGGGGGGTTTTCTTTTCACCATTACATAGAGAAGAGAAGAGAAGACGATAGTTATTAATTAATGGCTTCGACTCGTTTGGAAAAGTATTATATCTCCTTCACTTCACGCTCGTGTTCTCATTAAAACCACGTCGAAGACTGGCACAAAACTATTCAACTATAAACACGCCTATATCGCACCTCCCTCACTCAGTTCGATGACTTCTCAGCCAGAGCCGATTTCTCAGCGACCGCTGAATCCAAGTCCGCCGACTCCTTAGCAGCAGTCTCAGCTTCCAGATTCGCTCCCTCAACGCTCTCATCACGGCTAAGACCCAGCTGCCTAGTATCAAAGCCATGGCTCTCCAGATACGCCCTGAACTTGGTATCCTCCTGCGTGATCGTATCCTGGCCAATATGCGGCAAGCAGAACAGCGCCAACACGGCGGACAAAACACACAAACTCGACGCGACCCAGAACGGATACTGCGCCGCCTTCGTCTCATCGTCACCCCCAGCCTGCGAGATGTACACGAACACCCTCGTCCCGACGAACGCGCCGATCTTGCCAATAGCCGCCGTGATACCGTAGTACTGGCCGCGGACGCCGGTGGCGCAGGTCTTGGAGGCGATGAGACCGATGTTGTCACCGGGGCCCAGCTCGCCGAGGGAGAGGAAGATGCCGTAGACGACGGCGAAGGAGGCGATGTGGCCGGGACGGGTGAGCGTGTCGTAGCAGCCGGCCATGATGAAGCCGACGAGGGCTTGGAGGGTGACGCCGATCACGAGCGCGTATCGGGGGCCGATTTTGTCGGAGATGGGTCCGCCGAGCATGGCGCCGGGGATGTAGAAGAGGTTGATGACTGTGTTCCAGCCGAATGTGGTGGAGAGAGGGACATCGTCTCCAATGATATGTTTGACGATGGTGGACGAGTAGATGCCGAAGGCGAAGGCGGAGAACTGTCAAAATTAGCTTCTTCTTTCTCTGATGTAGGGAGCGGACTTGACGTACATCATAGAGGAACCAGATGAGTCCAACAATAAACAAGCGGAACCAGTAGTATTTCAGGACGATTCCGTAGGGAATCTTCACGTGCTTCATGGACTCGCGCTTGTATTGCTCGGGCTCCTGGAGCTTAAGCCGCATCAAGAGCAGCACCATAGGAGGGACAACACCCAATCCCAAAGCCACACGCCATGTGGCGCGGAGGTGGTTCTCGGAGAAGATTAGAACCAAGACATACGGCACGAACGCGCCAATGACAAAGCCCCAATCAATAGCCACATTAGTGAACATAATGAACCACATATTCCTCGTTCCGGACTTGACCTCGCCAGATGCCTCGGCGGCCGCGACACTGCCTGCGGGATACTCGCCGCCGATACCGATCCCGACAAGAAAGCGGAACGCGGTGAGCGCGGCGATCATGCCGGGGAGTGAGCCGCCGCCGTACGAGCCGGCGCAAAGGGCTGTGAAGATGATCATGATGACCGTAGCGACGAGGAGGGAGTTCCTGCGTGACCACTTGTCGCTCGTGTAACCGAAGACAAGCATGCCCAGCACGGTGCCAGCAAAGGCAATGGCGGCGATGTTCTTCGCGCCGTTCGAGTCGCTGTAGGCAGGGCCGTAGATTTGGCCGAGGATGGTACCAACTGATCCGATGACCTGGGAGAGAGTTAGCTATGGAATGCGACAGCCTGGCGCAAGTAGGCGCAAGTAGGCAGGCGAAAACATACACTCTGGACGTAGCCCTCGGAGAAGAGACCCGAGCCAGCTGCCAAGATGGGGAATATCTTCTGCCACAAGGTCTTCTCCGCGACAATGACCGCGAGGTCCTCATGGCCTTCTAGAGCTACCTCATCTGTGACCGCGACAGCATCGTCCGTTTTGTTCTTCCTGCGAAAGACGTTCATGATTAAGGTCACACTAGGTAGAGAGCAGCTATAGCATGTGAAGAGGGAAAAAACAGCTACAGAGGTGCCGGGATCAACGTATTTAAACCCGCCCAGCAGGAAACGTGCATGAGGGGAAGGAAGGGTTAGTTGCTATTCCCAAGAAGCTCTAGGTCCTTGTGGATAAGGGTGGATACGACTGTTGACGCTGACAGCAGGTTCAGTGGTTCGGTCAGGGATGTGTGTTGGAGGCTATGACCGAAGCAGATGGGGATGAGGAGGATGCTGGGAAGGGGAGGTGGGGGTTTGGCAAAAGCATGTCTTGGGGAAGGGATAGTACAGACGCAGAGGATTGTGGCGCTCGTACTGGAGAGTTAGTTGTCCATGGGTGTGGTTGTTGGCTCTTTCCCGCGGTTGTTTATTGCCGTTTCGACGATCTTATGCCGAGAACAGGAAGCATGTCTGAGAAAGGAGTCCAATCGGCGCTACACCACATGCGACTCAGAAATCCCTACGATATTATACTTTACCATAACAGTACTGTACTATACAATACCAAATCTGACAATGAGAATAATGTCAAGTAAACAAAAACACCACTCGAGTAGTACTAACAGTTCCCAGCAGGAGCAGAAGAAATCTTCCTGCCGCGTAGCCAGTGGATCTCCAAAGCCCCAAGGTGTCGCCGAAGGCTTGTCGTCCGCCAAGCATATCGCACCCCTAGCGCACGACGTTGCATGCACATGAGAAAAGGGAAGGGACTGCCAACACCAACCCCTCAACCTTGTTCCCCTCCCTCCCCCCACCACACCCACTCAAACGCCCATTCCCACCGCAACTCGGCAGTCCCGCCGTCAGCGAATCCGCCACGGCCATGCCGACAGAAAACGATGTGGTGGTGGGTGCGCCGCGCGCTCCTGCTGCTGCTTTTTCATCCCATCTGGCGGGGGAGGGGGTTGGTTACATGAGACCCTCCTTGCGTTTGTGTGAAGACCCCATGTCGTGGATCGCACGTGTGTGGATTGCTGGGCTTCAACGGCGGCGGCAGGGTTGACTGAGTCGTGTTGTGATACACGGTGAATGCAAATACAGCATGGTAGTGGGGAAGGGGCGTGGAGCTCGCCATGGTCTGCGGAGTACCGCATAGACTGTCGTGCTACACTACAGATAGCACACGCGGCAATATCGATACGCTCGCTCGCTCGCTCGCTCGTCATAACGGCGGCAGCACGAGGCTACAACTATCTGCAACTGTATAGTATGTGGCTAAATAAAAAGCCTCTCTTCCCGTCGGTCGAGCAAATACCTCAACTCAAAGCGGCAGTTGATCGGGTGATGCGCCGCGGTCGCCAAGAGTCAAGGGCGTCTTGAGGTGCAGGTAATCGTCGCCAGGGAGGTAAGATCTCTGTGGTGCACGATGCGATGAGCGAGGATTGTAGGGGTAGGGAAAGTCGCGGCACAGCAGGAGAGATGGGCGTAGGGTCACCAGGCACACCCCTCGTCACGGGTAGCTGCACGCAGCTGGCAGCGGGATGTGTCGCTGAAGATTGATATGGGGGAGTTGTAGATTCGTCGTCATTACATACATACCTACCATTCAGCCCAGACGGGATCAACCGCGCGTGGCGCATACAAGACTTGTGGTCTTGTATGCGCCACCACTACCCTGATCAGATCGCGAGGTTGCTTTCAGGGTTTGTTCTAACAGAATGTTCATTCCCTGGGTGCAAGTCGAAGACGACGTTCCAACTGTTGAAGATATATTTACATCATCTTACGAAGGTGCATATTCAAAACGGCTCTGTCCCGGATTAAGTCAATCGTGCTGATGGCAGCATTGTCCACTCGGAGTGGTTCAATAGGAAAAGACAATCTGGACGACGATGATCTATTGCCGTACATCACATATGGAGATGCAACGCTGAAACTGGTAGGGGGGAATAGGATTGAAGACGTGCAAGCCCAAGTGGCCATGAGGAGTATGAAGGGAGAGAATCTGGTCAAGAAACGAACCTCTAACCACGCGATCATACCCCATGTGCAAGTAAAAGACAACCTTTCGACTATGGTAGACGTACAGCCTGGCGTAGTAACAAACGAACTGTAGTGGTGAGAATATGTCGCCGACAGGCGATAGTAACAGTAGCAACAGCCCATATTCTCACCGTCGTGCCCTTCTTGCTGTCACCACATCACCACAGGGGAAGGCTTCTTGTTTTAATGGTTGGTCTGCTTTACAGGCGCCTTCTGTTGCCAGTGATGTCGGCAAGTCTAGTTGTATTTGCGGCGCTGTCTAGGCGCATAAGCCACTGGTTGTTCGTCACGTTGATAGTCGAGAACTTCTTTATGAATGATATCTAGGATTATTCTGTAGCTGCATCAGGCGACTGGATACCTCATCCGAAACATCTCAGGAAGGAGGGTAATGAGCTTCTACGGACGTCCCACCAAGACAAAACAGCTGCCAATTACAACAGAAGCTTGTCCCATGTGGCACAAATAGTCCCTGTCAAGAGAGATCGAGGATGATATCCAATGTAGGCTATATTGTATCTACGTAGATTCCCAGTATCCTATCCTATCCAACAATTCCGTTTCTCATCCCTCATCTGCCTCGAGCCTTTGGCCTGGCTCCTGATATAAAAATATCCAACTCGCTAGTATTAGATGACCCATTATATGACAATATTTTGTGTCCAAAAAACGCCCCCTTTCCCCCGTAGAATACAACAGGCGCGCCCTCGGTTGGTTCGAGGTGCCCCTGCCAATGGTAATGCATCAGCAGCATATCCCAGCCCGCCAAACCAAAAAATGACAACGCTTAATCCTGGAAATTCCCATTCGGCGGATCGCGGTTCACCGCAAACGCGTATTTATCGCTATGCTCCTTCAAGAACTCGGGTATATCCTTATTATCCTCAACACGGTCAAAGAACGAGTCCTCACGATCAAAGAAGTCGAGACCATGGCGCACGCGATTAAGGATCTTCTCCGGATCGCGAAACTCGGGTTTATTGAACTCAACATGCGAGAAGCTCGTCACCTTGTTCACCATATCCGACAGCGACTTGAGGCAGTAACTGCAGTGCCACGCCGCGTTCTGCATGTGGTGCTGTTTGTGGGAGCCCATACGTAGCGTGTCAGCGGGCATGGTCTGGTCCTTGCCCTTCCAGAGCATGGCTTGTGGATGGATCCAGTCCTCGCCGCGGAGGAGCCACTGGAAGCTGTAGTAGTACATTCTGCTGCGGAGGGTGACGGCGTCGGGGATGGCGCAGTTGCGCATGGCTGTTAGGGTGTCGGGGCGGGGGATCTCGTCGACGTCGGCGATGATGATAACGTCATCGATTTCGACTTTCTGCTCGTCTTTGAGGAAGGGGATGACTTGGTCGACCATGGCGTTACGTGAGAAGGTCTCGCGTTCCCATGTCGTCTTGAATTCCATCCCTTCATCCGTGAGTGTATGGCGGATCATCTTGTCGTGGTAAGGCGCGTATCTATCCCAGTTCGACTCCACATAAAGCGTCTTTGGCTCATCGGTGAATGTCTTCGCGGCTTCAACTATAATGAAATAGTCGACATGGCTATACATCTGTCCCAAACGGATATCCAGCCACTCAAGCTCGCGGTTGATCAATACGAGATCATAGATCTTTCGCTTCTTATCGCGGTTTGCCCACGGCTCGAAGCGCCTGAACTCACAGAACTGCTGGGCTTCAGCGATGGAGAGGTATTTGGTTTCGTCTTTTAATTCCGTCTTCGCAGGCGCAGCGGGCGCAACGGCATTGGTCTCTTTCGGCGCAGCGCTTGTAGTCGATTCGGGCTTCGAGTCTGCCACAACTGGTGGTGCTGGGGGTTTCGGTGGCGTTGGTGGCCCTGGGGGCTTTGGGGGCTTCGGTGGTCCTGGTGGCCTTGGTGGTTCATCCGGCTTGTGGCCATGATGCGGGTTATGTCCTGGATGCTCTCCCCCAGGTCCCCACGGTTTGTCGAATGCAGGATGCGATCGAACAGAGGAGGTATTGGCGAGGAAGAGGAGGAATGCTGTAATGAACGCGCCGACTAATAGATAGCGAATCCGCGACTGGGTGAGCTCCATCCTCGACACCATCGTGAGAGCAGGGGTGTTCGAATCGCGTCGATCACCGGGTATATATATTATCGTCGTCGACCAGGCAAGGGGCGAGGGGTTACAGAAGATGGAAAACCGACCTTCTCGAGGACAAATGGACTGTAATCCAAGTTCCAAGATTCCAAGATTCCAGGACCCTCCAAATTCACAATCCTGAGGAAGAAATGTGGGGAGGTGAGGTCGAAAAAAGGGGAGACCACCTGGTGGCTGACTCGAGATGATCCATTTCATCCGCCCAAGGCTGAGTGGAACAGTGTGAACAGCTCCTCCCGCCTTGCCTGCTTACCTACCTCCGTTGTATAGTGTCATCTCATTGGACGAAATGTTTTGCGACTCCTTCGTTACTAAATTAAATCGGAGGTGGAACAACTGTGGTCCACGGTGATCCTTTCACTCTCAGGGCAGCTTTTGTTGAATACGAGCAGGGTAAGTAGGGTAGGGCATGGATATTTGTAGTATAGTGTGTTTATAAAAGCCATTATTGAAACCGCTGGGCTATATCTAGAGCGTCAATTGTACAATTGCAGCCTGGCAAAGACAACAAAGGCCGTATATAGATCGATGACTTACCATCCTCCATCCATCTGTATACCTCACCTCGTATCGTACTGTTGCATTTGTCTATTTATCCTAATCTAATCCCAAAACATAAATTAACTTATCTCACGTGACGTGTTATTTCAGGGAGGCACCAGCAAAACAAAAGTATACCGTAGTAGTCCACTAGTCGTGGGACCTAAAGGCTGAACTAAACCAAAAACAGTCAAGCGTTTGACTGTCTTGGCCATCCAGCACGAAAGCGCAATATTAATCCGTACAGGTACATAGCCTTGTACCTTTTTTACCCGACCAACTGTGAGCCAGTGACCTGCGCCCAGTCGCCCAGTCGCCCAGCAAAAGAGAACCCGCGGCTTGTCGTCAGGGGTCTTACGAGGAGAGCCAGATACTGACGGCGGAATACCTCCCACCTTACTTTTAGACCTCCCTCCCAAACACCGTCATCTCATCCGACAACAACTTCGTTTCCACGACCTCATCCCCCCCCCATCACCCGCCATCCCAGGGCAAAGAGGACTGTGACAACGTAGCGCTCAAGGCACGCGCGCTACTCAGCTTTCATCGCCCTCTCGCGCCCATCTCACCACGCTCTTTCTCGCGATGCTTCCCACGGTTGAAAAAGATGCAGGCGTGTCATTATTATCGAGGATCCCTTCAGCGGCCTATGTATTGTGAGTTTATCCTATCGCGCCAAGAAACACGACAGCTCGGCAGAGGATCTAATAATGCGCGTTAGAAACTGGATCTTCTTCAGCACAATCGTCATTCTTTTCAACAAAAAAATCATCTCAGATTGGGGATTTCGTGAGTGACCCCCCCCTTTTCCCCCGCGTTGATGCTCAAGCCTAACATTGTCTTAGCCTACCGTACGTCTCCATCCAATTCGAAAGCCAAGCCTACCCCCGAATTACTCTTGGCCATGCGAGCTCTAGCTAACGCGCTGTAGCTGTTCTGTTAACATGTTGGCATCTAATATTCGCGACTGTCCTCACGCAGATCCTTGCCCGGACGAGCACAATCCTTGATGGACGAAAGACTGTTCGGATGACGGGCAAGGTCTACTTTCGCGCCATCGTTCCCATCGGCGTTCTATACTCGCTCAGCTTGGTCTGCAGTAACCTGACATACCTCTACTTGTCGGTCGCCTTCATCCAGATGCTAAAGGTATGGCTGCGCTGCCGCTCCTTCGAACTATAAAAGGCCCCATCTAATATATATAACAGGCTGCAGCACCTGCGAGTGTTCTATTCGTTGGATACGCTTTCGGCACTGACAAGTACGACCTCAAAGTCTTGATCAACATCTGCGCCATCGTTTTCGGAGTCGGCCTTGCTTCATATGGCGAAATCGACTTCTCTCTTATCGGCTTCATGTACCAGCTTGGTGGTCTCATCTTCGAGTCAATACGCCTTATCATGGTGCAGAAGCTCCTGACCGGAAAGGCCGACGACCCGAACTCATACAAGATGGATCCATTAGTCAGTCTTTACTACTATGCGCCAGTATGCGCCGTTATGAATGTGTTCGTAGCTCTCTTCGTCGAGATGCCCACATTCAAAATGGCAGACCTAGTCCAACTCGGCCCCTGGATTTTGATTGCCAACGCCAGCGCCGCCTTCTTGTTGAACGTGGCATCAGTGTTCTTGGTATGTTCTCTTCGCGTGCAGGATCTCGGAAGCAAAGTGCTAACATGTAACAGATTGGCAAGACATCGTCTCTGGTTCTAACTCTATGCGGTGTTATCAAAAACGTCGGCATCGTCGTTCTCTCCGTGATTCTATGGGGAACCATTGTATCCGGCCTCCAATGGCTCGGATATTCGATTGCAAGTGCTGGACTGGTATACTACAGCCTTGGATACGAAGGCATCATGAATGCTTGCCAGCAAGGACAGACGATGTGGGAATCACGAGGAATGAATTACAGAGGGAAGAACCTCACAGTTATCGTTGCTGGTGGCGTCATCACCACATTCCTCCTTTTTGCTTGGTGGAGCAGCGGGTCGGCGGCTCCGCCTGTATAGCTGCCGTGAGAAGGCACATAGGGAGTTCTTGGAGTATACAAGCAGCATGATGATGGAGTACATAGGAATCTCATCAGGCTCCTCATTATGAGTAGAGTCAAATATGGGTAGAGGTTTTCATGAAGGCGTTCTGGTTTAGGCGGGTCGTCTTGGGTTTCTCATGTATAACCTTGGAAGAAGTATATTAGTCGATAATTGGGTGCGCGGATAGTTATGGACCTGACATGATGTTTCCAAGGTCCATAGCATATGTTGTACAGTAGTAAACTTCAATTGGACATAGAATTTCACGTGCAAATGCTATTTGCATGACGTTTATGAGATTAAGATTAACGGTGCGGAAAGAGGGGATAAATGTCAAAAAGTTATTCATTCAAATGCCTCGGCCTCACTTCAAAAAAAATACATTTAATGGAAGAGTGTCAAAAGACTTAGCTATAGAAAACAAGCCTCCAAATATATTGGCAACGGCGTCTCCAAATCTCCAAAAACGTCAAAAAAAGCATTATAGCCTAATATATCAGGTTGCCGATCCCCACAAAACCATTCCCGGTGGATCCCCCCAAAGTCCGTCACGCAACCTCGGCTCACACCCCTCGGTATCTCCCCGTCGGCCTTCAATGTGAAAGAAACGGCATCGACGGCATAAAACCACGACCTCTCCCGCCCCAACCCCATCCCCCTTCCTCCCCAAACCCAACCCACACCATCCAACACCCCATCCACAAATCCCCAACCATGGCCGCCATCGACGCCCTCGTCTACCACCCCGCGCTCGCGCACTACCTCCGCTTTGTCGCCACCACCGTCGGCCGCGACAAGCTCCTCCGCACCATCCAGTACTTCTCGCGCTTCTACGCGTGGTACCTTTACCGCACCAATGCCACCCCCGCGGCCATCAAGCCCTTCGAGGCCATCAAGAAGCAGTTCGGACTCGTGCGCAAGGCCATGCGCCTCGGCAAGAACATCGAGCACTTCAAGAACGCCAAGGTGGCTGCGGATCGCAAGGATCTCGACCCCGTGCTCAAGTATACGGCTGTCGGACGCCAGCTCGGGTACGGTGCGTACTTGACGCTTGATGCGGCTGCGTTCCTGGATGCGGCGGGCATCAGGCCGACCCCGAATGCGAAGAATATTACGAGGAATTCGCAGAAGGCGTGGTTGACGGGACTGAGCTTCAGCGTTGTTAGCGGATTGTATACGCTGTGGGCGCTGAAGGATAGAGAGGCGAGGTTGGATAAGAAGGATGGTGAGAGCGTGGTTGAGGGCAAGAAGATCCAGCGGTGAGTTTACCCGTTCCTTGAATCTGAGATATTTTTGTACTGATTATTTGTGTTAGCGAACGTGCTGCGATCCAGCTCCAACTGTTCTCCGACTGCTGCGACTTGGTTATGCCAACCTCGAGTTTGGGATGGACTGGATTCGATGACGGAATTATCGGTATTGCTGGAACCACCAGTTCGCTGATTGGTCTCTACGGCGCGTGGAAGAAGACGGCTTAGGTGGATGGAGAGTGGAGATGGGAGGGTGATTGTGCATAACGCGGTTGATGATGTGTAGAATATATGGTGTAGTGTTCCCTATTTATTGCAAGAATGACAAAATCTATATCCCAATCGCTCGAATTGGGCTAGGTGCGTTGCGTTGTGCTTAATTTTGATACAACCTACAGCTTCTCCTACATACTACAATCTAGAGGCCATACAATCCACTCATACATCGTTGACGGGCCATCGCTATAAAATCAATAGCACAGGGTATCGCAGCCACACAGGCAAAGCTCTCAGTCCTTTCCAAGCACTCATACCAAACAACAATGCCAAGCCAAACAGCCAGGTTACCCTCTTAGATAGTTCGGCTTCCGCGCCAACTCGAATAATTCTCCGCCTCAGCCAAGGACATGCTTCCGAATTGCGGCCTCCAGTGGCTTCGTGGCGTTCGTTCTGCTGCCGCCGTTTCACTGGGTGCCACGTCTTCAGTCTTCTCAGTGTTGGCATGCTGGTTATCAGATCCGCCGCCTCGATATGTCAGAGCCTCCTCTGCCTCAACGACGTTTGTTTCTGCCGGTGCTTCCGTCTCCCCCTCGATGGCATTCGCTCTCTCATCTTCTGTTTCTACTGGCTCTTGTTCTGGTGACAACACCTCGGAATTCTCGGGACCTTCTGTACTACTCCACGTTTGGGCCCAAGGGTTGGCGGTCATAGCCCTCTGTTCGGCCATAGCTCTCTGCTCCGTGATAGCTCTCTGCTCAGTAACAGCGATCATCTGTTGCGTCTCTGCTATCTTCTCTATGATGCTAACACCACCCATCAGCACAGATCAACCAGCTCCAAAATCACACCAAGACTCACATATTCATCGCCACCAACCTAGCCCTACAATGCCCATCAAATCTCACCACACTCGCCAACTCATTCCGCACCTCCTCCTCCATAACCACGCTCCACATCGATTTGTCCAGCCCCACCATCGCCTCCAAGATAGCGGCCAGCGTGCTCCTGCCCTTACTATTCATCTCGATAATGTTAGTGAGAACGAGTTTCGTCTCCTCGACCGCCACGACTTTGCTATAGGCGTCTCCGTAGTGGAAAGCGGTGTTTTTGAGTAGCGCGAGCTCGTAGGCTGTTTGCATGCACCATGTTGCGCGTTCCTCGTGGCTGACGTTGCAGAGGCGGAAGGGACGTGGTACTGTGGGCGGATGTCAGTGATGAAGAGGTAGGTTATGGGGCGTTGGGCAACTTACCGGCGAGAGGTGGCAAGGTGGCTGGATCGGCGCGAGGTGGAGCTTGGTATGGGTGTGCGTGGTAAGAGTACGGATCTGGTTCTTGCTCCATGGTTGATTGGTTGTTTGTGAAGCCAGTGTTTGCTGGTTGTTGGAGTGGCAGAGTGGTCTTTGAGTGTTGCTAAGTTTCCTCTAGTGATATGTATTGTTGTGATGTGTCGGGGACATTTCACGGACTTCACATTTGGGTGAAATGTTTCTCGGGACCGTCAGAGTGTGCAATAATGCTGGCATTGTTTTGTACAGACGCCTGCTGAGAAGTGAATCCCGGCCAATAGAGATGAAGATGGACGTCGAAGTGATGCAGTAATCCCAAGCGCCCTTTGAGAATTCAGGCTCAAAATAGTTTGATAAGAACGTCAGTATCCAGAAATTTGCTTATTTAAAATATAGTTTCACAAGACTTCTGTGGTTGACGTTGAGTATTGGGGCTAGAATTTAAGAAATGCACGGGACACCTTTAACCATTGAGGAAGGAGCTCAGCAGAGTGCAAAGAGAACACTCAGGCCTAACAAATATGGTATAAAGATGCACAAACAAAATGTCTATTTATTCCTTTACTGCAATAACCCACGTCACATATCCAAGGGGTTCAGTATGCATATCACGACCACCTCTTATGCTCCACCCATCCATATCCCCTCCTGACGTTTTCAAGAGCGAACACAGCTCGTCTGCTGTCCTCGTACGCAGCGACGATACGTAGCCGTCAAACACGACTACAAAAGGTATAATAGGAATAACGTAAGTAAAAAAGAGGTGTCCGGGTGATCTCCAAAAGTAGAACGGGGTAATGAAGAAGAAAAGAAGTCCCATGAGGGTTATCATGAGGAGTGATGGAGGTGTCCGCTCAGAGAGCTCGAAGATGCTAGATCATGTCAGCTAGTACACTCTCATATCACTGGGTGGAATAGATACCCAAAGCCATCAGAAGTCTCCAGCGTGTTCTTGAGTATTTCGCGGCCGAGGCTATCATCAAAATGGTGGAATGCGAGGTTAAACATGCGGAAGACCTTCTTCCCGTCGCCCAATATCAAGTCAGCCGGCGCATTCGTAGCATCGACGGGTTTCGGAACAAATGTCAGATTCTTGCTTTTGCTGCAAGCCTCTTTCCAGTCCGCAATGTGAGGGTATAGGTCGGTCATTACAAATTTGACCGGTTGGTTGAGCTCGCTGTTGGCTGAGGATGATTTTGATTTTGCCAATTTCAGGTTCAATTCCCGTTCAATACAGGGAGTTGGACCACCACCACCTGCGCAAAAGTCGATATATGTATATTTAGTGACTGATTTGTCAAGGGTATTGTAAAGAATGCTCGAGACGACCTGCGCCGGTGAGTGCTTTTGCATGATTGGCATTCGGAAATTCCAGGCAACTGTGAGGCATGATTGGACCTTCCTCATGAAGTATTCAGGGAACCTGTTCCTCAATATTAACAGTGAGAAATATGGTTGACAGGGCATAATACCATGGCTGGTCAGTTATTTCGTAGAACTGAATCCGAGGAGATATTATAACCATATTGCTGGGCAATCGGGGGGGGGTGTTTGTGATTTAAAAAAAGTGAATTAATATCTCGCAATTATGATCCAGAGGACAGCAACCGAAGAGTGCAAATGCGTGCCAATGAGGTGACTATGCCTAATTCAATAAATCACTCGCTTTTGAGATAAAGTGAGGCGAGGCTATTGGTGTTACCTGACCTGACAGGTTAGATAGCCGCCCGGGTAGCCAGCCTCGTCACGGTCGTTGCGTCATTGTGAACCCCAAAGAGCTAAGCTTTCGGGAGCGCTTACCCAATTTGTGTCTTGACAGCCTCGCCCCTGACCTTCCTCTTCACACTGAAACGATTCTCTCAACATCCAGCTTGTTACACGAAATACTATATGTGACAATGAAGTGATAATTTGTATATGACCATTCAGACGTTGGACAATAAACCGACAGGTCACATCTAAATAATGAGTGCCCTGATTATTTGTGCAATATTGTTATTTTTGAGCGTTTTTATTTTTTTCGGCCAGTCTCCAAAACTTAGACGTAATGGAAAACCATTGAGGTATGTACATACTATTATTTCCTATTGTCTCCTAGAATACCTTCGTTTCTTCTCCTGCTGGGTGCACAGATTATGGAATATGTGCTGAATCTAATCTAGGAAACCTTTGGACACGTTGCCTTTCGCCGGCAACGTATTCCGTTTCTTTCAGAACCGACAGGAGCTGTTCTCCTGGTTTACAAGTTGTGAGCGGTCATTCGGCTTTGAGACATTCCAGATCTCAGTCCCAACCTTACCGCCAGGAGTGGTGATTAATGATCCCAAAAATCTGGACTTCGTATTCAGAAATGAGGCCACATTCAGCAAAGGCGAATTTTTCAAATCCAGGTCCTCAGATCTCTTTGGCCACGGAATTATCAACGCCGATGGTGAGCTATGGAAAGTTCAGCGCAAAGCCGGCCTTCAGTTCTTGAATAATGCGAATCTCAAGGTACTCGCAGAGGTTGCTCTACCCCGTGACTTACATACGACCGTCAGGGAACTCTACGACATGGATGTGAACAAGCCGGTTGACTTGGAGGCGGTGCTCTTATCACTCACCACTAAATTGATGGGCCGTGTGGCGTACGACATGGACATGAGCTCAGCCGAAGACTTTTCACAGGCCTTTGAGTACGCATCCAGTGCTACTGGCCGGCGGTTCCAGAATCCGTTGTGGCGCGTGACCGAGCCCATTATCGCCCGCAAGCTCAAGAAATCTCTTGCGACGGTAAAGAAGTTTGGTCAAGATATTGTGGCAAATTCCGTGGAAAAGAGAAGCAATAAAGACGAGAAAGCAGATGGTAGGCTTGCTGGAATATCTGGAAGCCTGATCAATGCGCTTCTCGATGCAATCCCAGACCATGAAGTAGTGGCCGATGCCGCTCTCAACTACCTTTCCGCTGGCCGAGATACGACTGCTCAAGGGCTCACATGGGCCTTTTACACTCTAATTCGACACCCGCATGTTGTCTCTCTGATTCGACGAGAAATAGAAGCCGAGGGGGCTGAGGATGCACTTACGGCGGATCCCTGGGCAGATGACTATGAGAGCCTCCGCCCAAACTCTCTGCCGTACACAACGGCGGTGTTCTACGAAGTTCTCAGACTCTACCCACCCGTACCCTTCGAGATGAAGCAATGCCAAACAGACACAACACTCCCAGATGGGACATTCCTGCCAAAATCTTCAATTGTCCTTTGGTGTCCATGGGCCATAAATAGGTCAGAACGTATATGGGGGGAGGACGCGGAGAAGTTTCTACCAGAGCGCTGGCTACAAGATGGGAAACTATTGATGAAAAGCCAGTCTGAATACCCAGTCTTCAATGGAGGCGCGCGAGTTTGCTTGGGAAAGAAAATGGCGGAGTCGATATCTGTGATGGTGATTGCGAAGCTGGTTTTGTTCTTTGACTTTGAGGATTGCGAGGGAGGCTACAGGTTCAGTAGGAATAGCCTTACGCTCCCTATGAAAGGCGGGTTACCTGTTTGGGCTCGTGCTAGAAGAAGAGCAGCAGATATGTAAACAGGATTGTATTATTTTTATATATAGATCATATTTTACTCAGGAACAAAGCCTCCACCCTCATCTTCCGGGAAGAAACCACCTGCTTCATCCATATCATACTCCTCGCTCTGCATACCTTCGTCGTCGTCCTGTACATACTCATCCCCCTTTTCCTCCCCCTCAATCTCGTACGCATCAATGCGCTCCTTGATCCGAAGCCCAACCATAAACCGCTTCCACATCCGCAAAGCGGCGATGGAGCGCCGTTCTTCTTTCGCATGCCACTCGTCGTCCTTGAAGCCCTGTATTACAGCCTCAGTAGCATCCTGGTACTCCGATGCAATAACAACACCTTTGATGATGGCCGTACCCTGGCGCCCGCGAAACTCAAAGCCTGTCACGGCATCTGAGTAGCTAATACCAAGAAGTCGAGCCGCCCGAGCCGCATCTGGGTACGGCAAATGCACTCCCCCTTTGGGGACCATGCTCTCAACGTAAACATCTAAATTACCATACACGTTCTTCGGAACGCGCCCGTCAACCACAGGAGGTGCTTCATACAACACTGTTTGGTCTTCAGTGTAGAGAGCCACATCACCCGGCTCGTCATCGTCATTTGCGATTCTCCTCGCTGCGCGCGACTTCATTGGTTGTTCGCCAACCTTCACCTCCCTGCCGAGTCGGTACCAGCCATCTGCACTCCTAACGGCCTTAACGTCGCTCCGTCGATAGACACTCTCGAGCTTCTTCCCCTTTCCACCCACAGAATTAGCATCGCGTCCAGAAGCCACTTTCCCAATCTCATGTGGATTCACGAGGACTTCATTGCGTCGCAAATCACGCTCGAGGACATATCGCGGATGGCCCTTGAAATCAGCTATGCTTGTTGGCATCGGCTCCCTGCCTTCAATGGTTTGGAGCTCAATGTCTTCGATTTGATCTAGGTCTGTTTGAAAACCCCTCGAGTAGAATTTCATTGTTCGACGTAGCCATTTTGGTCCCCCGTCCGTAGATTCCACGCGGGCTTTACGCACTTTGGCGGAATACCACTTGGTATACCGACGAGTGACGTCGCGAACGGCCCCATCCTCTTCAAAGGCAAACACATAAGTCATTGTATTCTCAGCGTCTACCGCTGGTGGTTCGAAAACGGATGGTTTATTGATGGTTCCAGTGACGAGGGGGTCGACTGGCATCCACTTCTGATGCGCCTCGTCCAAGACTTCGACCCAGAATACTGGATATGGAGATTCGATTATGCGTCTCTGTTTGGGTTTCGGGGGAGGAGGCCGGCGCGGAGGAGTTGCGTCGGGAATGTGGTAGTCTGCCACGTTTGGGTGGCCGAGTCGTCTGCGTGCCGAGAATGGCGCACCGGAGGCTCGGCTCGCGAAAGGAGATGTCGGGCTGGCTATGTTCATGGCTTCACTGTCGCTAGTAGGAGTAGTTGGTGTTATAGGCCTGGGGGTGGACACCCCTTGAGGCGGAGGTCTTGTTTTTGTCGATGATGCGTTGATAGGAAGTAACTGAAGAGAGCATACCAATCGTACATCGAGACCAGCGCCGCGTAAGAGCGCACAGTATAGCTGTGCCCCGGTGTCACGAGAACCCTCCATATTCTTTGCCCCGAGCTTGAAGTCTGACTTATCGAGGACACGGTCAGCATCCGGGGGAAGAACGAAGTCTGAAATCCGCCCATCTTCATCCCAGTACGCTCGCCTCATCCCTCTCGATGTGATTTTAAAATTGGTCAGCCAGATGTTCCCAGCGATTTCCAATCCTTTCTTTATCGACTCTGCCCTACGGAACTGCGTCCACTCAGGTTTGGTTTTGAACCATTGGCGGTCTTTCTCACGTAGAAGAGGCTTAAGAATGCCTTGAACTTCGGCATCATTGCACCACTCGTTTCGTCGCTCTATGTATCGAGAGAGACATAACAGATGCATTTTATGGGTCATCAAATGCGAAGCACGCTCTTCCTTCGTGTATGTCCGCCCTTTCTTCCTAGGCGTCCTCTGGGGCGCCTCGATCCGCCTGGTTAGGGTGAGATCTATATGTTGGTCGTCATCCCGTTCATCCTCATCGGCCCCACCAACGCCATGTTGGAAGGGGTCGGAATATAACCCAACGTCCTCAAAGGTAGCATCATCCGAGTCCGAGCCCGAGTCGGAGTTGTACACAGTTTGCGCTGCTGGCGGCAAAACATCCTCGAAATCTTCCTCGCCGCTCTCCTGCTCTTCGTCGACACCCTCGTCGCGGTTTTCATGCTCCTCACCAATGTCCTCGTGGTGACTTTCCAATGTTTGTCTTGTCCTCCTGCGCTTCGGTGGACGGTCTATCGAGTCATGGTCATTCGAGAGAGCTTCTGATATCATATCCTGATATACCTCAGGGACATCAGGTATCCGACTCGACCTTTGCCTGTGACTCACGGATGCACCGGACCGTGGAGCAGCACCTCCACGGGCCGCGTTACGCTTGGCCATAGCGAGAACTGTAGCTTCTTCAAAAGCTCCTTCAACTTTCTGGTGATCCTGTAGACCTATGCGCTCTCATCTCGAGCTTGAATAGCCCACAGCTTGGTTCAGCGCAAAAAGTATATCGCCGATTTGTATATCAGGTCCAGCCTGGTAAAATCTGTAGCAAGCTAGTTCATTATATCAAATATGATTCCAAGACCAAGCGAAAGGCGGCAACTCATGTGACTGGATTGTCAGGATTTAAATCTGTACCCCGCTGCCTGCCTGGATGTGACACTGGTGTCGGCACTGGGCGAAACTAGAGCGGATATGATTTGTATTTCATAGACTTGCCAATGTGAATATAGCTATCAAGATAAAATAAATATGACGACAACGATGATTGCGATGGTGCCTGGTAGAAGATGCTGAGGGTCATCGGGATGTAGTTGGTAAGCGAGATTACGCGAATATCGAGGGAAAAAAAAGTATTGAGAGTCAAAAAAAGGAAGGCAAGAGCGAAGGAAGAACGATGAACAAACGGCAAGAGCAATCTTCGAATAGTAAGATCGTATTGTAAGAGTAAATACACATAGGAAAATAAAAACAAAAGCCCAAAAAATTGGTAGCTTCTCTTTGATTGAGCGTGTCATCCTTAGTGCAGGGGCCATGCTAATCTTCTCTGTACTATTGAACCGTTAGCATTTGTTATAGTTTGAAATCACATGACAGGGGAACGTACTCGTTTCAAATTGACCAAAGTGCCCGAAGGCAAATTGTTTTGAGTTATTTGGGTTGATAGGGGTGTATTCAGAGAGTCCGGCTACTCAAAATCATATGTTATGGGGATAATAGATTTTGAAGCTTTATATAAAAATACTTTTAACTACGTTTTGCGCAAATTGGCTTTGAAGTACTAAGATTTGCGCCCTCACCTTTGTAAAAGGACTTTTTACACCCTATTCTTCTTGCGCAAATGTACTTTAGAGTACTAAGTTTTGCGCACTCTCATAGCAAAAGGACTTTTAAGATCCTATACTTTTGCGGATATTTGATTTCGAGTACTAAGTTTTGCGCATTTCCATAGCAAAAGGACTTTGAACAAACCATACGTTTTGCGCATATTTGCTTTAGAGTACTAAGTTTTACCCAGTTTTAGCTACTCTCATTACTACCCGTACCGCCTAAAAGTCTAAAGAGATATATATAGATGTTAGTAGTGGTGACAGCAACTGCAGATGGTGTGGGTGATTACAGCAACTATAGATGGCAGTAGTGATTACAGCGACCGTAATTAAACCAGACTCTTTCAATTAGTAGGGGCATTGTTGTCACATTAGTTACTCAAGAATACAGATATGGATATAAATACTATTAACTTTAATTACTGACATCGATCCTCAGCTATGAACAGTACAGTACGGTCTCTCTCTGGGCTTTTGGGCGGGGACAGGTACTGCACATGACGTCGGCTTGGTCCCTGTCGCGTAAATTACCTTAATTACCGCACGCGTCTCCCAAACCAGCGACGCGACTGCCGCCTACGAAGAAATACCGATTTTGCTACGACCTGGGGATGCGCTTCTCGGAAACGAGTTATACGCAACAAAATACCTGCACTATTGGCAGCTCCAAATATCTATAACATGCCACCACAAACGAGAGCCACACGGACAAATGCTCCCGCTGGCAGGGTCTACGAATCGCCACGCCTACCACCAACGCAAGTCAAATTCCAGCCACGGCGACAGAAAGTCTATGGACGGCACAACTTGGGGGACGTGAAGCGGAAGAAACAGGAGACGTTGACGCAGATTGGATTTGTCAACCCGTTGACCGATAAGGAGATCGACGAGGAGATTGAGGCATACGAGAGGGAGGAGAAGATCCGGAACAAGAGGAGGAAGACGTTGACGCCTTCGTCGAAGTTTTATACGCAGACGCTTACGCAGCTCGATTTTGATTCTACGCCGAAAGTCGAGTGTAGGGATACCGAGGATGAGGATGAAGATGAGGGGGAGGAGGAGCAGGAGCAGAAGGGAGAGAAGGAGCAAGTGCAACAGGAGGCTGATACGGAAGTCGACGGGCGAACAGAACATGTATCCGAGTCGCCCGTCCCCCGACGGCGACGATCACAGCGAGGAGGCATAATCACAGTCCGCTGCATCAAAGTGGAACCCACCACCTCTCCCTCACCATCACCACAAAGACCGACCATCCCACCGCCCGCCTCCTCGCCAGAAACAACCACAAAACCCTCAATCTCCCAAGCCACAACCTCCATGCCCCCTCCCAAAACCCCAACCCGAAAACGCACCCTCGAAGTTCCCTCCTCCCTCTCCCCCGCCACCCCGCTCTCCTCACAGAGCATCTCCCACGGACTACGGACACACGACCAGCGATCCCCCCTCAAACCTCGCAGCGGAAACTTCAACCGGCTCACCTCGCCTCGCCTCCCCTCATCACAAAGCAAGTTGTCGCTCCCTCACCAATCCCAAATCTCTACACAAGCAATCACGCAAGACTCACCACTCTCCCGCGTCCCGGACTCCAGTCCATTTCGCCCACGACAGATGACGCAGTCAACGCAGTCACCTACAGCACAGGTCTTGTCTGAGTTTACAGCCGCTTCAACGCCGACGCCCTCGCCGCCGCGTAGGGTCGCGAAGACGGAGATTGCAGACTCAGACGCTGATTCTGATGCCGATTTAGATGACGAGGACGATGAGGAAGAGGATGACGACTGTCTCGCCCCCCTACCGCCTCGCCCACAAACACAACCACAACTACAACCACAACCACCCGTCCAAGTCCCAAGCAGCCCCGACGCGCCACCACCGCGGCGCAGATGGGCAGTGTCGAGTAGTAGTCCCCCCCCGCGGCCGGCTCTGGCGGTGAAAGAGACGGTGTTTGGGGAGGAGGAGGATGAGCTGGGGAGTCAGTGGACGAGGAGCCAGTTGTTGCCGGGGAGCTTGGGGATGGATAGTTTGCTTGCTTTGCCGCCTGGGTGGGGGGAGGGGGAGGGGGAGGGGGGTTGGGAGGAGTGAGGGGAGGGGGCGAAGGGGGAAGAAAGGAGGGAGTGAGGGAGGGACGTAAGGAGTGGGAATTTAAGGGATGAAGGGAGGGAGAAAGGGGGTTTGAGATGATGTCTCTTCCTTCTCAAATCCAGCCTCTCGGGTCCTCGAACGTGGCGTGGCGTGGCATACCATCTACATCAACCTCACGTCCCCCTCGGTCTCAGAAACGCGGCTCTCGGCTCTACTACAGCCACAATATCAATCTATAGACCCATAGCCCTAAAAAATGTCTCTCCCTACCACACTAACGCAAATCCCCCAATAGCCCCTCCCATTATGAAAATCCCTTTCCCCCCTCTACGGTCCGAGAACGTGGCTCTGGCCCCCAAACCATGCAATGCCACGCGAACTCCAAACCCACTCACCCCATCCAGAGCTCTGGGCACCCTCGCCGAGAAGGGAATGAAACATTCGTACATCAGCAACCCACCCTTAGTTGTCATAGAGCCCAGACCATCTATCAAACCCATCTCATCGCGTGGTCATCAAGGTAAGCTACCCTGCCTAGCCCGAGGATGACCCGCTGCACATGCCAATACCAGACGTAACCCGAATGGAGCACAATGGAGGATGTAAGCGCGCCCCCCCTACGAGCGAGACTCGAGAGGCGGATGGGGAGATAGGCCGAAAGCAGCGAGCCAAGTGGCCGAGTGGCCGAGCTGGATTGGGGATGCGGTTGGAGATTGGAGAGGAGAAATATCTTCGCATATCCCGGGGAGAGGGTAAGGCGGGGCGAGGCCTTGGGTTGGGGAGTGGTGTGGGCTATTTGCGGAGATAGATGTAACTTCAGCTGCTAGGCGGATGTGTGCTTGGGATGGGATGGATGCGCGGGTTCGAGTTCGTGCATGAGAGTTTGCTTGCTGTACACATAAACATACACACACACACACGCATCCAGGCTCCCATACTATCCTTACCTATCCCATGCATACCCCATACTCCCATACCTCCACACCACACTGTACCTCTCATCCACCACTCCGCCCAGCCCAGCACCACGCTACGCACAAAGAAAAAGGCCGTAAAACCACCGCCGCTACGCCTCACAGCACACACACCACCTGCCATGACACCTCGCTAACCCGTATATCCGCACGCGGCGACTGGGGTAGCGGGGAAGTTCACCGAGGATGGTGCTGATGGGATGGGATACGATAGATACGACGGTCGGTAGATACGTCGTGTTAGTAGTGTTCGTGGTGTGCGCGTGAGGTGTGTGTATGCCGAAGATCCAGCGCGTGGGCGCGTCATGGCGCTAGGCTGGGGCGCTGATGATGTTTACAACGCTCCATTCAGCACACACAGCGGAGCACAGACAGGTGGATTATTCTCAACTCAAAAAGCCTCGACGACGTCGTGGTCACATGCATGTCCACCTCACCAAACCGCGCACCGACTGAACCTCTGAGCGTTACTAACACTTACCTAACCCGCCGCAAAAGCAGAACCCGCATCGCATCGCCAACACGGCCTCTCACCTCGCCCATCTCCGAAACCCCCTCTTGGCACGCACGCACACACGCACGAACCAAGCGCCCGCCAACCGTACCGCGGCACCTTCCAGTGGCGCTCCCCCAAACCGATGGTGGCGCTGTTTGTGCGGGTGGTGGCGTTGGGGAATGTGGGGATGTGGATGGTGCTGGGGTAGGTGGAAGGGCCGAATGGGAAGTTTTTTTTCTCTAGGGGGAGAGAGAGAGTCTGGAGTCTGGAGTCTTGGAGTAACTGGGGATATGGGGAAGGGGGGAAGGGGGAAAAGAAAAGGGGTGTTGTTGTATGTTTCAGGGTGAGATGGGATGATGGGACGTAGTATTCACCTTGAGTAGGATAGGATAGGATGGGATGGGATAGGATAAGATACTCCCGTTTTGCAATATCAAGTGTCAGGGGCTCTAGCCGTGGTTGTCTAGTACGTATAACCGCACATCTACACAGAAAACAGTTAGAAGCTAGGATACGTAGCTGCGCATCCGACGGAGAGCGGTTAGAGGACTGTTTCGGGGGACGGAAGGGGAGGGAGCGGCGCGAGGATGTCCGATGCAGTTTGTACGAGGCGAGGTTTGACGTAGATTCGACGGGGCCGGGATGGTTGTTTGTCCGTGATTGTGTTTTGTTGGATCTAGGTACTGTGTAACATGTTTGTATACAGGCTGTTAACATTATAGTAACTGCACGATAATCGCAGAAAAGACTGCAGAATTCCCCTGTACTACTCTCTCTGTGAGTATAATTCCCCTGTACCACTCTCTTTGAGTATAAGTTCCAATATCTCCCCCGTTGGAGATTAATCTACCTACCACTACTCAATCTACCACCACTCAATCTACACCACAGCCCATCCCCACTACAACAAACGCCCCCCTAAGTACCGACCCGTCCCTCACCCCCAAACACAGTCTAGCCCTTACCGCCCGCACCGCCCAGCGTCGTCCTCGGCTCTACTCGCTATACGCGACGGCGCTAGGCCCTACTCGGGGACCAGTAGGGATTGGGGGTTCACACATAGTGGGGAGGGGTAGGGGACCCTGGGGAGGGCGTTAATCAATGCTTAATGTTGTTGTTGGTTTGTGTTGTGTTTGATCGGAGGAAGGAGTGGTACTTGCCGTGGTGAGCTTTTGACTTGCCGAGCGTAGTAGCGCACCATACCACCACCGTTGATTTTCCCGTGACAGTGACAGTGACAGCTTCAGTGGGTGCCCCTAGGGGGATGCTGTGGTGTGTGCGACTTTAGTGAGTGGTGCGTCGTAGTGTGCGTGTATGTGCGATGGTGTTGCTGTTTGGTGTGATTTCTTCATCCCCCATCTCTATCCCCACGTCAGCAGTTTGTTCCTATGCTGATCTCTGTATCGTTTATTTGTGCGTGTCGTTTAATGTGTTGTGATGTGATGTGATTGACTGATTCGTGTTCTAGAATGTGAAATTGCAAAGGGATAGATACTCTACTGTCTATCACATATCACTTGTTCACCTCCCTTTTAGATTCACCTTACTCGCGCGTTTACTCGTGTTTACTCGTGTTTACTCTCACTCGCCTGCGTTTACTCACTCCCTCACTCACTCACCCACTCCGCTCTATTGATATTCCTCTATGACTCTCTTCTCCCCATCCCCTCAGCTTACCTCCTACCACCTTCCCACCTCACCCACCTCATCCATCCCATACTCTCATCTCCCGCAACACGACCCTTACCCTTGACCTGACCCTAGACCCCCCTCTCACCCCGGCCCTTCGAAATCCCGAGGTACACTACTATACCATACTACAGTACGCCCCCCGTTGGCGGCCGATCTCGTGCCCACAGCCCAGCCAGCGCCCCTAGTCCCCACCACACACATCCCCAAGTCTATTCAAACCCACTCCAACCCATTCACAACAATCCATGAGCAGGATCGAACTAACCACTGTAGCTCGGCTCATCTTCGTGTCTGTGAGAAACCCCTTCCGTGCGAAGAAGTAATCCCCAATGCTACCCTTACTGTACATCTCACATCACAGCTCACAGCATCACACACTCACTTACGGTCGTAGCTGTACCCCGTGCACTAGATACCATGGGGAAGGTCACTCTCTTCGCCGCCAGCCGTACAAACGGTACTTGCCCCATACCCGTAATTAGATACTCTACTCGTACCCTGCTACCCTGCTACCTTTTCTACCCCTGTATACCCAAGTCTGGCAGCACACACATCCACATCCACATCAACCCCACCCCTTGTGGTCAAATCTCGTGTGGAAAGGGCCGATTCCAACCTTCATCTACCTGCCGCCAAGTGCCAGTAAAGTGCCAGTGAGTCCATGTAAAGTGCCAGTAAAGGCGCCCATCCAACGCCAGCTAGCACCCAACTAGCACCATATCCCCCAACGCCACTACAGCTCTAGTCGCTGCTCCCCGTAAATGCGACCAGTAGAGCTCTCCGCTTTCTCTCTCTCCGCGTGTTGTTTGATCCTTCCACTCTTACCATACTAGTAGTATTCTTACTACTGTTACCACTCATACCACTCCCACCATACCAAAGTAGTAGTAGTGCTCATCCTCAAAAACCCACTCCAACATCCCCAGCATTCCCCCAGCTCACTACCCCATCCTGTCAAATTCACCTCTAGTAGCCAATCGCAATCTTCAAAGACCTCAAATATCCCATAATCTTGGTCCAGCAACATGAATTCATGCCCTTCTCACCCACCCATATGCAGCAGCATAGCTCAGATCCTTGTCACTAACGAAAAAAGTAACATGTGGTTGGTGCTGGGGTACGCTTGCTAGGTACCTTTGATTGAACGCCAACCCCCTAGACCAAAGCACAACGTGAACGCGCCCCTCCTTCCTGAACCCTTCCTGACCCCGAACTTATATAACAACAACAACCTCCCTGCACCACAAAGCTTCCGATCTTCTTTCTTCAGCTTCGTTCAACAACAATCAACAACCTCACCAACCCTCCTTCTTCCCCTCTCTTTCCTCCCCCCTTTGTCTCCATCAACAACCTGTCCCGACTGTCAACCCCCAAAACAACAGCAGCAATGGCGGGCGATGGAGTCATCCGTGGCACGACCGATACCGAGCGTATCGAGGCCCCCGTGACTGTCAAGGCATACCTCATGTGTGCTTTTGCTGCCTTTGGTGGTATTTTTTTCGGATATGATACTGGATGGATGGGAGGTGTCCTGGCCATGCCTTACTTCATTCGCCAGCACACTGGCTTGGCATACCCGGTCGATAAATTTGGCAAGGACACCGTATCTGACGCCTACGTCGCCTACAACAAGGCCTTCCACATTTCTGCCCGTGATCAGTCTCTCATGACCTCCATTCTGTCCTGCGGTACCTTCTTTGGTGCCATCGCTGCTGGTGACATCGCCGACTTCATTGGTCGTCGCCCAACCATTATTCTCGGATGCGGTATCTTCTCCGTTGGTGCCATCCTGCAGACTGCCTCCACCACTCTTGCTGTCATGGTCGTTGGCCGTTTGATTGCCGGTCTCGGTGTCGGTTTCATCTCCGCCATCATCATTCTGTACATGTCTGAGATCGCGCCCAAGAAGGTCCGCGGTGCTCTCGTGTCCGGTTACCAGTTCTGCATCACCATTGGTATTCTCCTTGCCAACTGTGTTGTCTACGCCACCCAGAAACGCGATGATACCGGATCCTACCGTATCCCCATCGCCGTGCAGTTCCTGTGGGCCATCATCCTCGCGACCGGTCTATTCTTCCTGCCCGAGTCCCCCCGTTTCTTCGTCAAGAAGGGCAAGCTCGAGCAGGCTGCTAAGGCCCTCGCCTCCGTCCGTGGCCAGGCAGTTGACTCCGACTACATCCAGGATGAGCTTGCCGAGATCATCGCCAACCACGAGTACGAGATGGCAGTCATCCCCCAGACCACCTACCTCCAGGGCTGGGCCAACTGCTTCCACGGCTCCATCACCCAGGGCTCCTCCAACGTCCGCCGCACTATCCTCGGCATAGTCCTCCAGATGATGCAGCAGCTTACCGGTATCAACTTCATCTTCTACTTTGGAACCGTCTTCTTCACCTCCCTCGGCACGATCAGCAACCCCTTCCTCATCTCCCTCGTGACTACCCTCGTCAACGTCTTGAGCACCCCTCTCGCCTTCTGGATCGTCGAGCGCTTCGGCCGCCGCCGCATTCTCATTATCGGCGCTACTGGAATGGTCATCGCCCAGTTCATCGTCGGTATCATCGGTGTCACCGCTGGTGCCCCAGACAAGAACAACCAATCTGCCGTCAAGTGCATGATCGCATTCATCTGCATCAACATCTCCTTCTTTGCCACCACCTGGGGCCCCAGCGCCTGGGTCGTTATTGGCGAGATCTTCCCTCTGCCAATCCGCTCCCGCGGTGTCGGTCTCTCCACCGCCTCCAACTGGTTCTGGAACTGCGTAAGTCTAAAAAATCCCACAAACAACAAGAAAAAAACAAATACTAACAAATTCCCAGATCATCGGTGTCATCACCCCATACTTGGTCGGTACCGAGAAGGGCCAGGCCAACCTCGGCGCCAAGGTCTTCTTCATGTGGGGCGCCCTCTGCTGCATCTCCCTCGCCTTCGCCTACTTCCTCGTCCCCGAGACCAAGGGTCTCTCCCTCGAGCAGGTCGACAAGATGTTGGAGGAGACCACCCCGCGCACCTCCAACAAGTGGGTGCCACACTCCACCTTCGCCGCCGAGATGCACCTCGCCGAGAAGGGCATCGTCATTGGCGATCGCCCGGCGACTGCTCCTCGCACCGAGACGGTGGATGTCGTCACGAATGCTAAGGAGGATGTTTGAGCGTGTGTTGAATGAGGGTTGTGTTTGGCCCCGTCGTGGTTCGGCTGTCCTCCTATCTTTGGGCGGGATCGACGGGTGTCACCCTCTCGGGTTAGGAAGTATGATAAGATGTGTAAAGGAGTTTTACTAGCGTTTTAGTTAATGGAGATGGAGAGAGTTAATGATATCCTCCTTCTTGAAATATTTTGATGTTTTTTTTTGGTTGTGTTCTTGTGAGTGAGTGGTGTTGGTGATGATGGATGGTGAGTGAGTGATCCACTGATCCACCCCCACATTGGCTTCGTCACCAGCCATATTGTGATAGATCGTTGTCTCAGCGATGAGGGGTAAAATCCACGATGGCGAGGATGTGTCCGCGATCAGAGCCCAGCATAGGGTTCTCTCTTTATCGACCTCCTCTTTCGAGTGTTCGTACTTCCCATTTTGGTAAGTTGTTATTTTAGAATGTTGGCAAAGTTGTCGACTTCTGGCGACGGGTGTGCGGGAGACGCGTCCTTAGCGCCTTCCTGGAAACAAAGGAATCCTGAGTGCATCACGTGCAGAATTACTAAACAGGATATATCACGAGAACAGATGGTTATAGAGTAGGTCACGTGCTTGGAGTGGAGGCAGCGGCTGAGGGAGCTGGGATGAGAAACTATTTGATGGCGGCGAAGATGATTGTTCTCATCCTTTCCTCTTCCTATGGATGGATGGATATCAAACTTCGTTGAGAAATGACAGGCAGGGTAGATGATGTGAACCATCGCTCTTGCCTGCCTCCCTTCATTCCTTCCGTCCTTCCTTCCTTCCTTCCTTCGCTCCTTCCGTTTCTCTTTCCTACGATGCTTTGCTGCTTCGCTCCTTCCTAACTTTGCTCTTTTCCCATTTACCCCTTTCCATCCTTTGCCATTTGCTCCTTCCGCCCTTCGCTCCTTCCCCTGCTTTTCTGTCCTTCGCTCCTTCCCTTACTTTCCCTTTCTTTTCTATCCATCACCCCTCGTCCTCTCACCACGGAGGTTGCCACGTTCATCAACACACACGATCTTGCGTCATGGGAATGAGGCCCACCTATCTTCCATAGGTTTAAGAGCATAACCTGGACGACAAGCACCTATAGATCCACAATCCCAAAAGGCTAAAATAACAAGCTATTTCTCGAAAGGAAATGATATATTGGCGCCGCTATGGGATCCTCGCACTATCTAACCGAAAGTGACCACACGCAATCCACAACCTTTAAGCCTTCCCTAGGATATTCTCCTCGAACACGCTGATGGTATGGCCGGTATTGTAGTTTTTAATCTCGGTACGTGTCAGTTGTGTTTGGATTTGTGGACGTCAACTACTTACCTCGTACCGCGGTTGTGCCGCACTGGCATTCACGCTCATGTTGGCCTGCAGGCCAGGCTCCATGAGAATATCGGTGATGATACCCGTGCTCTCTGTGGATTCGGCGTTTCCGCCTTGAAGGGGAGAGTTAGTGGTTTGAGCGTATAGTGTGACCCTAGGGGATCGTACCAGACATTGGCCTATAAAATACCACCTGCCCATTCTCGTACTTTGGAGTGCCCATTTTGTTTGACTTGGAATCGGAAGTCGTTAAAAGGAAAAATGTGTTGTTGAGGACTGTACAAGGTTGATATAACTCAAGATCTACCTGCTGGGAAGGAGACTATTTAAACCGTTAGAACAGAGTTTTTGAGTATTGTCAGCGATGGCTCTATATGATGCCATGACAGGCACAGGGCTTGTGTCATTTGTCCATTTCCCTAAGATCAAGGTACGCCCTAAACTGATAATTTTCCAAATGTCCCAAAGACTGGTAGTCACGGCGCATATGGAGGAAATCCATGGCGTCACCACTTGTAGTCGAGTGTATTGGTTGGCCGGCTGCGCTTCAAAATAGCAGTATACCTTTTATCAAATATGAAATATGAACTAACGAAAGGCACGAATCGCGCGACATCCAACTTTAATTACTATATTCAAGCCATATCCGTCCTTCCACCGCGACCCTGGCGTTCCTGGATCAGTCGTTGTGGATGGTCGATACTGCCACACCCAATCCAGCAGGCGGTGCGGGCCGCTAAGATAAGCCTTCCAAAGCAACGCCAAAAAGTCCGATAATAATTTCTACCAACGAATTTCGCGATAGCTCTTTCCACTCTCAGTCCCGCCCTCATAATTAAAATCCGCTGCCGGTTCGACCCGCCATTCGCTATGTTGAAACGGAAGCGCGAGAGCAATCCCAGGGGCCCCGGAGGAGGGGGCGCCGAAGCGATGGGTCAGCGCAGGGGAGAGGTGGAGGAGAAGCTGGTGCATGGGAAGAAGATGCTTAATCGGGCGCTGAAGACGGCGAAGGGGTTTGAGTGGCAGAAATTGGTGAAGCGGATTACGAATGCGAAAGCGGAGGGTGGCGATTCTGAAGCGCAAGTTGCTAGGCTGGAAAGGGAGCTTAAAGTGCTTAAGGTAGGTTTTTTTTGGCACCTGTTTGATGCGAGGGAGAATTGTTGCTGACTGGAGGGATAGGATCTCGAGATGCAGGCGCTGGCGGATGCGCATGTGCATAAGACGCTGTTGAAGTCGAAAACGATCGCGGAGTCGGGGTTACTGCCGGATTATGTGAAGCCGCCGGTGCGAAAGACTGGCTCAGAAGAGGATATACTGGCTATGGATAATGTGACGGCGAGGCTATATAATACGAAGCCGGTGAAGGAGAATATGACCCATATCATGACGAGCATTTATGCGGTTACGGGAATACCGAACCCAGCGAATAAGCCGAAGTTAAAAGGGAAGGAGGCAAAGGAACCGCCAGCAAAGAAGTCGAAGGGAGACGACAAGGAGGGGGCCACGAGCAAGAGCAAAGAGAAGCTGGTGGCTGATAAGAAGGAGGAGAAGGGGGTAGAGCCGGCTTGGGAGGGGTTCGATTCCGGATCTGAGTCTGATGGAGAATCAATCGACTTCTCAAAGTACGAAGGGCGATTGGGTGGGTCGTCGGACGATGAGAGCGACTCCGATAGCGCGGAAGAGCTGAAGAGGCCGGCAAAGCCGGTGAAGAGAACAATCAAGTCAAGAGGGATTTCGGTGTCAGTGTCGGGATCGGATGACGAAGGTGAACCAGAGGAATGGGTTCTATCAGACGAAGAAGAGGATTCAGATGAAGATGACGACGATAATGTGATAGAGCGATCTCACTCCCCACCTACGCGAGAGAAGAAGAAGCAACGCGAGCCACCGAAGCCGTTAAAGCCTGGATCACAATTCCTACCCACGTTAATGGGCGGCTATTGGTCTGGGTCTGAGGAGGAGGCTACCGATGTAGAGGATGAGGTGGCGCCAGCTCCGAGAAAGAACAGACCGGGCCAGCAAGCGCGCCGTGCTATTTGGGAGAAGAAGTTTGGCAAGGGAGCGAATCATGTTAAAAATGCGCCGCCACCGAAGGAGAAGGATGTCGTGTGGGATGCTAAGCTCGGCGCGGTATCCTCTGAGGGGTCTGGTAGAGGAAGAGGTAGAGGTGGATTCACTCGGAATAAGTCCCAGGTTACAGGCGAGAACGCTTCGGAGCTTGGGCCGAGGAAATCACGAGGAGTGGGGAGGAAGGACGATGTCGGGGTCTTGCATCCCAGTTGGCAAGCAGCGAAGAAGGCGAAGGAAGAGAAAAAGGCAGCCAAGTTCGAGGGCAAGAAGGTCGTCTTCTAGAGAAGTTGTTGAGAATATATTATTATCATTTCATCTCCTCCTGTTCCTAGCCCGCCATTGGATTATCCCGTGGTGAGGGCGATCAGGCATAACACGTGAACTACTAGATGAACTGCCGGTCCACCCAAACTGGTCCGCAAAGCGGACTCATTGCGGATAAGACGAGACATGGCCCGCAACGCTGGGCCTAGGTGGTAGATCCCTAGAGCACATGCGACGCGCTGGCTCACCTTATTGATGGGCCGTAGCAGGAAGACCAAAGCTATAAGATTGGTGCATATGAGGAGTAGTGCGTATTGTCGAACTAAGGCTTCGGCGAAGGGAGAGGCGGTAGCGAGTTGGAGTTCCTGCGATGGATTGACGAAGAAGTTGAGTGCTGCGGGAGTCTCGACGAGAATATGCACTCCGAAAGCGATGTGGAGGAAGGCGATCATGGCCTGACATCCGCACATAAATCGTGGCAGTCGTTCAAATCGCAGCACAACAATAAGTACTGTAACAACGAAACTATTGCTTCGATGATATGAGTATGCTATGTCCGTGAAACTTTAGAAGTGCAAGGATACATATCTATGCACCCTACAACGTAGGGATTCCCCCAAAAATATGAGACATGCGGTGATTGTGTTCGCGCCATTTGCAAACCTCGACCCATTGTCGCCCTGATAAGAACCCCTCACTTTCAACCCCACCAATCCTTCCAGGCCCTCTTGCCCAAACCCTCCATAGTTCTGACTTTCTCCACTTCCGTTGTCTTTAGTTCCCGACCCGCCATCATGCCGCGCTGGTTTCACGGATTATGGTCTGCGCCACTGCCCAGACCATATACCTCTGCCGCACACAATAGCTTCTTATCAGCCACGATTTATAACTTCGACGTCAATTAGCACAACCCTATGGCATAAAAAAAACTTTATGGGCTGGGATACCGTTGCATTGTCGGAGATCATCGTTTTCCGTAAACACCGGCCGTTCAACGTTTGCGGCCGGTGCAAACATGGCACGACCAGAGGAGACTGGCCATGGTTCTGCCACCTTTGGAACATTTGAAGACCTCGGCCTCGCAATAATCGGCCTTGGTGTGGAATATCCGGCGTTCCAGCTCACCCCGACAGATCTCAGGACTCTGGTTAAGCGTCATTATCGGGACTCTCCTGCGTACGTCGTTCCTGAGCTTCACTAGGCACCACTAACTTAGTAGTATGTCCAAAGTCATGACGATTAACGACTACACCGGCATAGACATGCGCTCCTCGATCGGTACTATCGACGATCCATTTGTGAATAGGAAAAAGGCGCCAGCCATTGCCGAGCTTAGCAAAATATTTATGAAAGAAGGGGTTGCCCTCGCCGTTACCGCGGCACAAAAAGCCCTTACAGAGGCAAGAATAGATGTCTCTGATATTACACATATCGTTAGCACTACATGTACGAACAGCTCAAACCCGGGATTTGATCACTACGTATGTAAGAAGCTTGGAGTATCGCACACAGTTGAAAAAGTCTTATTACACGGCGTTGGCTGCGCGGGCGGGCTGGCAGCGCTTAGAACGGCTGCGAATATTGCAATGGGTTCTAGTTTTCGGCGGAGACCAGCAAGAGTACTTGTAATGGCCCTTGAAATATGTACCTTTCTTGTCCGGAGCGAGATGGATAGCATTGACAAATTTCAAGAAACGAGGATAGGCGTCTCGCTGTTCAGCGACTGCGCCAGCGCGCTAGTTTTGAGTAACGGGATTGGAGCTGAGTGCGTCGAGGAGCCGATATATGAACTACTGGGCTGGGGCCATAAGATCATCCCCGATACCGACCGAGACTTGGGGTTTAATGTTGACCCATTAGGTGAGACATCCTGTAGAAAGGGGCTGAGTATTACACATACTGACGGACCATAGGCTGGAAAGTCGTCCTCTCACCTCGAGTTCCTAAGATTGCCGAGACAGCCGTAGACCCAATATTCAGAAACCTCCTATCATCAATACCTGGTCTCCCTCCTACCTACAACACCCCAGAGTCTTTCGACTGGGCCATGCACCCCGGCGGCGCCACAATCCTCTCTGGCGTAGAGAAAGCTATGGGAATAACGCCGGAGCACATGCGCGCATCATATGATATCTACATTAATCACGGAAACAGCTCCGCAGCAACAATCATAAGTGTCATGGATCGTCTACGACATAAAGATATGGATGCATGTGCCCCAGACGGAAAGGTCAAAGATTACGTAGTGGGATGCGCTTTTGGGCCAGGGATGGCCGTCGAGATGTGCATGCTGAAAAGGAACTTGAGCCATCGAGGAAAATCGCTACCAACCGGAGTAATTACACTGCCAGAGACGGAAAGTGAAGAGAGCAGGAGCGATGGCGAAGTTGAGCTAAGTTTGAGCGAAGTCTTAAACGGAGTCGATCTTGACTGAATCACCTTCCTTGCTGCTACTCGTGTCATTAAGTACAAGAGCCGCCGTGTATAACAGCTAGCGTGAACAGTAACTGTGATCAAAATAATGAGCGCGCTCAATCACTCGGAGTCATAATTGTCATATATGGCTACTTCAACAAACTAGTTGCTTAGAAATAGGACCAAGAAAGAATACGGATCTGGTTGATTCCGGTGTTAGTTCTCAGCTAATCATGGTTCGTCGTCGGACCTTTGGGCGGCACGAGGATTGTGGAATTGAGAGCTGCTGATATGGGTCGGCTGGCTCCCATTTTGACCTTGGATAGCAAGCGGTTGAATGGTTCCTTGGATTGTTGAGTCAAAATTCCTTCTAAATACCCTGAATTACAATCTAGAGGTGTCAAAAAAGTAATAATCTACTGTATAATAGGAGTAGCGAATGATAGAAACTACATCATCTATACATACGAATCGTATCATACAATTCCTCGACTTTTCCATCCGGGTTGGAACCGGTTTTGCAGCTTCCACTCTGCCGCTCTCGAGGTCCGTCGCCAATGAATTTCTATGAAACATTATATCAGGCTAGAATTTGTGTATATGCCTTTCTTGGCAATGTGCTCATATAGGTACCTTTATCCTAAATTACGAAACAGCGATCTATCCCTCTGGACTCATTTTGCCAAGAGATCTACCGGAAATGCTTATTTTGCCACGATGCAAATAACCCAAGATCGCTCGTGGGTCGCGGGGTATTCTACTAGGAAGACTATATAACATTGGAGAGATGTATGCCTTTTTGAGGCTTTTGGCTTAAAAAAATCGTGTCTAATGCAAGTCGATCATGATGTTCAACAGCCATTTCCTAGTCCTCGCAGTTGCCTTTGGCACATCATGGCTCTCTCTACCTGTAACAGGTAGTGTGATACCTAAAGAACAAATCATAGAAAGCCGCCAGGACACAGGCAATAAGTGGGTGGATACATGGACATCAATGCCCCAACTCGTGGAACCAGGCAACCTGCCCCCTTCGCCATTCGTAAGAAGCTAAAGATATAAAATCTTAGGCAACTGGAAAGCATGCTGACTATGGCAATAGACATCACAAGGTGCTGTTTTCAACAATGCAACGCTTCGCCAGACTCTCCATGTTTCCATTGGAGCTGATAGGATTCGACTCCAAATTTCAAACACTTTCGGCGGCAGCGACCTCCCGATCACCGAAGCTGCCATCGCTCTCCCTACAGGAGGAGAAGCAGGAGTTGGTAACATTGAGCCGTCACCGATAGCCGGTCTTACTTTCAACGGAGCGACGTCAGTAACAATCCCGAAGGGCGAAGTAGCATACTCAGACCCGATTGACTTTTCAGTTGCGGCTGAATCAATGCTTACTTTAACCCTCTATCTTGCTGCTGGGCAGACCAGAAACAGCATTACAGGTCACCCTGGGAGCCGGACAACGTCATGGATGCAAGAGGGCAACCAAATTGATGCAACTAGCATAACTGGATCGAGCGTCGCCCATTGGTAATAACTAGTCCCAATATACACCTCACTTATTTATAGCCTGATAGCTAATTCGCTATGCAGGTATTTTGTGAGTGGAGTAGAGGTGTGGGTTCCAGCGTCTCTAAGCAGTTTTATCATTCTCGGCGACAGCATCACCGACGGTCGTGGCAGTGACGATAACAAGAATAATCGGTAATAGCACCATCCCATGGTTCCTAACTCAAAATTAACTTTCAGCAGCTGGCCGGACTTGCTCCTTGCGCGGATGCAGACAAGCCAACTCACCGCAATAGGAGTTGACAACCAGGCCGCAGGAGGCAACCGCGTCCTCCAGGATGGCCTCGGCCCCAGCCTAATCAGCCGGTATAAGCGTGATGCTATTGGGCAAGAAGGCGTAAAATACATCATGATCTTTGAAGGCGTCAATGATATTGGAACGGCAGGGACTGACCAGAATACCCAAACTCGACTTGGAGACAATCTCATATCTGCGTTCACGCAGATCGCCAATGATGCACGCGCCGCTGGGATTCTCATCTTTGCGGCGACAATCACTCCGTTCTCAGGGCCAGGGCAGTCATATTCCGACCCTACACGCGAGAAAACACGACAGAGGGTTAATTCCTGGTTTATATCAAGCGGGCTGTTTGATGCTGTTGTTGATTTCGATGCGGTCGTTCGTGATCCGGCGACTCCTTCGCAGTTGGCACCAGAATACAATAGCGGAGACTATCTACACCCTAATGTCGCTGGGTATCAGGCTATTGCGGATGCATTTCCTTTGGACATCTTTACGGCTACTGCCAACAAGCGTACGGTATAGTTTACACCATTTGAAGCAGTCATTTATGGACAATAGATAGATGAAGCATACATATATCGTTGAGAGCTATAGTGATAGTAGCGCGAGAGATGTGTGCCCCACCTTTATAATCTACTACTGTAATTCTGCCTGATAATCTATTCTCCCGACGGCCCAGTGATTTTGGTCCCCAGTGCTCCAGGAGATCCAAAGTTTGGCGTGTTATCAGAATTCCAGTTTACTTTTTGTGCCATTGTATATCTCGTCCCATCACACGCTCCAGCACTGTTGGCATCCGCATGGTATACGTTCCAGATCTCAGTTCCATCTGGGCTCTGGAAAAATCTGCAATATGTTAGGAACCATGTTAGAGTGGAGTTAAGGATATTGGACGTACCCATTGTGACCTGCGCCATAATTTCCGTTTGCAGAGGTCAAAAATGGCCCAGTCTTCACCCAGCTTGCGGCTTTAGTTGGGTCCCCGCCATTCCAGGTCAGGAGCCCCAGCTGATAGCTGGCGGTCCAGCAGTCGCTCGCACTGTATGCCAGATAAGTCTTTCCACCGTAGTACATTGCAACTGGCCCCTCATTAACTGGGTTTCCAACAGTCTCCCAGGATTTCGTAGGCTGGGATATAACAGTGGTGGCTCCAACTGAGCCTGGCGAATTAAGTGGTGCGATACAGAGCGATTGGAGCCCGGCGCTGCTAAAGCAGGAATAGACAAAGTAGTTGGCAGAGGTGGTGCGGAGGATGGAGCCGTCAATTCCCCAAGTGTTCATTAATGTAGCAAGATGGCTGTAGCTGTCAAAAGGTGTAGCACCACCTTGAAGTATAATGTTAGATCCAGGGAGGGGTTTTCAGCAGAACAGAACACTAACCTTTGAGAACATTGGGACGCTGCCCGTTAAGATCGGCTGAGGTGCCAGCGGTATAGTAGATATACCAGCTAGAATAATTCAGCTAATTATATTGGAAGGCCTTGATCGGAGAGACTCACAGTCCATCAAAATAATGAAGCTCAGGCGCCCACATATTGCAGCATCTACTGGCAGTTTTGTCGGTCCAGACAATTTTGGTTTCTCCTTTCTTGAGTCCTTCGAGAGTGGTAGCCCGAGTGATTTGCAAATTAGTCCAAGTCGTTGTCATCAAATAATAATAACCGCCTGTGTATACAATGTGAGGATCAGAGCCATCTTTCGGTTTCAGTGGGTTTGAGAAGGTTGCCGCGCTAACCAGGGAAGTCAGCGACAACGCCGTGGTAATGAAAGTAAAAAGCTTCATTGTGCCTGGTTAATTTTAACAAGCAACGGCTCTGTAATAGGCAACTGTGTCAGAGCGATAAAGGGAAACTCCATCGCTTTATACGATCAATCGCGAGGCTGCAGAAGCTTGTTCTGCGAGGTAAGTTCCACCAATTATATTCATATATTAATTAACTTATTGCATCAGCCTTTCTTGACATTGAATATAAAGATCCAAGAAATAAGATACATTAAAAAGCTGGGCGAATGACGGAGGCACGAAGCCTGTACGGAAATTTAAGATTCCGGCAGTTGGACTGCATGTTATCGGCGCAAACCGCACATTGCATAGTGGTTGTGGGGTAGAAACATCAGCAATTCCAGGGTTGAAGGGTCTTAACGTGGTTGTCTACGACGGCACTCACATCACCGCCTGACGGCGCCCACCAGTTTATGGCCGTACATAGTAGCTAGCAAACATACCACAGTACAATTATAAAATTGAAGCAAAATCACTCGTAAAATCCACTAATATTGATATGGTAAGCGTACATTACGATGCGCCAGGCAGCTATTACATATAGTCGGTTTAGAGTCTACAAAATACCGTGGGGGTTAACATCTTAACTTAAGGCACTTCCCCCTTAATATCACGGACAATTATATCAGCATTCGCGTTGATACGCCCGGCACAGATTAGCTAGCATCATCAACCTACTCCAAGACTTTCGGCGACACTATTTCAAATAAGCGCCAGTTAAAGCGGAGGAGCCTTCCCCGCATACCCCGCAAAGCGGAAAACCCAAATAGCCTGAAGAGACCTGGAAAACCTTACTCTAGTAAAGGGATGGATAACGTTCCTTATGTTGAAAGCGAAGGCTAATATTTGCCCGTCTGCACCACCAATTTAATTGAGAAGTATATTTTCACTAATATTTACACCCTAATCGTCGGAACCGACCCTGACCTTCGCTCAGGGTCGGGGTAAGCGAACGGCGTTCGGGGAAGCGGTCGGCGTTCACCGCTATTTCATATCGCCGGCCATAGCCTCAACATATCTATAGCTAGTAATTTGTATACAACAACTGTGTAATTGAAATGGAAAACCCAATTTTGTCAGATGCTCGTAAATGGCTTGCTGCAAATCCATCGGAATCTGTTGCTACCGCAAGCCGGATTTTCAAAGTGCCAAAATCAACGCTCCAATCCTCAATTACTCGACTTAATCGTATAGGAGTCGGCCGTGGAGGCCAGAATAAGCTTCTTACAGCTACGCAAACGAAGGCTCTTAAGGAATGGATCACTACGCAGTATAAGCAAGGACTTGGAGCTACGAAGCAGATGACCTTTGCTGTTGTTTGCTATATTCTACGACCGAAGCCACCGCCTTCCTATAGCTGGCTTACAAAGTTCATTAAGAATGAGCTATCTGATTTTCATATTATAAAGACAAAGCCTATTGCTCAACACCGGGTTGAAGCCTAAGATGAAAGCGTCCTAGAAGAGTGGTTTTCGAACTATCATGAGTTCGTTTCTACTCATAATATACAGCCTGATTCCATATGGAATATGGACGAGACTGGGTTTCAGATTGGAATTCCAGGGGGTGAGAAGGTTATAGTTCCACACGGAGTTACAGAGCTATATACAGGGAGTCCTGAAAACCGTACTTTAATTACAGTAATTGAAGCTATATCAGCGAGTGGGAAAGCTACTCCGCCTGTACTCATTATTCCAGGCAAAGTCCATATGGAATCATGGTACCATAGAAGTCTTGTTGGTACAGAACAGGTTCTATTATCAGAATCAGGTTATACAAACGACGAGCTTGCGATTAAATGGCTTAATCACTTCATTTTCCATACGCAAAGCACCCCTATTTCAAACGCTAAATTACTACTATTAGACTCTCATAGTAGCTACCGAACGCCAGAGTTTACTATACTCGCAGCAGAGAATAATATCCTCATTTATACCTTTCCATCACATCTTACCTACGTTCTACAGCCGCTAGACGTTGGGGTTTTCCAGCCATATAAGCATTGGCATCGCGAAGCAGTCCATACTGCAATACGGAACTTCGACCTTGAGTATAACCTACGCTCTTTTATGAGGGATCTTCCTATGATACGGGAGAAAACCTTTAAAGAGCTTACTATTACTCACGCATTTAAGAAGGCAGGAATATGGCCTATCGATTGTAGTATTGCGCTTTTAAAGCTATAGAAATATTCAAAGCCAGCTCCTACTTTACCAACGATTATACCAGCCTCTTTTCAAGAGTCCGAAGCGCAATTACAGCACTGGAAAGTGACGCTTCCAGTTCTACTCAGTAGCCCATCTCGACAGCGATATAACAACTGGGTTATTGGTACAGAAACGGTATTAGCTCACGGGCAACTTCAAGAATTCAACCTCTCGATTCTACAGCGGCAGGTTGACCAGCACAAGAATAGAGGCCGTAATAGCCGGTTACGCCTACAAATCGGAGGAGCTCTTACCGTAGATGAAGCCCGAGCTCTACAGACTGAAAAGGCAGAGCGAGTTGCGGAGAAAGAGGCAGCCAAAGAAGCCCGGATAGCTCGTCAGGCTAGCAACCAAGCCCGCAAGCAGCTCAAACGGGCAGGAGTTGAAGCCCGGAAACAAGAACGCCTCCGGAAGAAGAGGGTAAAAGCCTATAAAAAAGATGGTAATCCAATTCCTCCGGAGGATCAAGATCCAATTCCAGATCCAGAGGCAGAGAGCGAAAGTGGGATTGGGAGTGGGAGTGGGAGTGAGGGCCAGTTTGAGTGGGACGGATATGAGAATTACGAGTAGTTGATCAATTTAAGTACCTTTTCATATAAATTACTGTGTAGTGGTACTTATTCCTTCTGGTGTTCGTGAACGCCGACCGCTTCCGCGAACGCCGTTCGCTTACCCCGACCCTGAGCGAAGCTCAGGGTCGGTTCCGACGATTACATTCGACAAAATATTTGATATTTGATAAAAACGGAAAAATAAGTCGGGTATAGACGGAATTTGAAATCCATATGTTGACAAGGGATATCCATTGCAGTTGGCATCTTGGCCGGCCTGTGATTTCTGGTTCATCTCCCCAGAGGATCATTAAACCCGTCAAAGGATCGTCTACATCAAACTGTCAAAAGCTGTTGTTGGCATGCACAGGCCAAACCAGAATTATAATAACAGAATTCCCACCAACATCGCGTTTCCCTTCCCGTTCTTTCCTTCCCTCACTTTTCAGTCTCAATTGGTAGTGGGCACTGGTGAACATCAAGGACGATGAAATATTTGGTACCATGTATTAAATTAAGATTTTCCTCTCTCTTCCCTAGATTTACGCTTCCTTCAATTGCTGCCCTTGGCCCTTTCCCCTCCGTACAAACTCTCTCAGCACATTATCAGTCATTCTAGCTACATTGTTGTCATATGTATCCCAGGCCATACTACCATACCAGTTGATACTGCCAACTGCGAATACCGCGCCACCTCCGGCAGTGTCATAATATACCAGGTCGCTTCGGACGCGGTCGCAGTTCGAACCCAGAGTGTTCACCATTGGGAACATAGACTCCTCATTGAAAAGTCCAAAGGTATCGTCATGCTGCTCGCTGCTTCCCAGGAGGATCGCATTGGTTGGAGTTCCAAGGTCAAAGTCCAAGCGATCAATCTCGTCACCGCTGGCACCACCGCCAAAGCCATTCTCGCCAATGGGCCCATTGGGATCGATGCCCTTAAAAACCCATGCAAGCGCAGGATCCTGAGCATATTTTGAGTTTATCCTATAAGGCTTTCCTTTGCCAGTACCGAACGCACACGATCCCATGCCGAAGAGGTAGTTGGGAGCGCGGCCTCGGCTGCGCCAGAGTCCTCCCAGGTTCCCGGTGAGACCGTGCATTCGTTCCCCTGCGGGAAACGTCACAGACCGACAACCTTGATCACCTTTACGGACTTCGAGACGATGAGGACGCTTGGAGTCAATGTCGGCGACCCAGTAGAAGCCATTGCCGCCCAAGTACATCAAGCTACCGCCTGACTTTGCAAAGCCGCTAAAAGCATCGAGGGTTTGGAGAGAATGGTATTCGGGATGACAGCTACTTATCATTGTCGTATATTGGGAAGCTGCTTGATGGCCTCCAGTGTGCAAACAATGGTCAGTGATGGTATCATACGGAATTCCAGAGCGTTCCAGGAAGTCAATCATGAGAAGATCAGCGCTAAATTCGCGAGGTCGGCCCAGTGCCCAGTGCACGTATCCAGGCCTCAGATTTAATATGGGTCTAAGGGCACTAGAGAATGCAGTTGGGGAACCGTCTCTATGAACATCGTAAGCCGAGAGTCCTAAATCCGGGCGCCGATCTAGGCCCTTAAAATATTCGTGCTCATCTGCAATGCTGACCCCATCAGGGGTTGTCATTGCTGATGATCTAGACATGTCGAACATCCGTTCGTTGGCATATGCAAGATATGTGAAAGTTGACAGAACCAACGCCACCCGTGCCGTAGATTTTTGATTGGGACGAACGAAGAAGGTGATCATGTCGCTTACGCCGTTCTCACACTTGACTTCAACGGCATATGCACCTGAGCGAGCTGTTGATGGAATTGTGATGGAGAAATTCGTCCCCCATTTCGCGTCGTCTAGATCATCTTCATGGAAATGGATAGCTCCGTACCCGTAGGTCGCATGAGTCCAATCAGGCTGAGAACCATCCCAGTTGTATCCTTTCACGGCTCGTGTTGGTGCATTGACGAGGGCACCGTGGCGACTATTTCCAGAAACGTCGACAATAGAGTCGCTTGAAATATCGCGAGAAAAGTCATACTGGGCTAATATCCGCGGCGTTGGCCCTGTCGCCGTAAAAGAAGGGGAGTCAAGTCGGCCATTGAAAAAGCATGCCGGCTTGTAGCTCTGCTTGTCAACAGATTCGAACATGCCCGCACCAAACAGTAAGGCATTAGACCCTAAAGAGATCGGTGCCAACAAGTTATGCGTCGTCTCTTCTGCAGAAGGGGCAGTCTCTGCCAGACGGTTCAATTGCCGGATGTTCAAAGTGATCGTCTTCCCAACGAGGCTCATACGGATATGGAGCCAACGCCAGCGATTGATAGGGTACTGACTCCGGATCACATCGACGTTGCTGCCAGTACCTATAAGGAACTCGAGTTTTGAATCCTTTATAACCACGGCAAATCCGGTTTTAGAACTTGCGTCAAGGCACGATATGATTGTTTGGCAATGGTCAACGTCAACCAAGTATGGTTGCACATGACAGTCTACTTCAAAGCCCTCTTCAGCTGCACAATGCGCTTCAGACCAGGAGGGTATAACAGCATGGGATCCCGAGCAGGCAGATTGATAGCAGCCATCATCGCGATTTCCCGAAGGGACTTCAGTTATCTCCTCCTCTTTGACTGGTGGGGCATGAGTAGAACCGCTATAGCCCTGGATGAGGCGTACTAAACGATGAGAGTAGTTTTTCTCGGTGGATGAAATCTTGAAGAGTCAGCTTGGGAAACATGTCTCGTTCAATGATAAACACACTTTAATATCAACTGGCTCTCCTGGCGAAACAATCCATGGTTGAGCATAACCGATTATTTGAGGGTCTTTGTCGTTGTGAGACATGGCTTGAAGTTCGCCGTAGCTTTGTTATGGGGAAGGGGTATGCGGGAGCTCGATATCTCGATAAGTATATTGATTGTGTGAGAACTTAGGTGTTGCCAACCACCTGAAGATAGAGGCGAAGTGATACAGATTTAAAAAAGCGGCCAACTCTATCAGCATAAAATCAGTAGAACAACAAGGGCAATAGGTCTGAATTCTTATCCCTTGATAAAGATATCAAGGGTTTATAAACCCCTTGCCGACGCTTATCTTTGAAGTTTACCAGCGACATGGCTTGGGCATTAAAACGATGTCCACTCTTTGGTATCCACGTTCTCCTCACATGCTCACACGCAGGTGGATATAGTTGCTACATTAGGAAAGAGAGGGGATTCGCTAAATTCAACTAAGCAACCGACTAAATGGTGGTGCCGACAGGCTAATTGTCCGAGATAGACTTTGATCCAATTAAATTGCAGGGTCGGCTCAGTAGCGTCGCCACTCGGAAGATACGTCATTATAACTTGACCACATGTTCTCCATAATATGGGGACCTGGATTCGACGACAAGCTTGTTCCGAAAGACGGGGTAACGGGTCGGCTACCACGTAGCATTGGGAACCTCCACCACACTGAGAGCCTCCGCCGCTATCGCCCTTGCCCCCCGGGACGCGTCCGTCGGCAAGATAAAGCGGAATGGAATTCCGATAATGTAAATGGAAACATATACAGTGGGACTCATATACAGTGGTCGCAGAAGTCGATAAGATAACCAATACCGAATCCACTGGCTATGGTAAGTTTATCTTATGGGCAGCGAACATGCTTATCAGACCGTATCTTCGAGTTGCTGTTGTTAGTTCACAATGCAAGAGCCGGACCACTCCCGAGGGCTCTAGCGTCCTAAAACCCGCTAATGAGGCAGCCAAATCTTGTATTTACTCTAGAAATAGAGTTGTAATCATATTATCAGCTCTATCTTTCGTTCCTTGGCCTTGTTTTGTGGCAAGTAAAACTAGCGGATTGTTGGGGTACGGATTTTACCGTGTTTTTAGTATGGTAGTTCCCCTCAATATTGCCGTTTTAAGAAGGAGCGATCGGCAGCCACTATCTTGACTATCGAATGTGGGTCCTTCCCCAGACTACTCGACGTATGCCATGTGGGTGTTAGGTCTTTGTGGGGTACATATATAAGGTGGCGGGATTCTCCTTTTGCAAAATGGCATCTCCTTATTATCCTAAAATTATATCAGTCCTACCATTGGGCTGATTGGATTCATCGACGGATACGAAGGGCACAATTTGCCATCATGGCTGATCAAAACATTCAATTCGTAGGGGATGCGAAATCGACTGCACCTTCAGCGACCCATTCAGATAAGCCAGCTACAGAGATGGTAGAGACGATGCCGGTCACTCTAACAGAAGAAGACGTATGTTAATTACATACCCCATCAAAGAAACTCGCTGAACTCTCCTAGAATACTCGAATCAGGAGAAAAACTGATAGAGTCATCTTGGCTCTATTGACCTGGGTCTACTTCTTGCAAGTTTTGGATAAGGCCGTCCTTGGAACTGGGGCGGTTTTCGATCTCGCGAAGAATGCCAACCTCACGGGTCATCAGTATTCCCTAATCGGGTCGATTTCGCCAATAGCGCAGTTAGCATGGCAGCCGTTCTCGGCCTGGCTGATTGTGAAGGTGCCGCATCGCACATTAATGCCAATTCTGATTCTCGGTTGGGGTATTGCGGAAGCATCTATGGCTGCGTGTAGTTCCTTCTCTGGGTTGATCGCCTGCCGTTTCTTCCTCGGCCTTTTTGAGGCCGGCTGCATGCCTCTATTTGCGATCATCACAAGCCAGTGGTACCGTCGTGTCGAACAACCATTTAGAGTCTCTATCTGGTATTCCACAAATGGTATATCGACGATAGTGTCTTCTGCGTTGTCTTATGGCCTTGGCCGTATTGTATCCAACGTGTTGTATCCGTGGCAAATGTAGGTTGTCCCCATCCACCGGCCACCATGAATACCTTGCTAATATCAACGCAGAATTTTCCTTTTCTGTGGACTTGTCACTATTATAACGGCTCCATTCGTCTACTGGAAACTGGATAACGATATCGCGACAGCCCGTTTCCTTACCGAGGAGGAACGCCAACAAGGCATCGAACGCCTTCGGACAAACAATACTGGTGTTGAAGACTTCCACCAGTTTAAGTGGTCGCACGTTTTGGAAGCGGCTCTAGACCTGAAGACCTGGCTGTGGCTTGTGCTGGCCATGCTGCCGAACCTCGGGTCGGCTTTGACGAGTGTCTTTGGGCCGCTCATTATTACTGGCTTTGGGTTCGATAAATTCCAGACATTGCTGCTGAACATTCCTTTCGGAGCCGTCCAAACGCTCGTGATCATCGCTTCCTGCTGGGTAGCCAACAAGGCGAAGCTCAAGGGTGTTATCCTGCTTGGCTTCATGTTACCTGTGGTGGTTGGAACTGGGATGCTTTACGGGCTAAACCGGAATGCATCGGATCGACCAGCGCTACTCGTGGCGTACTATCTCACGGCCTTCTTGTTTGCAGCGAATCCCCTACTTCTCGTGTGGGTCGTCGGAAACACTGCTGGAGAGACCAAGAAATCCGTTACTCTCTCGCTATACCAGGCTGGTTCGTCTGCTGGAGCCCTTATCGGTCCGCTTCTATTTAGCGCAGACCAGAAGCCAGAATATCGCCCCGGAATTGCGGGTGTTCTTGGTGTTTTTGTCGCCATGATTGTGGTCATCGTGCTGCAGCTCTTCCTCCTGATATACCTGAACAAGCAACAGGTGAAGAGGAGAATCGCAAACGGGAAGAGTGGCGTTATTGTTGATCGGTCTATGACAACCGAAGTTCATACTGATGGGAAGACTCGGGACTTGCTGGCTGAGGAGATATTGCCCATGGACTTAACGGATAAGCAGAACGATGAGTTTGTGTATATTTACTGATGGGAATGATTTGGACGAGGCAGGAACTCGTAGGAGTGGGAGGCGCGAGAAATATATCCGCTGTATTTACTTTTATTACATTCAATATGAATCACCGAACTCTTATTATATCCACTTTATTGCCTAATTAGTACTTGCAAAAAAGCCCAGGGTCAATACTGTATGTGGCTGGGTTCTGTAATCTTAAGAATGCTGGAGTGAACTTGGCACCGTCTTCGCCCCATTCTGCGTAATTTCTATCTAATTCCGACCAAGGAGATGTTACAGTGTAGCATTGAAATGCAATATGAACTGTTCTGGTGCCAATATCCATTTTTATGTTTGAGAATTGAATTATTCTTCCAAGTCAAATGGATGGGCTACCAAAATAGGACATAGAAATCGGAGGAAGGGGATGCACGGTTAACCCATGGAGGTGTGGTGATAAGGGCCATGTGGCGAAACATCCACCCGTTAACATCCACCGATTACGCGTCACTAGTGAGTAGTACAATCAGCCCACAAACTGGGTGTACCCCGCGGGGGCGGGTTGGTTGTCATCAAGTTGTCGTGCACGCGACCTGCGTTGTGTGAACCGAAGCGATGACTTCCCCACGCACTGTCCCCCATCCGATCGCTTAAAAGCCGATCGCATCGGGAATATGATAACCACCACCATCGGGTCCAAGGAAGTTGCGCATATACAGCACTGGAAGTATTGTAAATAGACTACATATATGATGCAGTGCTGCTCGTAGATAATCAATAACCACTATCATCCAAACATATTACATATATACTATATTCTTAAACTATGGCTTCTGCCTTAAAATCATACCCTCCGGGGATCCACGCCCCTACCGTGACATTCTTCCTTCAGGGAGAACAACAGGAGATTGATTGGGCGACCCAAGAAAAGCATCTCGCGTACTTGGTCAAGGCTGGCGTACATGGCAGTATGTTTGCTTCCGCATGATATAACACTATTACTAGACGAGTAGAGCTGATTTATTATAGTTGTTGTCGCCGGCTCAAGTGGTGAATCGTGTGCGCTTACTTTGGCCGAGAAGGGCGAGTTGGTCAAGAGGACCCGTGAGGCAGCAAAGGCAAACGGAAACCCAAATCTCCCCATCACCGTGGGCTGCTTAGGCGGCAGCACCAGAGACATTCTCGAGCAGACTATAACTGGGCACAAGAACGGCGCCGATTTTGCCCTGGTGTTGGTACCGAGCACATTCCACTGGTCGATGACCAAGAAGGCCATCGTCGACTTCTTCGAGGATGTTGGCGACCGCTCCCCAATCCCCATTATAATCTACAACTTCCCGAATCTGCTGTCAGGGCTGGATGTAGACTCGGAAATGTTGGAGAAACTTAGCGCCCACCCGAACATCTGTGGTGTCAAATTGACCTGCGGAAACATCTCAAAAATGACGAGAGTCGCAGCACTGAACCCGCCGAGTCAATTCGCGGCTGTGTCCGGACAAAGCGACTTAATTGTCTCTGCGTTGGCTGGTGGAGGAGCAGGTACTATCTCAGGTGTTGTAAACCTGTTCCCAAAGGTAAGTCCAGACAACCACCAAGGTAGCTAGTTTCGGTTACTAACGCATTTCGCAGGTCCTGATTGAAATTTATAATCTTTACAACGCTGGAAAGCTTTCGGAGGCGATTGCGCTGCAGAAGAAGGTTTCCGGACCTGAATGGGGAATTGGAACGTCCGATGTCAGCGGCATGAAGTGGATTATCGCACAGGAGCGTGGCTATCCGGAGTCGAGCCGTGACTGTCGCCGACCATTCCCCAAGTTTGACGATCCGGCGAAGAGAGAGCGTGTACAGAAGTACGTCGCGCCGCTTCTCGCGCTCGAGCAGGAGCTGTATTTGAAAAATTAAATAGCGATCAAAGACTGTATCATTTTTGCGGTAGATGATAAGCAAAATGAAAGAAATTCATCCTGTTTGAGATTTCCCACTTCAAAAAGCAGGGATAACATTAAATTATCGCAAAGTTAACGTTGAACAACTCTAAGCATACAGACCGAATATCGACGCGGGTCCCTGCCTCTCGCTGCCTTCTTTGAATCTCTTGTAGTACATCCGCCGTCATATTCGCATTGCTGGCAACATGTTGGAGACTACGAATCGTCTCAAGGAGCCATTTACACTCGTCATAATCGTCCTCCTCGCTACCCCATAGGAATAACGGCCATAACATATTAACTGGTATAGATTCGTTACTGTTGACCATGAGATGCACTATTTCCTTAATTTTGCATAGCGCTGTATCCACCGCTTTCGAACGATCCAAGTGGCGATGGGCGACTCTATGGAGGTGAATGTAGCAGACGTAAAAGTTGGCAAGATATGTCCGGTATGAGCGAATGATGACCGACGCGAGTGGCCCAGCGAGAGTGTCACTATTGATATTTCCTGATACAGCATGATCCATAAGCGCAGGCCTCGTATCATATATAGAAGACAGATCCTTCAAAATACCGGCCGCAATAGCCATCACTTCAGTCTCGTCCTCCACACTCCCTCGGCTGCGGTGACCATGGGCAATTCTAGCTATGCGGCCCGTAATGGTCTGGACTTCTTGGAAGAAGGCGATCCCGGGCTGGCATAGCATGTCATATATAACCTCATGCGGCCCGGAGTCTGGGGGGGGACTTGGACTGGATGGATAAATTCCAGATGTATCATTTACCAAGAGTCCTTCCCCACCAGTCAGTGCCGCCCGGGCATCTGACCATCGGATCCAAGAGATGATTCTCTGTTCTAATGGGGCGATTGTTAGCACGAATAGAATTAGGTTAGCGAGAACGTTCTTCTACGAACCTAAAGAGCCCAGGGCACCCCTGCTTGACGTCTGCAGCGCCTTATGCGCCTTTGCAAGATTCAAGTAGGCTAAATCCAGCCGGCCAGTTAAAAACTCCAGAAATGGTCAGCGAAAGTAAACAATAGATCCACAAGGATTCAATAGACTGACATTTACGTATGTAAGAAAGAAGATAGTGGTCAGAACGTATCTAAGTTCATTACTGTTGACTGCCAGGCTTCCCCCGGATTTGTGAAATCTTGCTGATAGTTCATTTGCAGCTTTATCGTAGTATGTCTGATAATCCACTTGTTTCCCCCTGGTATAAAACTGGACGGCGGCGAACGCCGCCATCGCATAACGAACCATAGGAGATGAGGTTGCCATACTGTCAAACAGTGCTCGCAGAGAAGCACATATCGGACCGTTTTCGACAGGATCTAAAATCGGCGTCGCATGTAATAGTAGCGAGTATTCCTCGTCTACATTGGTAACTAGGGACTGTGGCAGGGACTGTGGTGGGGACTGTGCCGCTGCAAGAGGTGAACCCTGGCTATCTAGGTCGGTAGATCGCTCATGCAAGGCGAGTCCCGGCACAATAGAGTCACCAAAGTCGGGAAGATATATATCTTCAATGAAAGAAAATCCCGGCGGGGGATCCGTCATGGATTGTGCGAAGTCAAAGAGGTCAGCAGAAGGAGACAGCCAGTCATCCTCCAATGACGTGGCGTCAATCCCCGGGGGATCTCCTGCTGCCGCATTCGTCGGTGGTGGTCGCTGCTGTACGGTGTCTTTCCACACACATTCTAGATTCAGGCGCTGGCAGTGGTAGCACTGGGGTCTCTGCTCATTGCATCGGACCTTTCTTTTTTTGCAAACCAGACACCCATTTCGCGACCGCTGAGGATGAACCCGAGGGTGGCTAGCACCGCGAGAGAGAAGAGGTAGAGAGCTCATAATTCTATTCCAGGAAAGACAATGAGGGATAGAAGGAAACAAGGTCGCTGATGCTATGATGGAGGTTCATGAGTGACCCCGCTTTCTTAGTCGCGGCGGCGTCGTTCCGGAACTCCCCCCTTATCAACCCCCGCGATAGCACAGTGGGGTTACCAAGACAGGAGCGGAGCGCACCCATATTCACTTTCACCGCCTAACATACACCGCCCTATCAATTCAGTAAACTAATAGTAAATTCGGCAGAATATTAGCCTATTTGTCTAACTATAGCTAGTGTGGAAGTGGAAATGCTTGAATGGTTGTAACCCGCAGACCAAGATCAGCCTCTAACCTCCCAAACCGTTATTGGCGATTTATTTTGATTTTCTCACATAAAAGTCTTGCGGCCTCTATGAGTTTGGTATTTTGGCTTCATCAGCAGCAGAATATGAACACCTATGCTCTAGCGCATATCCTACTCCAATTACCCAACTATCGCATGCTTGTTTGCTAATGTTGCTATCGCCCCTCTTCCCCCCTTTAAGTGGGACCAACAATATTACCGTAATAGGAAGTTGAGTTATCAGTCCCCACTTCCCCGCGCTATTCACAGCCACCCCTGCTTAGCGTCAATTGGGCCACATGGACCCGATCGCTTACTTTCCCAAAGAGTTTCCGAGCCGATCGGGTTGTCAACCCGATAATGTGCACTCGGTGAGTAGTAGTGGCAATGGTACAGTTCCTCTGTACTATCACTCTACCCCACCTGGGAATTTATAAAAGATGTTGTCTGCGATGTTGCTCAGCTTTAACATTTTAATTATTGTCAGCAAAAATCTATCCCAGAATCCTCAACTCATCAATTTCTATCATTAACCATGGCAGCTCTTCCAGAAGGCGTTGCAAAGTCGTTGGAGGAGACGAAGGTCGAGTATAAGCGTGTGGGAAACAGTGGTCTCCGGGTGTCGTCTCCAATTATTGGGTGTATGAGCATTGGAAACCCGGAGTGGGCAAACTGGGTGGCAGGGCCAGAAAAGGCCCTCCCACTCTTGAAAGCGGCATATGACCGAGGAATTAACACCGTTCGTCTTCTGCTCTCCGTTTAAAGAAAAATAATATTAACTCGAGGTAGTGGGATACAGCAAATATCTATTCCAATGGAGATTCTGAGAGAGTTATCGCTCAGGCGATCAAGAAATACGATATCCCACGTCACAAGTTGGTGCTGATGACGAAGGCATTTAGCTGCGTTGGAGAGCAGCAGTTTCACGCATACCCAATCCTGGATGAATTGAGGAGGACCAAGGACTACGTTAACCAGTTCGGTCTTTCGAGGACAGCGATTTTTACTGCACTGGACGCGTCCCTCAAGCGTTTGGAGACAGATTACATAGATTTCTTCTGGATTCATCGTTTCGACCCAGATACGCCAATTGAGGAGACTATGCGTGCTCTTCATGACCTCGTCACTGCGGGGAAGATCCGTTACATTGGAGCTTCGTCCATGTGGACATACCAATTTGCCTCCATGCAGTTCTGCGCGGAAAAGAACGGGTGGACAAAATTCGTTGCCATGCAAGTATGTATAAACTATGGACATCCAGTATGTTGAGCGATTTGAAGTGCTAATATCCGAACAGAACCGTTACAACCTACTGTACCGCGAAGAAGAGCGCGAGATGATTAAATTTTGCAACGAAACAAACGTGGCTGTCATCCCAGTAAGTAAATATCATTTACTACTTCCACTACGTGGGCTCGTTGTTGCATGTTCTAACAATTGTCTGTCAGTGGGGTCCTCTTGCAGAAGGACAGCTTGCGCGCCCATTGCAAGTTCGCGGAACAACTACGCGTTCCGAAGGCTCCCCGCCCCTACGCAAAGAGTCCACGGAAATCATCAACAGAGTAGAGGAACTGGCAAAGAAGAAGGGGTGGACTATGGCCCAGGTTACGCTCGCATGGACCATGAAGCGAGTAACGACTCCTATTATTGGCTTTAGCAGCGTCGAGAGGATCGAGGATGCTTTATCGGCACGCGGAAAAGAGCTTACACCTGAAGAAGAGAAATACTTGGAGGAAGTTTATACTCCTATGGAGATTGAGGGTCATTTCTAAGAGCATAGGTTTCCTGTTTTCTTCCTCGAGAGCTGCATAGTCGTGCCCTCTGCTTGTATGGCTATTCATAGTTTTTTACGCATAGCATTTAGATAGATATTAGCCTATTACAAAAGTAAAATATTCATATAATCACGCAAGATTGTTCAGAGGATGCGAAACTCGAAGTTTTATTGTTTTGTCTCGTAACATAAACCAAACAACCTTTCTATGTCACCAACTGGTCTTTGTGGTAGATTATACGATTTGTATCAAAAGCCCATATCTATCATAGGAATCTTACACTTCCAATTAGTAGCATGCCGTTATAATATATGGTATGTGCTGCACATAATATGATAAATGATCATTTACCGGTGTGCTTGTTTTGATATTGAAATTTGCATAATACTACAAGTAATAAAGCCAAGAGAATACAGATATTAAATTATGTGCAAATAGAGGTCAACAGCCACAGTTCTCACTTCGCGAGCTTATCAAAAAGCTTCTCTCATAATGCCAGGTGAGACAAGTTTGACCTATTCTCAGTTGCCTAGGTGGGTAAATATTTGCGACCCCAGTGTAATTTTACCCGTTAAGGGAATCCGCTCTCCTGCTGCCAGCATCCGACAGCGAGTGTCTTCATGGAGGTAACAATCTACGGTGGTCCCTGGCCCACATACCCGATTAGGCATTCTTGTCGTATGAATAACCTGGGGCGACGACAGTGGGTCCGCGCTAAACGAAGGGTACACTTCGTGGGGCATCACAACCAGGAGGGGCATGAATTGCCTGTATAAGTCTTGTTATGACAATTAAAAGACTAATTAGAGTTAAACATCAACAGTTTCCACACCCTGTTAAGCAGATCTAAAGCAATGGGCCACTTGCGTTATTAGGTATTACTATTTCGAGCTATCTCAATTGTGGAGACCTTTACCTGCCCTCGTAACAATAAATCGGCCACAACGCCCCTCCATCATATAATAAGCAACTTTCTGGCATTTACCCCTCCTTCACGATAAGCATCTCCAAACCTTCATTTCACTTTACCATTCATATCACAATTCAACGAAGTCAAAATGGCTACCATGGAGAAAGTATTCGCTGGCTACAATGCGCGACAGAGCGTTTTAAACGCGAGCAGCAACCCTCTTTCGAAAGGGATTGCCTGGATCGAAGGAGAGCTCGTTCCGCTCGCCGAGGCTCGCATCCCGCTTCTCGATCAAGGTTTCATGCACAGCGATCTGACCTACGATGTTCCATCTGTCTGGGATGGGCGCTTCTTCCGCCTCGACGACCACATCACAAGACTGGAGGCCAGCTGCACAAAACTGAGACTGAAGCTTCCTCTACCCCGAGAGGAGGTAAAGCAAATCTTGGTAGATATGGTCGCTAAGAGTGGCATTCGCGACGCCTTTGTCGAGCTCATCGTCACCCGCGGACTTAAAGGTGTCCGTGGAAACAAGCCAGCCGACCTAAAGAACAACCTCTACATGTTCATCCAGCCTTACGTTTGGGTAATGGAACCCAAAGCCCAGCCTACCGGTGGCAGCGCCATTATCGCCCGTACTGTGAGGCGAGTTCCGCCTGGATCCATCGACCCAACGATCAAGAACTTGCAATGGGGAGATCTCGTGCGCGGCATGTTGGAGGCGGAGGATCGTGGAGCCGATTATCCCTTCCTGACAGACGGAGACGCCAATCTCACTGAGGGATCGGGTTTCAACATTGTCCTGGTCAAGGATAACGTCCTCTACACCCCAGATCGCGGTGTTCTCCAGGGCGTTACTCGCAAGAGCGTTATCGATTCCGCCAAGGCCGCTGGCTACGAGATCCGCGTTGAGTATGTGCCCGTTGAGTTGGCCTTCCAAAGCGACGAAATATTCATGTGCACAACTGCCGGTGGCATTATGCCTATCGTAACTCTCGATGGCAAGTCTATCAATGGCGGCAAGGTTGGCCCTGTCACGAAGGCGATTTGGGATGGGTACTGGGCGATGCATTACGATTCCGCATACAGCTTCGAGATCAACTATGAACAGAACAAGACAAACGGTGTGAACGGTTCAGCGAAATAATGTGCTGGGCTTTCAAGGCCGTGCCTGATCGAATTTAGCTTCAATGTTTATTTTAAGTTAGGAGTTATAATAATATGAGGTATTAAAAAGAGTTTGTGCTATTATAATATTTTGTGCCGAGAATATAAATTAGTGAAATCACCAGGCAACAGTTTGAGGGCCAATGTAATTCTGAAAAGTTCTAATGATTCGCTGTAAGAATAGCCTTACATCTATGTAGTGATCCACAGCATTTTTTACCATGTTTCTCAGCACCAATGCTGGGTAATTTCTGTACATTAATTAAAATGCAAAAGGTAGTGTTGGTCTAATTCCGAGGAAGCTCCCTTAATGGTTTTCCTCTTGCGTTAAAAACAGACCAAATAATAATGCTCCATAGGATGCAGTATTTTCTAAAATGCAATATAAAAATTGGTTGCGCGAATAGTAGGAGGATCCATGGAGTTGGAGAAAATGAGGGGTATCTCCAACTTTCGGCTAGCGCCGGACTGCCCCGACCGAGACCGGCTTGGTCGTACGTAATAAAAAATCTGCAAGGCGAAAGTAAACACAACAGTCTAATATTAGATGACAAAAACAGCATGTCTGTTTTAAGCACTCTGAACTCCAAAAGTTGTTTGAACAATGGTATTCCTATTCTGGAAAAAAAAAGAGTCCAATTTGGAGAAGGTATGAGAAAATTGGGTCTGATTTCCCAATTGGGTAGGCAAGCCGCCCCGCCATGGCGGGGTCAAGGGCCCTATTATTACTCATGGATAAGTTCGTACGATCTTTAAAACAACTCCAAAGATTCGTCTCCAGCATAGCGATTTCTAGATTGAATTTAAGGCGCCAATTGGACGGCTGTTTCTCTGATCTTGTTCGCCATATTTTCTTCACTCTCGACAGCTTGAACCTTCTTGCCCATACCCGCCATGGCCTCATTTAATTCGAGCGATAGCATTGTTATTGTTGGGTAAGTTTTCGAACGGCATTTGGACAATATTTTCTTCAAGGTACTGACTATTTGGAGTGCGGGCATCGTTGGCCTCAATGTTGCTTTAGTTCTCGCCGAGAGAGGATATGGACAGTCGATAACTGTCATTGCCGAGCACCATCCGGGTGACACATCTATGACATACACATCGCCATGGTGAGTTTTCTATGGAAATGAATGATACTCCAGCTATGCTAATATCTCATCAGGGCGGGTTGCAATTTCTCTGCCATTTCTGGGAGTGACGCCAACGCGTTGAAGTGGGATCGACTGGGTTACTCCCATCTCACCAAGCTCGCATCTGAGCGACCCGATGAGACTTTCGTTCACCGGACTCCATCGACTGAGTTATGGGACGAGAATGTCCCCCATGATAAAATTAAGGCCATGTCAGAGTACCTCGAAGACGTAAGGTCGCAATTCTCCTGGGCCATCGGGACTGTACTAACTGGCCGCAGTTCAGAATTTTACCCGAAGAAGAGCTCCCTGAGCAGGTCAAATTTGCAGTCTCCTTCACTACATTAACCATTAATGCGCCTAATCACCTTCAGTACCTCTACAACAGATTAAAACAGTATGGCGTGCAATTCTTACGACAGAAGATCCCCAGCATTCTATCAGCATTTGCGAGTCCGACGACCAAGGTCGTGTTTAACTGCATCGGTAACGCAGCAAAGACGTTGCCAGGTGTTGAAGATGCCAAGTGCTATCCAACCAGGGGCCAGGTTGTTCTGGTCAGGGCGCCTCAGGTCCGATCCAATGTTATGCGTCATGGCAAAGATTATGAGACATACGTGATTCCTCGCCCAGGATCCGATGGGAATGTTATTCTTGGTGGCTATATGCAAAAGGGGGTTGGGTAATATTAGACAAGTCCTGACAATGACCAGTCGCTAATGAAACTCTCAGTGACGGGGCAACTTACTCATATGAGACGGAGTCCATTTTGGATCGCACTACACGGCTGAGCTCCGAGCTTCGTGAAATGGAGCCTCAAATCCTGGCCGTCTTTGCTGGACTTCGGCCTTCTCGCGAAGGTGGGGCCCGCATAGAGAGAGACGAGCTCATTGTTGCCGGTGACAAGCGAGTTATTGTTCACAACTATGGTGCAGGTGGTACTGGGTTCCAAGCTGGCTACGGCATGGCTATGGAGGCTGTTAAGACTGTCGAGGACGTATTGCGGGAGATTCGAAAGAACGATACTCGGCCAAGGCCTAAGCTATAAATAATATGGGACATATAGGTTTGTCGATAGTCTTGGGTTTCGTAGCCTTCAAAGACGAATAATTCATTGCATTTTGAATAATCCGGCTCTTCTACATTCCCATCTTCTTTCATTTGTTTCTCGCGTGAATCTCGAAGTGCACCGGCGACGAGCGAGATTACAGCGAAGTACAATATTCTTTATCTCATCACTAACATCTATCTCCTTAGTTGGGGACCCATTGAAATAGCGCGCCGATAAGACAATTAACTGCTCAAATATGGGCTTGAAATATTATATAAGGGCGTTCTGGTGTGTCGTCACTTTGTTGGTAAGTTGCCAGAAAGCCACACCTTATCGACGACACCACTCTGTCCCTGTGGGACCTTGTTGTTCGCTATCGGTGAGGTAGGGTGACATCCGATATCCGATATATCCGACATCCGACGAAATAAGCGACATTGGCGACCCGCGACCCTTGCCTTGGCGACCCTTCCCTTGGCTACCCTCCCCCGCATACTCCCCTTTCCCCGCATAATCACCTCCCCCCGCATACTTGGAGATCGGTCTCCTATCTTCTCTTATCCCAATTCGCAATCGCAATTGCAAAAAACTACGACAGCGAAACCATCCACCACCATGCTGAAGGAGAAGAGGACCAACTCACTGGCATTTTCCCAGACTGATTGTCACACCTGTACGTCTGCAGGCCGCGCGTGTGATCGTCGGCGACCACAATGCTCGACTTGCCTTGGTCTCGGCGTGAAATGTGGTGGTTTTGTGACGCCACTGTCGTGGGATAATAATCGCATATGGCTCGGAAAGCCGTCCCAGAAAACGCGTTACATTTACGACGGCAGCAGGGGGAATGAGAGCCCAATGGCGTCGCCAAAGCCGCCGCCAAAGGCCTTTCGCTTTGTTGACGCAAGTTCCAGAAGGAAGAGGCGTCGCAGAGTTAGCCCAGTCTCCAGCCCTGAGGAAGAAATCTGCCGTGCCTCAGAATCAGAATCGCCCGAAGAAATCGGCATGGAATCATATCTTGCTCATCCATCTGGCTCGCTCCTAGATGACTTTGGTATGATACATACATGACTTATAATGGATATTGACCCTATACTAACCAAGATAATTGAATGTAGATCCGTTAAACTTCGGTGATTGTGAGCTGCTGGATACTGTGATCCCTAATCCACAAGAATTCATGCCTGACTGGATGGCCGCGACATTCCCTGGGCAGGAAAGTCAAAATCAAATGATCTTGACTGCCCAACCTTCTTCGAACATTGTTGGCCATGGATCCGAGGATGTCTTTACTCAAAGCCTCATGGACTTACTCGAGACGGTTTCTACCCATCCATTTGAGAGCCACCAACTGGAGCCACCTCGTCTTGTAGCTTCTCCAACCCGACAACCCCCGTCCGAGATCTCTACCGAGTTGATTCCTAACCATATTGGAAACCAACATGAGCGCCTTTTTCAGATGTGTAAGTTGCGAGCTTCCTAGCCATTCTACCCTCGATCTGGTTGAACATTGGAACTGATATTTCAGTTTAAAGATGATACGGAGCTATGTGTGCTACCATTGACGTCTGATGTGGCCTTCAACCCGTTCCGCTGTCGACGTCAGGTACTACAGGGGTCTCGCCTTCTTTTCCACGCGATATTGGCACTATGTTGCCGGCATCAGAACCATTTGACGGGCACTTGGGCCAAAGAAGCCTCTGAGCACCGAACGAAGGCTGTAGAGCTACTGGACAGCGCGTCTAAGAGTGACCAAGTCACCAAAATTGGACTACACGTCTTGGAACCAATCTTGGTCATGTTTACCTTGGATGTATGATATTCCATTTTATAAGACTTACCATTTTTTACTTGAGCTAACTAGAGTTTCAGTGCACACTCTCCGCCACAGGGCCGTGGAGTGGACATTTAATGCGCGTGAGATCGGTTTTAGACGCCTGCGGAGGGCCTCTGGCGCTCGATAACTCGCGCGTGCGCTCGCAAGTTGGAATGCTATTCTGGTAAGTCAAGATGTGGATCAGCCTCCTGAGGTAGCGCAAACTGTTCAACTAACGCAAACCAGGTGGGATGCTACTCTGGCACTGATCTCCCGACAGGGCATAATCATTGATCAGTCGTACCTTGACCACCTGATGCTCAGTCAAGGCCAAGACGAATGGTCTTTCTACGACCTAACCGGCTGCCCCGGAGACCTCTTCGTGCACCTAGTTCAGCTATCTGAGCTGGCGAAGCAAAGAGAGTTGGCCGCATGCATGACCTGGCTCACCTTCGATCTGTCGCCAGTGATCAAGATCGAACGCGAAATCCAACAATGGCAAAGCAGCCTATTCGCCGATGCATACGGTTCGAATTTCGATACAATCGTGGAAAATGCGTCGGAATCGGACGCCGAAGCCGACATCGAGGAACGGTTCCACGCCAAGCAGGACCGGTACCACTGCGCAGAGGCGTGGCGGTACTCATTGCTGATCTATATCGAGCGAGTTTTCCGCTGGGACAGGAAGTGCCCTCGGCCTCTGATCCTGACGTGGCTGGTTCGGAAGACGATGGATCACGTCCGTTGTTGTCGACGCACGTCTCAAACGCAGAAACAGCTCCTGCTGCCCGTATTCCTTGCAGGGAGCGAGATGACCGATGAGGAAATGCGCGGGTTTACGCGGCAATACTGCAAGTGGTGGGCCAACAGGAGCCGATATAATATGTTCAATTCGGTGTCATCGCTGCTGGAGGATATTTGGGAAGAGGGACACTCACATGCGTGGTGGGGGTCTGTGATTGATCGGAAGACAAGGAGTACTGGAGTCGGTGACCCAGGTGTTCAATTCCTGTTTGGATAACGGTGAGGCTACTGAGTGCCTGGTGGTGCTCCATGTGTATGAATATCCCTGGCGTTGTTTTAGCGAATTGGGCTTCGTAATACGATCTCATTTCCTGCATATATATTGTGCCAAGCAAACGATCGTGCTCGCATTCCCCCGCAATTCATCTTGATCGACGTGAACTTTGTTCAATTGCAAAAGGGCTCTGAAATGCGACCAAAAAATGCGAAAGCACAGTAGAGGATTTAAGAGAAGAGTAGAATAATATCATCGGGTGGGATTGTGCCAGTGACTTGGGAAGGTACATACAGTGAAGTACTGTAACCAAGTATGCGGGCCGAAACCAGCCCATCGGTCTCATGGGTGCGAACCCTGAACCTTCGGTCCCCAACAATTTCCTGCGAGACCGATCACATCGGTCCCTGACGTCAAATTGCGATATCTTATTGTGTCACTTGTGAATGTCAACACTTTCCAAGTGCTATATCAAAACTCTGCCATAATTCGCTATGGCCCGAGTCCTGTCACCAGGCTCTGTCTCTTTATGCCCCTAAAATAAGTTGTAAATATGTATAATATTGAGGTAGATTATTATTTTATCCACTCGGATCGGAGGGTCAAATTTCAGCCACTTCTCCGCCAAAACAAAGGAAAATTACAAGGGAACACAAGTATGTGCTGTGTGTTGTGAACATTACACGCCTCCACCACTCCAACTCCATTATCTCCAATCAACCTCTTACAACCAAGCCATGATAGCGATCATGGAGCCAACAATCGCACCAACGGGCGCGAAGAGCCTATCAGCGGCGCCCTCCTTGGAAGCGCCATCGGTGGAGACAGGGCCATCACCGTTGGAGGAAGTGTTGGTTGGGTCAGTGGTTGTAGAGTTGTTGCTGGAGCCAAGGTTGAAACCAGTTCCGGTGCTGTCCGCAGCAGACGAGGTACTGGTGCTGTCGCCGCCGGGGATGCCGCTGTTGAAATCGGTGCTCGAGCTGTCGTCGGCGCTGCTCGTGCGGGTGCTGCCGCTGCTGCTGCCGCTGGTGGATGCCTGGCAAGCGGCTACTTCCTCCTCGATTTGGAAGGCGCGCTGGGGGCAGTAGCTATCGAAGCACCTGTGAGGGTTAGCATGGCCGGGTTGGTAGCAAGGGAGAGAGGGGGGCGTACTTTGCTGCTTTCAAGATCACCTCGCATGTCTGGTCTAACTTCGCCAGGGGGTTAATGCAATCCGAGTAGGCCCTGTGTTGTGTTAGCTAAGTCGTGGGTGTCAGAGAGCAAGGATAGACGAACTGGCGATCGGTGCAGGTGGCTCCGCCGCTACCACTTCCACTGCCGCTGGTGCTAGTGCTTGAGCTGCCACTGCCAGTGGGAGTTCCAGTCTCGCTGCCCGTTCCGCTGCCAGAGCCGGATCCCGATCCTGGCAAAGCTCCACCGTTTTCACAGATATCAATATACGAGTTTAACTCTTTGGGGACGCCGAGCTGGGGACAGTAATCTTCGTAACATCTGCGAGAATGAGCATGATATTAGTAGCAGAGGAGAGGGGACACGCACGCTTTTACGCCCATGATTTTTGCGCATGATATGTCTCCGTCGGCATACTTGAGCACACATGAACTGGCGGCCCTGTGTGTGGTTAGATAGGCAACCCATTTATGAGGGGGAAGAAGGGACGAACTCGGCGTCAGTGCATGATGATGGCGATTGCGCGACGGCGATGCCGATGACCGAAGCAAGAACGATGACAGAAGCAGAGGAACGCATTATGGCAGGAGGAGTTTATTTGCTTGCGGCGGAAATAAGACTAATTGGTAGGAACGAAGGAAGGAATTAAAATGCAAAAGCGAGGGCACAATGTTGAGGTAAGGGAATCGAGAAGAGAGACGAAGGAGAGAAGGAGATGGCGAGTTTGTATAAGCTCTTGCCAAGCCCAGGATTTCCTACAGGCACCCGACGGGATATTGGAGGGGTGAAGCTGAAAGAGTAATGGGCTAATTTTCCCTAATTGAGACAACTTCGCCCTACCTAAAATAAACTATCCAATAGGGAGAGTGACAGCGGCGCCAGACAGACAGGGGACGGCATCTCGGAATGGAGATTGAGGGGATCATTGAGCTGTCTTATTCTGGTAGTGTGGAAGAAGTGGAATTGGTATTGGGTAGTGGTGTTTTAGTTTGCGTTGCGGCGTTATTGCTGACCCGATTTTTCTGTCTTGGCGGTGCTGGGCTGAGCCATTAGTGAGTGTTGTGGCACATTTGTTCAGCACTCTAGTAAGGGGTTCGCTAGGAATTACTTGGCGACATGTCCATCACAATCTTAGCAGCCACCAGTCACTTTAATTCAGCCTCGCGCTATTTGTCTGACAGTCAGCAGCTTAAACTCTTGGCTGTTAGTTTGCTTTAGGTAGAGATCCCCAGGCGGAGATCATTGTGTGGGGCGGACGGTCCAGCTATTATCTGACATGCGGAGTACCACATACCAGGCTTGACACATTCAGGGTTCGTCTGCCTTCGTTCGCTCTGTCATAAATACATCGTGCCTAGTCTCGCAAAGGTTCTTGCCAAGTCGAAGATCGAAAGTCAATATGCGTCGGTCGCTGTTGCCAGTAGAACCTTGGCCGGCCAGTCGTGATGCCCCCATATCTGACAACGACAGGCTTACACTGCGCTTCCCAATCATCATTAGCCAAGACAGCTTAATCTCATCCGCTGAGAAGCTTCAGGAGCTCGTTGGTCTTCCAACGCTCCCCCCGGTTGTGACCACACGGACAGCACCCAGGCGATGGGCGCCTAGGCGAGGGGAAGTTTTGGAGGCTACTCCCGCTGACAGAGAAGTGCAGATATGTCATGTTGACGGGGATCAGCTAGATAAGATTGAAGAAGCCACGGAAGGCGAGTCGATTAGCGTATGGTTTAGGGGGATGAGAAGGGACGCCTGGATGGCAGAGTCGCTAAAGCTAGTATCACAGAACTTAGATATCGGAGAGAGTCTCTCGTCGCAACAGACTCTAAGTGCTGAGGAGGCCAACTTAGAGGAAACGCAAACTGCACACACGTCGCCATGGTCAGCGGGAGCTTGGCAGGCCGCTCATGAAGCCTACTCGTCTGGCACGGATAAGCCTCCGCCACGATTCCCAATCATCATTAGTCAAGACAGCGTAATCTCATCCGCTGAGAAGCTCCAGCAGCTCGCTGACCTTCCAACGCTGCCGCAGATTGAGACCACAAGGACAGCACCTAGGCGATGGGAAGATTTGGACGCCCCTCCTGCCGATGATAGAGAAGTATATATATGCGATGTCGATTTGGGCCAACAAATCAAAATTGAAGATACCACAGAAAGCGTCTAGTTATGGCCCCTTTATTATGCAATCTACACAGTTTATTTCATTTACTCGATACGCACCACTCAGGAGGGCTTCTCCGATACTGCTTCAGTGTTGGCATTAATATACCTGAAATCATCGCTGCGGAATTCCGCGTCGAAAGCCTCCACATCCGACGGCTCCCGGAAATACATGCCAGAGCCCATAACGTGTTGGAATTCAACAGCAAAGTCTATCTCATTCATCATTTCTTGAACGCCTTCTTGGGTGTCGAACACAAATCGTAATCCCAGTCCCCTTTGTGTTACCGGGAACCACTTCATGGAGTTGTGCTCACGATGGCCTGAGTGATATTGAACCATATCGTATAGTTCACCCATCCGAAGACCTCCACGGGATGGCTCTACCATTGCTGTCGATACCGTTTGCCACGCTGGGCTTAAATCTGCCCAACAGTAACCACGTAATGGCGGGGGTGGTTGTGAGACTAGCATCTGTCGCCAGCTTGCACCGCTGCGTGTGAAACATCGCCTAATTGACTTCTCTTCTGCAACCACTTCCGGGCCTGGTTCATCTTCATCTGAGACTTCGTCCCAAGCATCGATGTTGACATAGGCAGCGTTCCTAGCATACCAGGGAAGCTTGTAGAAGTATTTGGCAGGGTGGCATATTTGAGTGTAGTAGCCCTCGTTACCACGCCTAAAGAAAGCAGAACCAAACTTTGCCACTAGCAATGGGTTATATATTATCTTAGAGTCATGATCGCCGAAATCGTTGTCTTTGTCTGTCGGATCAAATGGGATTATTGATGACGCCTTCTGAACAGGCCGAAAGAACAGTGCCTGTTGTATTATAAGAGACGAAGCCATGATGCGCCCCCAGCGTCGGCTCACTCTCTGTGATAATAAAAGAGTCTTCATATCGACGTTCAGTAAGATTGCCTCGAGAAGCTCAGGAGTAGACAGGACAGCTATAGCCGCGCTATATCGAGCTTTTGTATCCATCCTTGGTGCGAACGATAATTAGATGCTGTGGTGAGGGTAAACAAGTCGTATTATAGGTTTGTAATCACAACGACCGTTGCTGCAACGATTACTTGCAGCTTGTGGCATAATAGGATATATAGTAAAGCTGAAACCCTATCTGACGATGGCTCAATGACTGACAGGCTCAGTTCTGTGCCTACCCCGCTAACCCACCCCCCAGTGGCTTGCCCCCAATTCGGTTCCTGATGTTGTGAACGCACGGACCAACCCTAGTCTCGGTGGTGCTACAACATCCAACCAAATTTATTTTCAGACTACAAAGTATCAGGCAAGACTGATGTCATAACAAGGAGGTTGTATATATAATGTTGAGATTTGCCGGCGTGTACTATTTGAATAGAATCATATTTCTTAGAGATCACGTATCTGTTTGTAAAAAGAATTTAACTTCTGACAGAACCAAATTATATTCCTCAATTGATATTCTAAGCCACATCAACCTATTCAGATATTGAAAACAGAATTAAACATCCGATCCTCCCAGACCAGCCGCAACCATGGCCACGCCAAAGATCCAGAAGTTCCTTGCAGCAATGGAAGCCGTCTATGGAAACCTAGGAAGCCTAGAAGCCCGAGCACTGGGCACCTGGATCCCCCCACCGAACTCAGGCGGCCACCGCGGCCGATACCTCTGGACCGACGCCTTCGGGGTTGTCAACTTCCTTACTCTACACAAAGAGCTCAAAGAAGACAAGTATTTGGTACTTGCCAAGAGACTCGTCGTGCGCGTTCACGATATACTTGGTTGGACACGGGATGGTAAAAGCCGTCTCCCAGGAGCGACGGATGAGAATCCTTTGGGAGGCGGATTGAGGATAGGGAAAGAGGAATCAAGTGGGCCAGATGGCGACGGGCAATACCACCACTACCTGACACTTTGGATGTTTGCTCTCAACCGCCTATCTATTGCCTCGGGCATGGCAACCTACAACGATCAGGCAATAGCTCTAGCTCGTGCCATACACCCGAAGTTTTTCATCAACCAAACATCTGCGTCGGCGCGGATGGTGTGGAAGATATCAATGGACATGTCGCGGACTCTTGTTTCGAGCCAGGGACGTCTTGATGCTACGACCGGGTTCGTGGTGTATCGGCTGCTACAAGCAGCGGCGAATGAGCCGAAGGTTTTGGAGAGAGAGATTGCGGATTACCAAAGAGTTATGAAATCGCGTGATACAGTCGACGCTACTCATGATACCCTGGATCTTGGGATGGCACTCTGGATTGCGCATTGGCATGCAGGGACAGAACTTTGGGCCGATCAACTCGGCGAGAACTGTTTAATAGCGATGAGTATGGTATATCCCCACCCTTTCTGACCCAGCTAACCAGATATTTGCTAGACGCGATCTTTGGCGACGAGAGATATAAGACAAGAGCTGTGCCACATCGCCTTGCTTTCCGGGAGCTTGGTGCTTTGATGGGCGCGAAATGCTATACTCACAATGTCGATGTGGTAACATTGACTGATTCGGTCATTGATGTGTGGATTGAGGTTTGGAGTGAGTTTATAAATACGACTGTGGAGGACCTGAGGCCCATTACTATGGTCATGTATAGCGCTGCGCTGTTACCAACTGGTATGATCCCATTGTCGAAATTAGAATGGCGTTGATACTGATACTGAAGTGTAGGCTTTGAAAAGAACGGCTTGAAGCCAGAGCCAGGGAACCTAAATTAGCACTACCAGATGCCAGGCGTCATGGAGTAATTTCTTATTTCACCATTAATAGACAAGACGGTAGTTTCCATAAAATAACTCAGCTGTCATAATATAATCAACACTGCACACGCAGAAACAAGCCATAAAAGCCATCACCTCAGTCCCGTGCGAGTACTATACACGCGTCAAGATAGCAAAGATAAAATGCCAGCCCACGCCATGACAGAAAAAACAAAATAAAAGGCCGCGTTTGCCGTCGCGAATAGGCACCGTACAACTCCCCCCAATATGATAACGACGCCTCAGGAAGCGCTTTTTCTCCCCATCCCCCTAGCACCAACCATCACACCAAACGCAAGCAAACGAGAAAAAACACACCAATCAACCATCACAAATCTACCTAGCCTCCCCTCCCAAAACCCCCAAGAATCCGCCCCTAGTAATAGTAGCCGGATCCCAGCTCACCGCCGCGACAGCCGTGCCGCCCTCCTTTGGCTCAACCGCCTCTCCCGCCGTCGCCAGATCAGCAAGGTGTTGCAGTCCCTGACTAGCCGTTAGAGCCGCGGCGCTCGGTGCTGCTGGGCTTGCTGCCCTCGTGTGACGGGCCACTAGGTCGCGCAGGGCTTTGTCCCAGGGCGCGGAAGTGCGGACCGGGCCTTCAAAGAGGGAGCGCAGGGTGCGGTCTGCTTCTTCACGAGTAGCTTCGTTGTCGAGGAGTTCCAGAAGGGTAGCGGACGCGAGAGTGGTGAAATGGATGTGTAATGGCGAGGGCGGAGCGGCGGCGAGGAGAGTGGTGATCTGAACAGCGGGGTGGAGGAGGGTAGCAGGTGGAGTACCAGGCGTGGCGCGCAGGGTGAGGAGTTGCACGTGCCAGTAGGTGAGGTGCATGAGCGGGGCCGTGGCGGTGGTTAGGGCGGCAGGAAGGGATTCGCGGAAGCGCTCGAGTTCGCCGGTGAGAAGAGTGGAGAGGAGGGGAGTGGCGGACGATGGGAAGGCGAGGAGGGAGGGTGGAGAGGTGAGGACTGTGGCGACGTGGCCGAGGATTGAGGAGAGGCCTGGTTTGGTTAGTAAGTTGTAGGGAATGAGAGTAGTGAGGGAACTTACGGGCTAGGTGGTACAGCTGTTCGCCTAAAACGTTGATATCATCAAGGCGGAGGACGGCGCTGGTGTCGGGGATCAGGAGAGGGCTTGATGTGCCTGATGCATGGAACCTGTCGAGAATGACAAGACTCCACCAGATGCGTCGGGAGAGTTTATCAGTTGAGTCTTCGTCTTCGCCCTCTGCTGGGTTAGAAGTGTGCAGCTTCAACGAGAACGCGTGGCCAACTGCTGCTCCAAGCCACACGGCCTGACACCCAGCACTACGTGCACTAGATGCTCCGTGGCTACCAGCCTCGATGGCCATGAAAATCTGAGCTGAGAGCAAAAGCAAGCTGTCTGAAAGCGTCTTGGTCGCTGTGTTATCGAATTGGCAGGCAGAGACCAAACTTGCAGCTCTTCTCGTTGGCGCACTGTCTACGGGAGGTCGGACGGCAACATACAGAGCCTCCAGGAATGCGTCCTTCAGGAGCGGTGGGGCATTCGCAAGTCTGGCAGCGACATTGCCCTGGGGCCCTGGCAGAAGTGGGAATGTTGGCTGAATGGTCTTGTAGTACTCCTCAGAAATATACTCGTCCCATTCCAGCTTATGGTCTCCATGTGCGCCTTCTCCAGCTGGCAGTCCGTCAAATGAAGCTCGGCCTGCCTCCGGAGGCGCATTTCTCCATTGAGGCTGAGGAGCCAAACCGTTTGGCGAGTACAAAGGAGCCCGATATGAAGACTCTGCTGCGGCGTTTGCCTGACCATAGGTTGTGGCTGGGGCACCGTGGTGTCTTGGTGTGTCGAGTGCTTGCCATTGTCCTGATTGTCTTTGTGACTGGTAGCCAGAAGTGAAATCTTGCGAGATAGACGAATACGCGCGCTTTCTTGGCTGTCCCTCCGTGTGTGGTGGCGGCGGAGAGTAATCGTGCGAGGCTCGTCTGGACCCGGCACCTTCAACATGAGGGGGGTAATGCAAGGCTTCGCCGGATTGGTTCTGCATGGCGCCTTCCAAGTGGTTCAATCGATCTGCAAGTTCCTTGATGTAGCTATCCGGTAAAGTTAGCATTGTTTGCAGATTAGACCGGAAAGGTTAACATACCCTTTGCTAGGTCCTCGCTTCATTGGAACGCGACTGAATTGACAATGGGTTCCGACCCGCTTACAGCTTGTACACTGTTCCTCGCCAGACTCGGTTGTTGCGTCGCAGCGGATCTTCTTTCGCCTACACTCATCACAAGCTCTCGAGACTTTAGATCGCTTACGCGGTGTGGTCCCATCCCCCATCTGATACTGGCTATGGTCCATGTTCGCCGCATGGCTCATCTCAGCCATCATCTGCTGCTCATGTGAGAAGCCATGGTTGGGATTGCTCTGAGGAGAATGAGCCGCGTCATTTCCGCCGCCACCTCCCATCATAGGCTCAAGCCCACGCGAGAGCTGAGCCGCCAGCTGCAGGTCATCGGGATTCGACAAGCGCTGCGTCTGCTGCTGTTGTTGTTGTTGTGGTTGCGGCTGCTGCTGCTGCGGTTGTTGCTGGCTAGCGTTCCCAGAGGCGTAAAATGGTCCGTTACCCTCAGCCGCAACAGCTGTGGGATCGGGGTAGTTCTGCATCATTTGCGCGTCCTGTTGGTTCATGCTGATCGTTTACGAGTGCTACTGGTCGTGTTTATCCGTCGGCTTAGTGCTGGGAAACGGCTGCGGGTGGGATTTGGACAACTATAGTTGTCGCACTGTCGATTGCGAGTCGCGTGGCAGTCGGAATGGGATGAGGCCACCGAGCAGGAAAATACAGGTCTACGCGACCATGATCAGCTATTTCGCAAGTGATATGAAGACGTGGATGATGCATACCAGTATGATTGAGATGGAGCTTGATACAACTTGGATCAGTTGTGATGGATGGTTCGGAGTTGAAAGCTTCCGTTCCGCTGGATGTCGTGGGAAGAGGTTCTTCCGTGCGGTGGAGGTGCGGAGGTGCGGACAGAGAAAAGTTCGGCTAGAGTGGTAGTAATATTGTGAGTGGGTGGCGGGTTTTAGGTGTGGGTACCTATTGGACGCTGTTTGTGTGTGAACAGTACGGGTGGCTGGTCGGGAAGGTACATACATTTTGTAACGCACATACGTTTTTCCTTCACAACCTCAGTCAAAAGTCACAACCTGATACGTCGGCGGGTCGAACATCCGGCAAATCTTTCTCCACAGGTTAATAAACAGGACCAAACAGAACTTCAGACTTTGTATTTCATACTCTAAAGGTTCTAAGGTTATGGATGGTGCAGGGAGAAGAGACTAGCAGGATATTGCTTCAAGTTGCATGATGGTGCTCCTTTGATAGTGCTGCTTTGACGGGGCATCTCACTTCTTCTCAATCAAAGGCTACAACAACAACAACTATGGTACCGCCAGCAACAGCAGTGTAGTCATGTCTTTTGACCTACCACACTACCTGAATCGGCGATCAGTTGAAGACGTCCGGGCGGATGGATGGATGGATGAGTAGATGATTCACTGCTACTTCAGGGGCGGCCAGGGGGGAGGTCCGCTTGTTACTGGACGACGATGACATTTACAGGTAGAGGGTAGAGTACTCGTATGGTCGGCTCTGGGGTATACGATATATCGATATCGGCGTTATTCGTTGGCGGCGTGAAATAGATACCCTTCGGATATATACACGGAACAACCTGCCCTGGCACACCTGTCAAGTCTGTGCAAAGTAAGTCCGGACGACGGAGACGTTTCCCTCAAGCTCGCTCGTCTCCACAAACTTCCCCGCCTTCTGGGCCCCTGGTAGATGAAACGATGGCCGGCTGATGATGGCTACGGCGATGAGTATGACTGAGATAGGCTTCATCTCCACGGCTGCTGCGAGCTCACTTGGTCCGTTCATTCAGCGTCCCTGTCCTCACAGCTTCTTTCCCCACATCCTCCACATCACATCCACCAAGCTCGATGGCAGGGAGAGATCCATCAATCAGAGATTCCGCATACTCCCATTGTCATGCATCACATTAGCCATCTCGTCCCCGTCTTCTTAATCCGACGACAGTACCACGCGCTGCTGATCCTCCGAGTCCTATCATGATTGTGGCGTCCCAGCAGATCAGTTTATCCAGTTTCACCCGGCTGCTTCCCCAGAAAATCATTCTGCCACTATCCACGCGGGTCACATGTTAGCGAGGCCTTGTATCAGAGTATGTAGTTCCCCGCCAGTTCATCTGCACTCCGCGCTGTGGCTGGCTGGTGGCATTGTTTTCGCTGGACGATCCTCCGAGGCATAAATCGGGATGCTTGGCTCCTGTCGTATGGGGGGGATTGGGCGTTGAAGGGTTGGTATCATCTTGGGCTGATGCCAAGATCTGGAGATGGTACTCTCCAGACAGAATGCGACCCTCTAGATATATCATGATAGTTTAGGATTGCGGTGGGGATCAGAGGAGATGGTTGGGGGGTAGAGTTATGAAGATTCAACAAGGGCCCACAAACACTCGGAGATGTAAAGCTCTCGGGCAATAGAAGAGCGAGACTGGAGAATGAGTTCGGTCTTACAGATACTGATAGGCTTTTGTAAGAATACCGACGGGTATAGTGCACAGTCACGTGGTATATCACGTGCTCCAAAACATTTTGATTTCACGTGATGTGCATCAAATGCGCTTGGCTGCATTAGGCAAGTGATTTGGGAGTGGAGCACAGGTACGCCTCTCAGATCACGATCGGCTCTCATTTGCCGTTCTGCCACGTTTGAGTAAGCCATCGCGGTCATCGCCGTGGGCGCTGACCTGTAGATGAAAGCAGGTCTGTAAAGTCTGCTCTTCTGTTGGTTGTGCTATACTGTAGGAGAAGAAGATTATTTACGGGCATGGATGGACTCGACCTAGGCCAGATGCATGTGCAACTGTTGTCCAAGCGCCAAGACTATTTGAGAGAGCATATGAAATCCGTCCACAGGCAAAAATGCCTCAGCAGCAATGTACGGAGGAAGGTACGGCAGGAAGG